TATCCCTCTGTTCTTGTTGCTGAAGAAAAGAATATCTATCAGAGCACGAGGGAGATTGTGAATCTCTGGTTTTGATATGTAAGTGTGCCAAAATGGAAAGTACCCATGAAATGATTTGTTTTTATTTATAGTGGAAAATAGCTGTAGTTAGTAATAGATCCGATTTGGCAAAGTAATGTTCTGCAGTGTTGAGTTTTTGTCCTTTTTTCACTTAAACCAGTTTACCCGGTATGCTGGATGTGTCTTGTTCAAATTGGTTCAGGTGATATGTGGGGGAGGGAGGGGTCTTAAACAACTGAACACTATGAATGTCAGAAAAAGGGCATTACATTTTCACACCATCCAATCTGACTAATTTCCATCACATCAAGCTCTTGTTTCTCTCTCTTTTCTATGGATACACATGAACAAATATCCTTTCTGAAATCAGTTGTTGGCACAGCACAGTCCAAAGCATGAACCACACAGTTACATCTGCATGAACATCCAGTCTTCATTTAGTGAAGTGACAAATCTCTGGCTGTGCAGGACGGGACGATCTGTAGAACATAACACATTACTAACAACAGCTAATATCTAAATGGACATCAGAACTGCTGGCCGGTCCCTCCAGCAGATGTTTAAAAAATGTATGCTTTCTCCGGACAGGGGAAACAAAAAGCCTTTGATCATAAGTTTCACTTTATATTTCCTGCTTGTCTTGTGAGGTTAAACTGAAATGTTCTCACTCATTCCATGTGGACTACAAGGTAGCTGTGCCATGGAGGGCATGAGTCATTTACTGTAGATAACTGTAGATAGCTGCAGGAGGCATGGGGAGGGGAGGTGGGTAAGCATTGTTGAACATTGTTGCCTTGATTCTCCCTACGTACTGGGACTTTTCAGAGCTAGGCCTGATGCTGTATTCTCAAACCAGTACTTAAATCATAGGGGTCCAAGCCATAAGGTGATCAGGCTTAGGTCTCTAGAACTTTTAACAAAAATACATTTTCAGATTAATTTTACTTGAGGTTGGTGAGCTAATTGTGCTCAAGATGAGAGACAAATCTGAAACAGAAGCACTGTAGTTTTTCTTCACCACAGCAGGTGGTAGTGTGATGCTGGGACTTATGCATCATCTCATTTTTCTAAAGAATGAAGTCTTTTTTATATGATTTCATTGAATGAGCTTTCATTCAAGGTAAACACATGTTTCACAGCTTGTGTTTATAAAGATTAAAGACTGCTAAGTTTTTGGGTTGACTATATGTCGTAAATCATGTCATGGACTACTGTTATAAGTACGCGCTGTGTAACGCAAAGGAATTAAAGGCATTGAAGTTTTTTGTTTTGCCAACTTCAGAAAGTATTTTGGCAGATGGTTGCTGAAATATATTTCAGCATGAAAGAACATGGTTGCTGTTTTCCCCCCACTGTTACAGGAGAAAGTAAAATTATACATATTGTTTCTTTTCAACTGTATAGTATTTTAAAGAATGAAAAACAATGATACACTTGTCTGAAGAAAAAAATCATTGAAAAATATGGGTTTAAATGGATGGTGCTTGTTTTGTTTGAATCTGAGTTGTATATCTCCTCTGTTATGTTTATTGAAAACAAAAAAAAGTTATTGTGCATGACCTGTTTAGCAGTCATAATGATGTCCATTTGTGAAATGCGTATCAAATCAAAAAAAGAAAAAAAAAAAAAAAAAAAAGAAGAAAAAAAGAAATCCGTAGATGCACTTATTGTACATGTGGTTAGGTTAGTTGGTTTGACTTCGAGTTCTTGACTGCCTTACAGGTGGCTCTGAAAGACATAGAAAAGACTTGTGGGATGAGACATAATGAAAAAACAATAAAGGATTGTAGAATAATATTGAACAATTCTGAAAATTGCAGTTCTTTTGATGCTTGTGATTATTGAAGATGTACTTTAGAGAAAATTCATTGAAAAGATATGACTGATGTTAATTCTGTAGAATAGCAATGTATACCAAATGTAATCTTTCCAATGCTATGAAGAATTTATACATGAAATTGATATGCAATAAAACCTGTGTGCTTTTTAAATGAAATCTTTACTGTTTTCCTATTTTAGGGTCTGTATGGGGGGGGCTAACTTTAAAATCAGTCACAGTTGGTTCATATTTGAATATTATTGAGTTTTGGACTGTAATTCAAAATGCTTTGTTTTAAATTGCATAATGGCTGTTTGTACACCTTTAGGAAAAAAAAGTTGAGGGAACTATTACAATTATTTATCATTGCCCAAATATTTATGTCATATTTACTTAAAAAAAATTCCACGAGTTGTTCGTGGCTGATATTTACAAGACAGGAAGGCATCATCAACATGGAAGGTCATACAGCTCCCACTAGAAGACAGCAGCAGTGATTTATGCTATTCAGAAAAATGAATCATAGCATAGTTTATTTTTAAGTATTTACAGCTATTCAGTCTTATTATTACATTTTTCAGAATTTATTTATTCAAATTTCTTAAAATCAGCATAAATCTGTTAATTGTAAAAACAATTCAATTTAATCAGTTAAAACATATGATACATATATATCATGTACAGTATATTGTAGGTTAAATACATAGACTGTATATAGAATGGACAGAGTCTGCCTCCTTGCTGGGTGAAGCCACTCTGAGAACAGTACCCTCTGATGGTGGGCTGCAGTATAGGTCATAAATCCCGCCTCTGCCAGCAAAGATTATGGAGCTGTGGACAAACTTTAGAAATTTATTACACAGAACATAAATTTTTCTCTCCCCTGGTTGTGATGATGACATGTAGTTAAACGTAAGGCTAGTTTATGCTCAAGTCCTTTTTTTTTCTGTGCAGCTCAGTTTTTAAAAGTTATTAGGGGGTTCATGTTTTCTATGATTGACACCTGATACAGCCTATGGGCGTTCAGGGATTGCGTAGCTCTCCCGGGGGATAGCTGTTTGAGCTGAGCGTCATCACAGCAACTCTCGGCGACTGCACGGCCGAATGTGAGTTTTTTTTCCCTAGGATGGTCTAGGGAAATCCACGTAGAAAGGCAGCACTTGGCAGGAGAAGAGCTTTGATACCTGGGAGTACGGTGGCCTGGAAGTGCAAAACACGAACGCAAAAGAGAAAACGCAACTGCAAATCACAAAACACAACAGCAAAAGGGAAAACGCAAACGCAAAAGGGAAAAGGGAAAACGCAACCGCAAATCACAAAACGCAACTGCAAATCACAAAACACGACAGCAAATCACATATGCAAATGCAAAAGAAAACACGACAGCAAATCACATATCCAAACGCAAAAGAAAACACGACAGCAAATCACATACCCAAACGCAAAAAAAAGAAAAGATGACAGCAAATCACATATGCAAACGCAAAAAAAAGAAAACGCAACCGCAAATCCCAAAACACAACAGCATCGTCTCATATCTTCTTCTTCGTTATACTTTGATGGCAGTTTAATCCGCTGGGGGTGGAGTACTACTGCCACCTGCTGCATGTTGGAACGGGAAAGTAAACACGAACATGGACGCCGAAAGCAAAAGTGTACTTGAAATTATCCAGCAATATTTTGATGCAGGACACAAATATGACGTAATAGTCGACATGTTGTCGACTATTCACGGCAATAGCATGAGCATTCTCTTTTGCAGTTGTGTTTTGCACTTCCAGGCCACTGTATGGGAGACCACCAAAGTGCTCAAGAAAGGAGTATCAGTATTCAAAGGAGAATCGCAAGAAAAGTGCACCTCATTCCCTGGCCAAATGTGTAGATGACAACACACATCTTGGTGGTCATCACTAATGTTACTGCCTTACTTTTCTTGAGCTAGTGTATTTTTTCATATAGTTGCCTATCTAATAGCATATGATTACCTGAATGAAGAGGTTTTCCTAACTTATAAAGCGGCTCAGGTGGGAGGCCCTGTTTGGGCATGCATGTTGGTGCCAAGGAAGGAAAATGCTGACGAACACTCAAAATGTTATGATGTAATAAACATGTTGTATTGTGAAAACTGCATTCTGGCAATTATTGTGGTGTTGGTGACGATGATGATGATGATGAATATAGATCTCATTAAACTAGCTACCCATGCAGTGTTCATATTATGTGGTGTGGTGGTTGTAGTCTATATTTCATTAACCTCAAAGATGCTACTCATGCAATGTGCAAATGTAAGTATGGGGATTCAGTGTACATGAACTTATGTAGCCTATGAAATCTAGGAATATATTATTATTTTTAAAGCACCTCTCAGAATATGAAACACAGCTCAAAGCACATTACAGACTACAATGATAATTAAGCAGTATAGGTCTTGGACTGTGATTATCTTATCCAATGATTATTATTATCTGTGTATAGCACCATAGCACCTTTCATGATATGAAACAACTCAAAGTGCATTATTTAGTTTTGGGCTGTGATTATATTATCCAGCGATTATTATTATTATTATTATTATTATTATTATTATTATTATTATTATTATTATTATTATTATTACTATTACTATTACTATTATTATTACGCTATAAATAAAGTATAGCACGGATCATCAATATGATTTTCCTTCAACCACCAAAGGAGGCGCACTGAGGCAGAAGCGAGAGCCGTTGCAGGGACCAATCAAATGCGCTGGGGCCAGCCAAATGCGCGCATCACTACTACGCAGCGCTGGTTTCAGGAAATGAAAAAAAATCCCGGAAATACCGAGAGCTATTTGGCTTCAAATCAGTATACAGGGGGTAGGTGGAACCAAGTTGTCCATAGTATATACAGTCTATGGTTAAATATGACAAGCTGCGGCTCAACCAGGATTCATTTCGCTGAAATTTATGAGACAAATCAAACTGGATTTATCATTGATGAATACATAAATCTGTCATTATTTATTTAAAACACATTGGGTTTGTTGGTAGTATTATATGAATTTAATTCTTACTCATTTCATTTACATTGACTGACAAATATAAGAATCACTTACAAAAAAAAAGATTCATAAACCGTTGGGTCATGGCTTTAGAAAATGTCCTTATCACCTCCCACTGTGTATTGGATGCAGATATAGAAATCAGTGCAGAAACAAAAAAGAAAACAACAAAAGGTCTTGTTTTTGTGTCTGTGTTTACTAGTTTAATGTAAATGAAAACGGAATGATGAATAGGTGTGTGCATGTTTAAACAGCTGCTAAAAACATGAACAAATGTTTCCATCTTACATAGTAAAAAGCAGATGACCACTAAATGTGCTATGGTGATTTTCATTGTCAAATATTATTGTGTTTTGCCAAAGACGTAGAAACACAACATCTCCAACCTCTAGAAGCAGAGTTACACCATTAGAAGAAGATCCATAATAAGAAGGCTGATGCTCATATGCAATAAAAATATGGACTCCATTCTTCACCAACACAGCACCTGAAGCATGTGAAGCATGTCCATGTGCACCTATGTAAAACTCAAAGTGGTAGGCTCCTCTCACTGGTGCAATGAAGAAACCTGTGTGACATAATTTAACATTACATGTCAAAAAAGAATTTCAACACCTGTCAACTCTGCTGGTCCTCACACGAACTAAAGGTCACATTGATTAATATGTTTGTAGAATATGATACCTGTGTTTGGGTTGTAGGCATTTCCAATGTTTGTGACCACATGCCTAAACACCAAAGGAGTGTGTGTGTTAAATGGCCCGATAGTCCCTGAGCCTGATGCCAGTAAAGAGGCTGAGAAAGCCACCTGTACCACTGTGGGAGAGAACATATTATCGGTTAACTAATGTGGAAGCAAAAATGAGAATAAAATCTTGTATATTTTTGCAACTGATTCTTAAAACAAAACCTGAATTCATCATAATCAAAGACTTAATGATCCTCACTTAATACCTCTAAATTGTTGTTCCAGACTGTCCAGCTCAGTCTTCAGCTTGTCAATCTCAGTCTTCTGTAAGTCCAGTTTCGCTGCCTGTGCTTTGATATAAAAATACATCTTCTACATTAGTTTTGATTTGACCACAGAATTAACTTTCTTAAAGTTCTTCACTTTAACTGAGATACAAGAGATTCTTTTCAGTGTACTAAAACAACAACAAAAACATCATATCAACTGTGCATTATATCATATCACCTGGACGGTGGGCATACCTTCTTTCCATCTTTGTAAGTACCTCATCTCTACCCTCTGTTCAGCCAGTGAGGCACTCATCTCTCTCAGCACAGCATTGAGGTCTTGTGCACAGGTCTGTTGGTTGTCAGCAGCACCTTCTTGTTTTTCGCCATGAAGAGTGATTTGATTGTCTGAGCCTGCTTGAAGCTGAGCTGTGGATAGAGAGCAGAGAAGCAGCAACAGCAGGAAGCATATCAGTGTCATCTTCATTCTCAAAGTGGCAGTCTTTGTGGCAGTGGCAGTTTGTCTATGGAGTTCCACTGTCAGTCTCAGCCTTAAATAGTTCTGATTATTCTGATTAATCATTAACTGTTTAAAAGGACATGTCGTGTTTAAGAAAGCTGCTATGATATTTCTTTATCATTTCCTTGAAGTAATAAACACCATATTAATCATTTTAAAATGTAGATGCAGTAGTTCTTCCGCCTTAGCGTCCGATTGCATCTCTGTAAATTAATGATCATAAATGTTCTTCCTTGAGCTGCATCACCCCGCTGTAGTCTGTAATGGACTGGCCCGAGGTCTTGCTACAAACAAGCGGCTGCTGGAGGAGAGTGGGTAAGTTGTGTTTAGTCTCTTTGTTAAAGAAATTAGGTAAAGTTAAAAAGATGTTTGGTGGCTAGTGCTATAGCTGGGACCCTATATGTACTGTTGATGAAGTTAGGTGCTGTTCTGAGCATTATTTGTGGCTATAGAGTGGCGTTTTGGTTAAGAGTTGTTGATGGCTTCTTAAACTGCTGTGTAATGCTATGCTGCTGTCGTTACTGAAGTTGGTATAACCAGAGAAGCAAGCAGTTGGCAACATTCATCTCTCGAGGGGGTGTCTAACTTGGTGTTATGGTTAATTTGACACTAAATTATGTTTACGCCATAATATCCCTTAAAGTTGTGAACAAAGATGACAGTCCTAACCTGTTCAAACATCAATATTATAACCATTCACTGTGACCTGCCTCAGGTTGTTAGCAGCTGAAATAAGCCCAGGCTTCACACAAACACAGGCAACAGCCAATATTAGCAAATCTTTCCTGAAAACAGAGACTAAAAGTAGAAGTCACATCTACATGAAAAGCCTCTTATCTGAGCATGAATCAAAGAGACTAATTTTTCTTTCCGCACAGCACGGATGTCTTGTTTTCAGTTAGCCTGTGAAGGTCAGTCTCAGTCTAAACAGTGTCTTATTCTAATCAGCCATTTCCAGAAACTATCTGTCACAGGTGAGGGTTAAACAAAAGGAAAAAGGACCCAAAAATGCAGAACAAAGGATTCATTTAAAAAGAACTAAAAGAAAAAACAACAAAAACTTTATTCAAAAATGTCCACCCATAGGCAAAATCCAACAAAAGGCACAGGGGCAAAAAATCACAAGGAGACAAAGGATTTACGCATTGACTTTTACTGACACACATTGACCGACAAATGCACACAATATACCAACAAAGAAACAAGGGAAGACAGGGACTACACAGGGAAATGAGCAAAAAGAGTCAGGTGAGACACTGAGATGCAGGTGCAGACAATTACAGAGGAGGGAAAACTGAGGAAGTAAAACAGGACTAGACACAGGGAATAAACTACAAAATAAAACAGGAAACACTGAAAACTGATCTAAAGAATAAAACACTGAGAACATGAGGGAAACGGGGCCAAACACACTGAAAACTCACAAGACCACAGGGAACAGAAACACTAGAAAAACACAGAAAATGAACTCAAATAACAAAACTAAAAACTAAATTAACAGAACAAACCATGACACTATCAACTGAATTACATGAATAGAGGATTGAAACCTAATACATGTGAAATCAAGAAAGAAAAACAGACCAGCTGTCTTCATCCTCTGTTACTCAGACAAAGACATACTTTCTTACTCAGACATACTTTCAGTCCTGGGGAAATGGGTCAACCTATATTCAGGAAGTTTGACTGGTTTTTACACATATTCATGTTTATGTAAAGAAAATCTCAAAGTGTGATTTTTGGAGTTGCAGCAACATTTTAATGACTTGAGTGTGGATTAACACGTTTTGATATCAAATTTACTGTCTCCTCATGGCTGATATCAAAAGCAGATATGTGGACAAAAAATGAAGAGAAATAAAGAATACACTGAGAAGTGGTTCGTAAAAACATCATTAGTCTTGTTTTAACCTCCTAAGACCCGAACTCTTGCAAGGCATGCATTTTTATTTTCTCTTTGATATTTAGGCTAATTGGGACCTGATGAGTGTAAAAACAAAGAATGATCTTTTTACAGGATGTAGTTTCTGAGAAAAATGATGTCCACATATGAGGACATTCGTTTTAAATTTTGAGAGAAGGCCCTTGTGAACAAAATTTAATATTGAGGTCTTGACAACCAAAAATGTGATGTCCACACATGTGGACGCCAGGTCTTAGGAGGTTAAAGATTGAGAACAACAGACAAATTGACCTCTGTTGGCCTGTTAATGGGCTTAGATAAGCCAACGTGCAGCAGTGTCCCAATTTGGTTAAATAGTAACATGTTTATTTTTCTGCTTGCTTCCTCAATAAATGCAGATTAGTAATCAAACTAAAGATAAGAAAGGAGTAGTCGGGTTTGTAGTAAGATCTCCACCATAGCTTTATTCTTTGGACTTGCACGAATAACAAGTGCTCAGTTATTAAATCATAGTTTGATTTTTATCTCCACTTGAACATGGATCATATTCACTGTGTAAACCAAGCTTATTATTCAGACTTTACACAAACTTTGATTTTCAGCTAAAGCTCAGCAATCCAGCCGAGTCAAAATCAGGACATTCAAAACATTGTGAACGGAATTATCTTCTTCACAAACCTAAGTATCAGACAGGATAAAAAGACAAGGCATAAAATTATGCTAACAGCAGGCAAATAAAAAGAATAATCAATAAATGGTGGAAAATAGTTGAAGTTTGTTTAATGTAAGCAGGGGGCTATGATTAAATTGAGGGTTCTGTGCAGGCAGTTTGTTCTGCCAACGGGAGCCCAAGAGTCAAATGGCATGGTCCCCCCTGACTTTTGGTTTAACCCGAGGCTGAAAGAAGGCTTTGCTGAATAGAGAGAAACGCTGAGGAGTACAAAGAAAATGGAGGATGAATGAGTATTTTTTATATGGTGCCAATTTACAAAAATTGTCATCTCAAGACACAGAGCACTTTGCAGCATTCAGCAAGGAACAGTGGCAAAGATAAACTTCCTTTACCAGGCGGAAACCTCAAGCAGAACCAGACTCATGTAACTTCCTGCTAAGAATGTGTTGGGACTGGTAAGAGGGGTAAAGTGAGATAGAGAAAGAGAGAGAAGGTGAAAGGCAAGTAATGACAGCACTTTAATTAATGATACAGGACTGATCTTAAAATTTATGTCAGTCATCCGGTCTAATGTTTCCATTTAATGAAGTTGTTGAAAATAATGGAAGGAATGAAAGCAATTAAAGCAGTTGAAGTAAGCTGTTCTAAAACTAACATTAGCATTATAACAGTAATAACAACGATGAAGCTAACAAAAACAGCTGTAAGTCAATGTCCGGCATGTCCATAGTTGCAGGTCATCTGCAGCATCAATCAGGAGGAACCTACAAGACAAGGGAGCTCCAGGACTGCAAAAGATCTGAGGTCAATGACTTTATGATGATGACAATGATGACTATCAACATGAACTAGTTTATTTATCTGTTTGAAATGAACTTCGAGCTACCTCCTTTTGAGTGTGAACTTGCACAACACTGTCCATCAGTATGCTGTAAATTTTCCTAATCTGACACCTACTCCATCACAATGATTACAGGGATTCATAAATACAATATATTGTAAGTAGAGATTGTTTATCTTATCACAGCTATGTTTTCTTTGGAAGATTATATAGAAGCATCATTGTTGTTTGAAACTTCTTTACAGCCAGTCAAAACATCCTATACCAAATTCTAGGAGCACAGATCCAGCAGATGTGCGATATCACTCCTCACACACTTCATGCAGACATTTTCTCCAGACAAGTATTGGACCAAATTATACAGAAAAGCCACATTTTTACAAATCTTTGAACTATTGAGGACAAAAAGTCAAATTATGTTACCATTGCAATACAGATCAAAGCCTCATCCCCTGACTTCAAACTGGTGTGGATTACCATGTCCTATGTTGTTCTCATCTGAGTAAATACAAATTGGCACAATTGTCAAAGAAAACATAGGCAGTATGTATGTATGTATATAATGTATGAAGTAACTGGTGATGTACAATAAATATTAAAATATTTCATTTATTCTGCATCGAGATTACTGTATATGTTTTCAAACTGTTGTAATTCCACCTGCTCTGACATGTCAAAGTCTGGGCAACTGACTTGTCAAATGATATACAGTAAAATGAAGGTTAAAATATATCAAACAAAGCACTGCATCATGATTATTCTCAGCAGATATTAACCACACTATTTATGTAGCAGTAGAAGGTCACGTTTTTACAGAATCTTTGATGATTAGCTTGTTTCTCATCGCCAAAGACCTACAATGACATTATTAAGCATCCTGCTGAATGTAAGGGGTATATTTCCATTTTGAAAGATATTTCAAGTGTTTCTAAACAATGACTTACTGATGCAAAAAATAGCCAATTTTTGCCAAGAGTTTTCATGTGAAAAAAGTGCCTCAAGGGTAAGGTCAAAGACTTACTCCTAGTAACCCCAGAATCACATCAAAAACAACTACAGTTAAATAACCAACAGGAATTTGTTCCTTTGAAGGAATCAGTCAGCTAATACTGTACTCTTTAGACCGTGGAGATCCTTAACAATAAGTGAATAAGTCTTTCTGTAGGGTGGGACTTTTTTTTCTGAAGACAGATGTGACATTTCAGTGACTTTTTTGTGCTGTAGTGCCCCCTCCTGTCTATTAAACAGAAGTACTGAGAATTTTCTCAGGAAAGATAAAACACACCATCTTGTGTTGTCTTGTCTCTTGCCATGACCAGTGATGTAGAAGTTATTTTTTTCAGTGTTTAATTTCACCGTCAGCTTATTGTCTTGCTCTGAAGTCTCTCTGGGCAAGGATTACAAAATTTTCTAAAACATTCAAAAACAGTAGGACACACACATGTAAAATGAATCTCCTAAGAGTTCCGATAAAAGATTTTTTTTTTCTTTCTCAAAAAACATGTCTATGAAAATTCATTTTATAATGTGGGTAATGGCAATGTGTCTTTGTTTCATTTTAGCAAGAAATACAGAAAAGTTTGGTGTTATTCAGAGGGAAATATAAAGGGTGTGAAAAGTGCTCTTGTTGAAATTTGTGGTTAAAAACTTAGCAACAAACAGCGTCTTTCTCACTTAAGAGGGGACTCCCTGAAAGCATTGTTGTTCAGTTGTTTTATGAGGAATTGGAAAGTATGCAGTGATTTAGAGCTTGAACACATTTTACAACTTCTTCCCTCCTAAAACTCTGAGGTTTGTTACAAACCAAACCATTTGAAAATCAGTCTAAAATTAAGCAATCTATGGTTACTTAAATGCTACATGCACTGTAGACTGTAATGTTATGAGTGGGAAACTGACTGTAGCAAGATGGTCGCCATGCACGTACATCAATCTCCACTGATTTACCTATTAGTTTTGGCGAGTAAAATGGTTATAGAGGAGTAAAAGCATTTTGACAAATCTGCAGATGGAAGAGTGACCTTAAAACACTCAGACATGCCTGCTGGACTGGTGACCGCCTTTCTGTATGGGCGGATGTATCACCTGGACAATGAATGCAATGCTATTGAAAAGGTGTGCTGAAATATTGTATCTTAGTTTAAAAAACTAGCACACACTACAATGAATTGGAAATGAATTGTTTGATTATTTTTTAAGAACTCAAAACAAATCTTTACGATCATTTGGTTTTCCCTGATGTTTCAGTGGTATCAATCCCTAATATCCCTAGTTTCTTTTAAGAATTTTTTGACATTCTTAAAAGAAAGGCTGCTTTATGTCATTATTTCAGAAAAAAAGGGATATTATTTTTACTTTGAATATTCCTTTAAAGCTAAGACACCAATCTTTGAACACAGAAATACTGGTGAGAATTTTTTCTTTTACAAAACTAAGTTTTTCTTTTAATTCTAGCATGATTATCTTGTCAACTATGAAAAACAGCTTTTTTCCCCGTAAAATATCTAGATAATTCTGAGATAATGCACTTGGAACCGAGTGCAGTTTTATCTTGAAATAAATGCAGTCTATCTCCGTATTGAAGAACTTTACGTCATTGTAAATTATTAATTTCAAATATACCTCAAGGTAGGTGAAAAATTTTTTTAATAACTTTGAATGCATTTATTATGTACAAAGTTGAGATTTTATGGCGTTTTGAGGTTAAAATTGTGTAATTTCCTGTAGTTTTCTTCAGAATCAACGAGACCCTTTTGGCCAAATGTCTTTTTTCTTGTTGTCTTATTTTGTCCTGAAAGTCGTGACTCAATAAAATGAGGTGTAAAGGAATTTGTCCTTTATTGGCTTACTAATCTTAAAACACTCTTCATCCTTGCCCCCCTAAAAAAAACAACAGAAAAAAAGAAAATAAATTTCACTCCACGCCTTTTTCAAAACTTAAGAGCTACGCCATCATGACCTCTGTCAGTGTGCTCATTTTCCTCCATAGACTATGTTTTCCTCCAAAAACGCTCATAAAGCTAACAAACTTGGGTGTCATTTCGAGGTCCCTTTAAGAGGATGGGATTTACTGGGGGAAGTGAAGCAAGAGAGCTCTGGCTTACTTCCTTGTTGCCCTCACAATCAAAACATTATCCGTGCGCCATGGGTGAGTCTGCATCCTCGAAAAGACATTTCCTTATCTAACACTCTGCCTGCATTATCGGGAAGCTCCTCGAAAAGCGTATGTTGCAGCATGCTTCAGCTCAACGACACCGTGGAGCCGGAGAGCCCAGGCGCCGCGATTCTCCACCCTGCAGAAACCGAAGAGGGTGTCGAGGTTGCCTTCACGCCGCCGGAGGCCGGAAGAATTCTCGGACAGGGATCCTCCGTGGCCTGCTGCCCTCCGTTACAAACCCTGACGCCCTTCCACGTTCATAACCCCACGATGCAAGCGAAAGTAAAGGACTATTTCGTCTTTAGGGTAAGTTCACAGACACCCTCTTGCTCTCATTTAACAAACAGAGCGGTTTGTTTTGAATACGACCACATGCGTACCTCTCTTCAAAGTAAGCCCATTCACACTCGTGGCAAATGAACACAATCTCTGTCTCAAATACTCGTCAACAGCTGCGCATCGCAGATCTTTAAGCTTCAGCAGCACACCAGGGAGGAGTAGGTCGCTGGTCTATCTGATGATGATGATGATGATGTTGATGATAATGACGCTGCTAATGGTTGGCGGTTGTGTGATGCTGATTTCAGCCAGGTACCATCGAGCAGGCTGTGAGCGACATCCGGACAGTGGCACTCCCCTCCGAGGATGGAGAGGTGCTTAGCGTCTGGCTGCTAGCAGAGTGAGTAACACAGCAGCACGCCACCATTGTGTTTTTCACTCCACACATGATGGTGGAGTGATTCATGGATTTACAGTTTGTATAGCAGTTTATTGTGAACGGTGCACATCAGCGTACAAATCAAAACCACATCACATTTATTAAGGCAAGGGGCAAGTGCCAAGATTGAGTACATTTTCAACCTTGACTTGTACTATAATGTATCATTTAATCTTCATTCAACCAAAGGACTCACAAAATGACTACGTCATTTATCTAAGCACATGTTAAATTGTTCTTTGGAAGTATTAGAACAAACAGGTGTTTTATTCCTTTATACAGAGTGGACCATTGGAACAATGACAGGGAGAGACTTGTACTCATAACTGACAGGTAAGTCAAACTAAAATTTGTTGACAGATAGGCTTATGGAATTAAACCACCCAATATTTTACATTATAGTATAGTATAGTATTTATAGTATTAACATACTATTTGACTTCTTTTGGTTGTGTATTCAGGTCCCTGCTGGTGTGCAAGTATGACTTCATCAACCTGTTGTGTCAGCAGGTCATCAGGATCTGTCTCAATGCTGTAGACACGGTTTCAGTGGGCGAGTTTGAGTTCCCACCCAAATCCTTAAACAAGTAAGCCAACTCATTGTAGTTTAGACAGCTTATTAGTAAATCTTTAATCTTTTATAGTAACAGTCTTTCAGCTAAAACAGTTCTACATGCAGCCTTTAATTTCATTGTTGCTTAATTGTGACTGCTTCCTCTGCTGCCTTTTTTAGATGGACTTAAGTGAAGTGGAAAACTTTTCTGTGGTCTGACAAATCAAAATATGACATTCCTTTAGAATAGAGTGGAGGATGGACATAACATCCTCCATGCTATCTATACACAGTTAAAAAGCCAGCATCCCTAATGGTATGGAGATACATTTGTACCCATGGCAAGGCTAGTCTACCCACCTGGGAAGCCACCAATTATGATGAATGCCACACAAGTTATTGGAGCATGCCACCATCCAGACAATGGCTTTTTAATACAGCAAGAAGATATGAAACTATATTAAAAATAAATATAGCAGCATTGCTTTGCAGTTGAAGAGTTCAGCAGCTTAATTGGTCTACCTGCAGTTCCTGCTGACTCATTACCTATTAAAAGTATTTTGCGTGTTATGACAAAAATACCTAACAAAGAAGGCCCCTTACTGTTGGGCAACTAAAATCCAATACCAGACAAGAACATTTCCTTTAAAAGCCCAATTGTTGATCCCCCCAGTTCCAAAACATTGAGTATTATTAAAAGAAGAGGTGATGCAGCACAGTGATAAACATATCCCTGTCCCACTTGTGTTAAAATGTGCTGCTGGCATCACACTTCAAATAAGCATATCTTTTTCATAAACAATGACATTTTTCCCTTTCAACGTTTGATATGTTGCCCTTGCACTCTTTTCAACTAAGTAAAGGATTCACATGATTTGCAAGCCATCAAATTCTGTTTTGATCAACATTTAACTCAGTGTCCTAGTTGTTGGTGTATCGGGGTTGTGTGTGGCCGGGTTTGCTTGCAGTACCTTGGTGCAGTTGCCTTGTCATTTAGTGTCATACTGCTATCACACTGTTTAATTACAGGAGGGAAGGCTATGGGATTCGTGTCCAATGGGACAAACGTCCTCGAGCCTCGTTTTTAAACCGCTGGAACCCCTGGTCCACAGACATGCCCTATGCCACATTCACAGAGCATCCCATGGCCCGTGCTGATGAGAAGGTGGCATCTCTCTGCCAGGTATAATACCTTTGTCTTCTAGGGCTGTCTAAATTGCTCCAAAATGATGTTCGAATATTCGTTTTTAAAAATAACACATAGGTTTAAACATATTTGAATATCTATATTTGCAACTCCAACCCCCCTAGACACACACACACACACACACACACACACACACAAACACACACCTCTAACTTGTGCGAGCAATTAAAGGTCCCGACTCTTGTCTGTATAGACAGGCTTCATTCAGTGATTGAAGCAATGATTTTTGTCGAGTCTCACTGCAGGAGCAGCTTCTGGGACCTGTTCCTGACCCGTCGTTACAGTGCACTTACTCGCAAAACAGCCACTATTATTTTTTTCCTACTGTTTATTTTATATTCCAATATTAATTTTTACATTCTAATGTCGTTTTTTTTTTTTGTTAATATTCAAATATATATTTAAATTTAGAATATTTGTTGAAAACCCTGTTGTCTTCCACTAAATCATGAAAAACAAAGAAAATAAATTTGAATTATTGTCATTGGGAATTATTTGATGTTTTAAATGTACCTAGGGAATAAAGCTTGTCATGATCGATACATTATTCCTTTTATGTGTCGGTCTGGTGTTGTGCCAGCCTACAAACAATGGTGACCGCTGGTGCTGCAAGTGTTTTATGCAAATTAGCCAACAAAACCTTGAACAGTCATCGTCTGACTGAAAACAATAGTGATTGCAGCCCTAAAAAGAAGAAACTCATGCAGCCAAAGAAAGCAAGTTATTCATTCAACAATAGTCATGACTGTGTATTAACAGCTATTGCAAGAGCTGTTTTATTGTTAAGGAAAGAAGAGTACCTGGGTAGTTTCCTCAGGATATTAGTGCATCTTTTTTGTTTCAAGCTGTCACGTGCTGCAACATGTAAGAACATTTGGGCTATGGAGTCTCAAAATCTCAAAACTTATCCACAGCCCACAAACATGTTGCTTTTGAACTAGAAGATAAAGAGTTTTGCATAAATTTGGACACACCTGTACAAATGAATAAACATAAGATGTAAATCACATGTGTTAGAAGGAGAGATGTTCTGGTGTTATTCTCCTTTTCTTTTTGTATACATAGTTGGACAATTTCAGAACCCAGCTGGTTCAGGCAGTGAAGAAAGCCCATAAGGAACACCCCATACCTGGTAGGGCGAATGGCGTCCTGATCTTGGAGAGACCCCTGCTCATCGAGACATATCTGGGTATCATGTCCTTCATCAACAATGAAGCCAAGCTGGGATACTCTATGACCCGTGGCAAGATCGGCTTCTAAAGTCCACTGCTGCCGTAAATTACAACTGAGTTCAGCCCATATGTCTGTGTTACACTGTGCTGACTGAGGGAAGCTGTTTCTCCACCACAATGTAATGCATAGTTATTGTGTGTAAGTTGAGCTTGTAAAACGTCCACAACCCCTTGAGTTGGTGATACAGAGAAGTTATTAGTGTGCTATCAGGAGACAATGCGCAGCACTGCATTGGCTGTCTACTTCATGCACTTTTGAGTGTCTACCTGCTTTTCATCAGTTGCTTTAGTTCTGCCATTCACTAGTGGACCTTCAGGGGTGTGTGTTGGTGTGACGTACGGTGATGAGAAAGGACACATCGACTCATGTGTTCGATCCTTTCGAACTCTGCACTTGATTTGGAAGGAGACTTTGTGCTCTGTCTTTAACCACTTATTGACTGACTGTCAAAACTGATACAATATCTATTGTAAATTATGATAAATGAAATGCCAATATAAAAGTTGTTATTTTCAGGGTGTGCTTTTGTGAAATCTTCCAGTAGCAAAAAAAGGGAACCAGGTGAAAGGCAGCAAAACATGCAGTGAAATTGTGACTCCAACTGAAATATGCTCCTATATAGATTCATAAATATTGTTTCAAATGAAGGACTGCGTTATTCAGACATTCCTCAGGCCAAAGGGGAACTCCAAGCAGCTGATGGATTGAATAAGACCTGTCACATGGTCAATGTAATACTACTAGAAGGGAAAGTGTCAAAAATCCGGCTGCTCAAGTGACAGACTTTTGAACTGTCAGTATTACTAGTGCAAAATAACAGCTACAAGACTGTTTTAATGTGAAACTTCAAGGAAATGATAAGTTCCATATCTTGACTTTTGGCCAACGTTATGCTTAAACTTATGTAATTTCTGTTGTCCAGTGTCTTAATGAACTTTTTCACAGAAGTTCTACTACTTGTATTAAGGCTCTCATGAAACAGATTCAGGCAAAGTTGAGCTTCAATTGATCAACCACAGACTGTATGTACTTCAGTGAGTTTTTTAATAACTGTACTACCAAAGGTAACAGGCCATACTTCATGATCAGCATTGCCAGTGAATAACTGTGTCCCAAAATGCCTTCTTTTAGTTTTAGCATGTTTCCTGCACGTTATGTTTGCATGACAGATGACTTATAAAAAGAATATTCCAAAGTGATTTGTAAGCACTAGTCCAGTTTTATGCATCTGCTGTTGATTTGAGAAAAAACAATCCATGAATGCTTCTACAAAATCCATATTTTGTTGCCAGTTTTGAAGTGCTTTATTTGGGATTTTTTTTGGAGGAGATGAAATATTATTGTGAACATATAAAGGAGATAATAAAGACTAACATGTTCTAGTCAAGGCATCTTCTCTGGTATTTGTGTAGAGGTGTGTGTATATATATATCCCATCTCATGTTCATTCTGTCAGGCAACAAAGAAGTCAAAAGATACAAGAATGATATTCCCCTAATGTTTTGAGTGAGTACAAGTAATACAACTGACAAGTAATAACATAAAACCTCAGTGTCATTTTTGGTTCCACTTGGGAAATTCCATACACTGACATAATATCTGTGAGGCTGTAGAAGAAGTTGTCAGGAGTTATGACTGTTTGTTCCATGGAGAAGGAGAGACAGCAGCAATCTCAATTTAAGGACCAAAATCACTGTTGCTGTAATATTCGTTATTTCTTTGTTTCTATGTTAACAACCTAAATCCCTCTCGGACATCTTGAATTGGCTACAGCCTCAGTGTACAGTGTCTCGTTAAGTGTTTTTTTTTAATTAATTGACTCTGGAATTTACATGGAAATAAGGAAACAAACAGTTTCTACTTTTACTGACATAACTGCACAGTTTTTATGAACTCACTTTAAAACAAATTTTATTCCAAATATTTACACAATTTAAATGCACAATCATTTTACATTCAAAGAATACATAGTGCAGTAACACAAAGTGAACTACGTAAACCTCTATCTTTCACAGTGTCAAAACCAGAGCTTGTTCACACATTTGATCATTTAAAAAGTGATTTATATCCATTAGTTGTCCACTGGAAAAATTTGTGGTTTCTCTGTGTGTTTTTATATAAAATGGAACATCTCAGTAACCAGCACTGAGCACCTTCAAGGCCTTGTAGTGGAAATGCAGTTCAACTTGAAAAGACTGATATTTTTTATGAGGAGCAATCAGACCAGTGTCTTAGTCATCCCTTTTACACATTCTCACAAAGTGTGCATAGATTAGAAAAGCCTACTGTGTAAATACAGTCTTCCTTGAGGTCTACGTTGGTGTGCGTTACTTGTCTTCCTGGTCAGAATCCATGTAGCACAAACAGAGCTGCTCCTTTGACAGCAAGATCAAAGAGTCCCCACTGCAGTGCCAGTTCAGTGACTGAACCTGGAAACCACCTGGCAGGATAGAAAAAGGATCAAAATCAATGAAAGTGCATTCACACTAAAACAAAATAAAAAGGTTTGTTAAAGAGAATGTCAAGTTTGAAGAAAAAAAAAAACATTTGCTGCTGACATGCATAGGCTTTTGCCAGCATCTCCACTCAGCCTATTTTTACAAAACCCAATTCCAATGAAGTTGGGAAGATGTGTAAATTGTAAATAAAAACGAAATACAATGATTTGCAAATCCTTTTCAACCTATATTCAATTGAGTACACTACAAAGACAATATATTTAATATTCAAACTCATAAACTTTTTTTTTTGTTTTTTTTTCAAATAATTACCTCAGAATTTGATGGCAGCAACACGTGACAAAGAAGTTGGGAAAAGTGGCAAAAAATACTGAGAAATTTGAGGAATGCTCCTCAAACACCTATTTGGAACATCCCACAGGTGAGCAGGCTAATTGGGAACAGGTGGGTGCCATGATTGGGTATAAAAGCAGCTTACTCAAAAATTCTCAGTCATTCACAAGCAAGGAAGGGGTGAGGTTCACCACTTTGTAAACAACGGCATGAACAAATAGTCAAACAGTTTAAGAACACTGTTTCGCAAAGTACAATTGCAAGGAATTTAAGGGTTTCAACATCTATGGTCCATATTATCATCAAAAGGTTCAAAGAATCTGGAGAAATCACTGCATGTTGGCGGCACGGCCGGAAACCAACATTGAATGCCCGTGACCTTTGATCCCTCAGGCAGCACTGTATCAAAAAACTGACATCAATGTGTAAAGTATATCAACACATGGGCTCAAGAACACTTCAGAAAACCACTGTCAGTAAACACAGTTCGTTGCTACATCTGTAAGTGCACGTTAAAACTCTACTATGCAAAGTGAAAGCCATTTATCAACAACATCCAGAAACGCCGCCGGCTTCTCGGGGACCAAGCTCATCTAAGATGGACTGATGCAAAGTCGAAAAGTGTTCTGTGGTCTGACGAGTCCACATTTCAAATTGTTTTTGGAAATAGTGGACGTTGTGTCCTCCAGGCCAAAGAGGAAATGAACAGCATCTGTGATGGTACGGGGGTGCATTAGTGCCCAAGGCATGGGTAACTAACAAATCTGTGAAGGCAACATTAATGCTGAAAGGTACATACAAGTTTTGGAGCAACATATGCTGCCGTCCAAGCAACGTCTTTTTCATGGAAGCCCCCGCTTATTTCAGCAAGACAATGCCAAGCCACATTCTGCACGTGTTACAACAGCGTGGCTTCGTTGTAAAAGAGTGTGGGTACTCGACAGGCCTGCCTGCAGTCCAGACCTGTCTCCCATTGAAAATGTGTGGCACATTATGAAGTGTAAAATACGACAACGGAGACCCTGGCCTGTTAAACAACTGAAGCTGTACATCAAGCAAGAATGGGAAAGAATTCCACCTTCAAAGCTTCAACAATTAGTCTCCTCATTTCCCTCATTTCCCAAATGTTAAAAGGAAAGGTGATGTAACACAGTGGTAAACATGCCCCTGTCCCAACTACTTTGGCACGTGTTGCAGCCATGACATTCTGAGTTAATTTTTAATTGAAAAAGAAAAAAGTTTGAGTTTGAGCATTAAACATCTTGTCTTTGTAGTGTATTAAATTGGATATAGGTTGAAAAGGATATGCAAATCATTGTACTGTCTCTATTTACGTTTATCACAATTTCCCAACTTCAATGGAATTGGGTTTTGTATTATTATAACCTTTATTTCAACCAGGTTAGTCCCACTGAGATTCCAGATCTCTTTTGCAAGAGAGAACTGGCCACAAAAGGGAGCAAACAAAGTTTTGACACATAATCATTATAACAATATCAAAATACAAATAAACAAATAAAATTTGATGATGTTGCAAAATACAAATCATGATTGAATTTACAAGATTAGTTAATTATTTGAAACATTTGCACTCAAATAAAACAGTTTCACTCCTGAAGCCTGAATGATTTACACCTGGTGTAAATAAGAGTGCCCCATTCTTCTTTAAACAAGAGCACAACCTCACCAAGCTGTGTATTCAAGCTGCAGCAAGCTCTAGTACCCTGCTTATACCTGCTATAAAACAGGTTTCTCATGGCTTCATATTTTTCTTAAGTTTAATGAAGGTGAAAAAGGCTCTGTCTGAATTTGCTTATGATGTGAAAAAGTGGGATCCAATGATGAGAGGTCATTGGAGAAGCATCTGGCTTCAAATGTCCAAAACTGTTCGCCGGAGCCGGCATTTCTGCGTCAATGTGTATTGGCCTGGCCTGGATGGAGTCAGACTCCTGGCCTGAATTATGGTCCCAGTCTGCCCCTGCTTTCCAGAGTAGGCTTATTTCCAGCTGCCCATGACACATCTCCAGCTGTGAGTTGCTCATGTCAACGGCACTGATTCTGAACGTCTAGAAAATGCAAGGAATTTGTGTCCAAAAAAGGCTTAAGAAAGTTACCTTCAGTGGGGACTTGGACAGAAACACAGCCTGCAGGGGACCACAGATAAAGTTTGGTGTTGCCTGTACACAGTGCCAACCGGGGGTGACGTGGGTCCCACTGAAAGCAACGCACAGCTGATGTCTGCTCAAGCACGGCCTCCAGGGTCATCTTCTGCATATCCCACACCCAGACAGCACTGGACATGTTGTCTAGAGTCAAAAACACACAAATTCACAACCAGGCATTCTCAGCTTCTGGAACCAAGCGTCTTTCGATTTTTTTAAGAATGCTTGCCATTTTTGGTCGCCAAATAGCGGCTGTCTGAGCTGAATGCCAAAGCAGAGACACCTATCTTTGGGTTGGCTCGCTCAGGGTCAGGTTTGACAACAGGAATATGGACTGGAGGTGGACATATCTCATCTGGTGTAGAGAGCAACAACAGTCAAGAGTTCTTGATGAGCAAAAGGTTAATACTTGACCTTTATATTTGGTATAAATACTGCTAGCAAGATATTGTTTGAATGATAGCAAAGACATGTACATTGGCTTTGGGTGTTAAAGAGGGTGGCACCAATTGTGATGTTGTGAAGCGACAGATCATCACTTCCAACAGCTGGCCGTCTTTCTACCTCCTTATAAACAACCTAGAAACACAACAAAAACATCAAGTTACTGATTTCATTTCAAAGCTCGTCATGAAGGCTGGAAAATACTTACAGCTTTTGGGTTGTTGATGGTTGCTAGGTGTTCAAACTGTGCCATTTTTTTCCATGTGATATGATTGAGGATGCGGACCTGGGAAAAATATCTCATAGTTATTTTCTTTTAAGTCTTACGAGGGAAAAAAAACACAATCCATAAAAAAAAATATTTAAACATATCTGACGATTAAAATAAATGAACTTGTACTGTATGAGTGTAGTATTGCCTCAAGTGATGTCATTTAAGTCATAAAGAGTTTGGGTGTACAGAAAAGCTGTGGATAAGTAGTGGTCTCAGTAGCCTGCTTCTCATCTGTACATGAAGATAGAAAGTCCTGGCTAAGTTTACTGCCATTAGAGTAACACCTCTGACTCAGTTGTTGCCATTACAGGTTGCATTTTGACTGAGGTTTTGAACAGATGAGAGACAATCAAAAAAAGCCAAATGTCCTGTTATCCGTTAAAAAAAAACTGTACAGGTCTGGTTGGACAGTTGCAGAAAAATACAAGGCTAAATTAGTTGTATTTATATTATAGTTATTGCAGCTCTATGTTGCTTTCCTAGTCTGTAAAACTCCCCATGAGAGGAAGAGGTTATATGACATCATAGTAGTTTAATTAGCTGTATTTTCTGACAGTTGTGTCATGTGATGTGTTTATATTCTACCTTTTTTTCTCCTTGTCATTAGCAATAAACACATGGCTTTACAAAGGTTAATGGAACTCTGAGTGTGCTGTGTTAGGGCGAGCTTTTATGTGACATCCAACTTCTCACTGCCATAATCCTTAATAATTGTGTAGCTGATCTCATTACTTTTTCATCGTAGCTGCCTATGGCCAGGAACTGGCTGCTGGGGCTCCAGGTCACTGACTTCACACCCAGTGACCACTCATAGGCACTGTAGATCGACAGCAACCGACCATCCAGAGAATACGTCAACACCTTGTACTGAAGAGATGATAAACATACATAAAACAAAATCTCTATTCATTGTCCCTTATAAGTACCTCACTAATTACGCATCCCTGCTACAGTTGGTCATGACAGTGACCTTTTTTTTGTTTTTAACTATTTAAAACACTACATTAAAATGAACAGATGACAGCTTTGTGAGCAAGTATGCTATTTAACCAAAAATTAGTGACAGACAATAATGTGTTTAATGTGTGTACTTTGCAAATGAAACTGCTTTAGTGAGAGTCCTTTACTGCATACCTACAATGGAGTAATCAGTTCTTAGCTGACCATCTCTGCGGAAAAGGGCTAGTTTGCCCCTTACATAGTAATATGCTAGAAAGTAAATAGGAGCAAGTTCCACAAAAGCAATAAGGTAAGTAATGCCTTCCCCATTCTCTTGCTCATCTTCAATCTGCAGAGCAAATGACTCACCTCTAGACAGCTATCCCACACTGCTAGCACACAGCCATTGGGAGACCACTCCAGCCCAGCAAGGTCTTGCGTCTCAGTCTCAAAATGCTGCAACAGAGTCAAGTTATATCAACTTACACAATGTGTTCCCAGTAGCATGGCATTACAACCAAATATACATTTGATCGACAGCCAATTTAAAGCATCTCCAGGCAGTGATGATATAGTTCATGTGCTAATTCATACTATTATTCAATCAGATTTAAAAGGATTTACTTCACTTTATTCCTATCAAACTCACAGATTGAAACTGAGATGTTTTTTAGTTCTTTGTTGTCTCTGACATTGCCTCTCGGGATGTGAAATACTTAGAAACAGTCATAATAAAAAAATATATATGTTGTTCTACTTACCCTGAGCAAATGCCAGTCATCACATACAAATACACTAACATAGTCTTTGCAGTCACGACGTTCAGCCAAAGCCATATAGCAGCCGTCTCTGCTGAAATCTATACCTGTGTTTGAAAGGGTTTGGAAGAAATCTGTAATTTTATAGATATCACATAATTTTACAAACATAATCTTACTGTTATGGCTGAGTTATAAAAAATGTTCACATAGTATGGTGCAGTCCTTAAAAAGCCTATAAATATATATATTTTTTTAATTGGCTCCTGCCGGAGAAATCAAGCCAATAATGTTTGATTTCTTAAGAATTATGTCAAATCAGCAGTATTGAATCAATGATCATGCCCCTCAAGGCTGCTTGTGTATTTCATCTGAAATAATTACGTGACACTTTGGCACCACCAGGTCGCTGGTATGTAGCAATCATTGCGGTATTATTTATATGACGGCTGTGAGGATTCACAGGTTTCAGAGGGGCATAGTATTGCATGTGGAAAATGAGGGGAGTCATAGACCATCATTTTTCCCCATGCTGCTGACAGGCCTGTTATGAGGAGTATGCCCCATCTACTGAAGAGAGGCACAGCTGTCAGCAAAGAGGACTGTAGTTTGGCCACATATCCAGGGTTGTGCCCCAAGGTAAAGAATGGCATGTGATACATGACATGCAGAGGCACTAAGATGACTGGCCCTGTCCTCAGGTACTCTGCGTAATACATATGTGCTCATAAGCCAGGAGATAATAAATAAAACAATATTATTCTTATACTGACCCTTCTGACATACTTTGGGATACTTGATGTAAGACACTGCTTTGGTGCACAGGGACCAGACGGTGATTCTCAGCTGTTAGGGTACAAGAAAAAAGAAAGGATAAAAAACTAACTGAGGATTATCTCTAAATAAAAGTTAGCAGGCAAACCATACTGCCAGGCTGTGCAAAGGGCAAACAGGCATATTCAAACCAATGCATTAGAATCAAAAATGAATTTGAGGGCCAGTTCATATGTTCATATTTAAGTCAGTATGGTATCAGTATCAGTATCAGTAAATCACAAAAACAAACTGTACTGTTAAAATAAGGTAAAACAAGACATACTTTATAAATGGTTATTTAGTATTAAGATAATTATGCTTGGCAAATGATAACTATCAGGCTCTAAAGCAACATGTAAAAAATAGAAAATCAGGAGCTGGATTTTGATGTGACCTGAGGTTTAACAAACCACTCTGGAACAACTGTGTTCCAGTGTTAAAGCTACTGTGAGGAGTTTTTTGAGGTTTGTGAAATAGGCTGACATTCACATCGATGCCTTTTTATGCTGTATGAAAGCAAACAAGGCCATAACACTGACATTTTTTGTTATTGCAATTTCTACTTTCTGAAACTCCTTTAAGGTAGCTGGGTTTCAGCAGAGAAGCTGAAGACATTTCCCATATCGAATGTTCACAATAAGTCATACATTTGACTGCTGAAAGTTAGCAGGATGATATTTTGGTCGAAAATCACCGCTTAAGCATGTGGAGGACAAGACAAGCAAAGACTAACACAGAGGGTGTCAAAGTTGACACAAACCAAAAGTTCCTCACAGAAGCTTTCAGAAGATCAAATTCAGCATTTCTCTTCAGCAAGCAGATCCCAACTGTGACAGTGATCGTTTACGTGTTGTCCACACTGTCCAATTTAAAGCTCAGAAAAGGTGGTCACATGTCCAGATGGTTGAAGAAGTGTTCAATACAACCAACACCTGTGCACTAGCTTGACCACTGAACAGCATTGAGCAGCATGCCCTTTAACAGCCGTGGACAGAGGTCTTAAGTCTTTGAAGAGGTCAACGACAAATCCCTGTGAAGGATGTGGGACACAGATGTAGAATCCATCCGTCACTATTTGGGTAGCCATGTAAAGTGCTGAGAGTGTGGAGAGTTGTCTTTTAGTATAGCTTCACATGTTGGAACCCTGCAGTCACTGACAGGAACAAAAAAACTCATACAGATCAGATGACCTTTTCGGACTTGTGGGGCTCATGTGAAATGAGCAGATCTGTAACAATATCTTGACGCAAGCAGGAAGGAAGACCTGTTCATTACCCAGCCAAGATGTAATGTTAGATGTGTGCTATAAGAGTGACAAATGGCCATTAAGTTGTACAGCTAGTGTGCATTTCCTTAAATGAGAAGCAGTGCCAATGCATGATATATTGTGAGAAGCAGTAAGAGCAAGAAAAGTAAATGGAAGAAAGAAGATGGTGTCAATGCCCTGTTCTGGCAGAGGCTATTCAAATACTGTCTAGTTCCACTTCAAAAAAACGGAAAATGCTTCAAGGCACAAGGTGCACGACAGGACCAAGGGACATTGTTTGGTAATCTGTGGTCTGTACCGCTGTACATCCTTCTAGGTTTTTTGCAGAGGTTCAACAGGCTGCAGATGGCAGACAACAAACACAATGTATAATGTAAAACTTTTTATAAATACCTTTACTGGTGCTTTATGATACTGACTTTACCACTCTGTAGTTCTGCAGTTTCACACAGAAAAGATCAACTGTTTAACTTCTATTGGTGCTGTCAATTTTTGCACAATTATGATTTCTCTACAACCTTTGAATAAAACCATAAAGATCAACCTATATAACATGCATGCAAACAAAAAAAGGCTGCAACATTAAGGGTGCTATATGTATACCCCTAACACCTTTCCTTACAGCTTATGGTAAGTTAATTCAAATGAAGTACATGCAACACTGTCAAATTATGTTTTACATAATTATAAAAAACACTGACATTAACCCAAATGCGTACACAATAAACACACAAAATTTCAACATGTTTTCTTCAAAACGTAATTTGGATTGTTATTTAACCACCAAGCAGTAACATCTTTTAAATCACATTATAAAACATTTTCACATTTCACTTTTTCAGGCTTGCTTTTACATGATTTTTTTACATGATGCATGATTGATTAATTTAGTTATTTATTGCCTACATACCTCTTGTTTAACCTTGTTAGTTATTTATATTATTCTATTTTATCTGCATACGTATCTTACAATTACCTTTAAACTACTTTTATTCTTACTGTTTTTTGTCTCCTCACCGGTTTCTTATCATTTTAGTCCTGTTTTCACCATTTTTCCATGTTTTAATATACTCCCTCCCTTTTCATTATTACCCTTATTTTACCTTATCTTATTGTATTATTTATTTCTCTCTTTCTTTTATATCTGTCCTCTGTCCACCTTCTTCTTTTCCATCTTTCTGATGTGATGCTGTCAACTGTCAATTTTTAACTGTCAATTTATCTTTGTTTATTTCAGTCTTAGTTTGTTTCATCTGTTAAAGCTATTTGTAAAAATCTGTTTTTAAAGGTGCTATATAAATAAAGTTATTATGATTATGGTTATTATAGTGTTGTCTTTCTTGGAGTCAGGAAGATCAGAAATTTTTTTTTCGAATTCTTCGCACCTTCACTGCCTTGTTTTAAAGAGAACCCTCTATACCAACCTCAAAGGAAAAATAATAACAAATCCTCCTTTGGCTTATTGTGCTCAATTTTTTAAACATAGGTCAAATTCACTTTAGTTTCTGCAGAGATAAAACTGTTGACGTGTCAAGGCTGTCATCAGGTGTCTGGGCAGATATTTGAACTGAGCTAAGTCTGTCGACTAACTGAGCAGAAGTGTTGACCCTCCTGTTAGGTTCAAGACATCCAGCTGTGTAGGCCCTGTAATAACACCTCACTGCACGCTTCCTGGACATCCCCTCAGCCATGGTACCATAGAAACTATGATCAACACCGCTCAAACACAAACACACTTACACTTCTTAGATGCCATGAACCTGCCATGTTAGAGGGACCCACAGAGACCAAACCCTATAAGGAAGTGTAACTTAAAACTTGTTGAAGGATGGGTGGCATGAGGAAAATAGGTGGGAAATGCTTCTCCGTGTGGACTGGTATGCAATAAGATCCTTGGTTGGTAAAGCTACACTTAAGATAAATTATCATCACCAGAGGTGAGCAGAAGTTTGAGGATAGGAACTTGGGGGATCAGTGTGGTGTAAAAGCAAAACATGATGACTTCAGCTGCCATTTATCTGTCTCAGATGGAAAATTTCCTGTCTGTGCTTAGGTTAACTCAGACTGGTGATTCGCATCAAGAGTAATAACAGACAAGAACATCTTTATTTGTACCGCATCACAATACATACAAGAGCTTCTTATTTTGTAATGCTCTAAAGCAGGGGTCGGCAACCCGCGGCTCTGGAGCCGCATGCGGCTCTTTCGTCCCTAAGCTGCGGCTCCCAGTGGATTTGGAAAATAAATAATAAATACTTAATTGCATTTTATTTTATTACTATTTTTTTTTTGTAATTCTAAATTCAAAGATTAAAATGCTCTTGTAACATTAAATAAACTATTAAGGCTGCAACAACGAATCGATTAAGTAGATTCGTCGTGACGAAAAAATCCGTTGCCAACAAATTCTGTAATCGATTCGTTGGGTCTTTATATATGTCCATGGACACCGGCGTGTAAACATCAGCAGGACGCACAGAAAAGAAACAGCCATGGCCGAGGCAGCGGCTGAGAAAAACATGGACACAACCCAACCCAAATCCCGACCTAAAACATCAGTGGTGTGGGAAAACTTCACCAAGACTGAAAAGGAAGGCGTTCAGTGCAACATTTGCAAAGACCGTTTTGCGTGGCTCGGGAGTACATCGATGATGCGTGAGCACAGGGCTCTCAAGTCTCACGCATTCAGCGTATGACACACGCATTCCCACTCGTTCACACGCTCACACACCACACATTGTATTTCTCACGCATTTAAATGAACACTTCTTCAACTATGGAACTGGGGGAAATCAACTGAGTTCCTCCGAGAGTTCAGAAGCTGCGTGCCACGCACAAGCCAATCAAATAGAATATATCTACTGAACAGCCAATCAAAAAGCAGCATTGCTGTATCCGGGTAGATTTTGATATCTTGCGGTTTAACTACAGAAGAAGACAGACACTCGCCGAAATAGTTCATTTATTTCATAAATGCAACTCGCTACAGTTTTTTATATACTTTGTATAAAGGTAAAAAAAAAAAAAAAAGATATATGCAATGTTATCTTCATTTTAGATGTCAAAGAGGTTTTGTGGCTCCCTGTGTTTTCTTTTCTGTGGGAAACTGGTCCAAGTGGCTCTTTGAGTGTTTAAGGTTGCCGACCCCTGCTCTAAAGGTAGGTCCCTTTAAAACTGAAGTCAATGTAAATCAACAGGTCTTCTAAATAGAGCTGAAGTAGTTGCATTGCTGTCTTTCATAACAAGACCTACAAACCCTTTAAGACTATTGCTAGAAAGGAGCTGTACAATCAAACTACACTTGAAATATTGTGAAGAGACAGCCTAGTTAAGGCACTGCCAAATGTGACAATTGTTGCTAATTAAATACAAGTACTCATAAATGGAAAAATAAAGAATTAGCTGACATTCCCAACAAGACAGTCTGTTGGCAACATGATAACTACGATCAGTTGTGGACAAATGTTACTGACAGCAACTTGGAATAAAAGATATCCATCAGCCATTCTTTCTGCGCACCTCAGCAAGTGCCAGGGAATGGGTGAGGGTTTTTGATGCCATATAGGCCTATCTGTCAACAGAGGATTAGACTAAGCATTCCACATAGGAAGCAATTTCAAACCAATATAGCCTATTTCTCCTATTACAGCCTCATAATTCTACCAAGGAACTGGAGACCTTCACAGAGCCATTGTCCCGTGTTTCAGAGTAGCAGCTGCCTACGTTTGCAGTGTAGCTCAGTGGCATTACTGCCAACAAAGCTACATGTTAGCGAGGCTCCAGTGGTACTGGCCAAGAATGCTATCGCTAATCCGATCCCAACAATGTAAAAACCATTAGAGAAGATGTCCTTGGCTGGAGTTTTCCACCCTTGGTTTATCACCCCTCAGCAGGTAAAGGTGGATGAACATGGAAGTGTGACCTGCGTTTTGTGAGGTCCTAAGATAAACAAGTGAAAATCAAATAGAAGACACAAAGTCTCACAATTCACCAGCTAGGTTTTAGCAATGCAACTTTCTATTAAACCTGTGAAATAGGACCATCCCACATTTGACAGCAGTTAAGAACATGTTCACTCCTTAATCAAAGCATTCCCAACTCTAAGTGTAAATGTGAGGCCTACCTGTAGTTTTTCTAGGGTTTCCACCAAGACAAACGCCTTTTTACAACTGTTAGACTACCAGAGATACACTTGAAAATTTCTATGTATCTGCAAAATACTTAAAGTATTTTGTTTACAGCTGGACAAAACAAAAAAAAAAACAAAAAAAAAAAAAACAACAACAACAACAACAAGACAGCACTAGGCCAGAAAAGCCACAAATGCACACAGGAGACTTTACAGATTTACTAATACACACACACACACACACACACACACACACACACCAAAGCACAATCTGCCCCACAGGCAGCTGTCCCTAAACAAGTTAATATAGCAGGCTGTTTATGAGCGGAGCTGAAATTCGAGCCTGACACGAACACCCGTCTGGCACAGTCTTAATGAAATCTTGGGCCAGGGTGAAGGTAAGTTCAGTGGGGCCCTTGGCAATGAGGTGCCTCCTCTGCTTCTGTTAAGGTAGTCTTGCATCCTCAATAAAAGGACAATATTCAGGTTTAAACTGATGGCTCAAATGTAGCTGGTAGTAAAGCAGTGTGCTGCAGTTATATATATATATTTTTTTTTTTTTTTGATGCATCACATCTAAGTAGATGTAACATGGACTGCCATGAAAAGTTCCTTATTTTTTCACATAAATGATTTGAAAAAAATCTTATCTTTTACAATGCACAAGGAAAATTACAAAATGTATATTATACAAAGGCACAACTTCAGGGCTAACAGTTTATTCCCCTGGTGCTAAGCAGTGTTTTCTCAAAGCTTATGAGTAAGAAATACTGACATAGGGTCACTCTCTTAAAAAAATATCTTATGCACCTTAAATTTGATTGAATAAAGCAAAATATAATCATCTAACTCAGGGGTCGTCGACCCCGGGCTCTTTCTTCCTTAAGCTGTGGATTTGAAAAATAAATAATACATATTTAATTTTTAAAAATAAGTATTATTTATTTATTTTTTTGTAATTCTAAATTCAAAGATTATAATGCTCTTGTAACATCTAATAAACCATGTTCAATTTTTTCAATCGCTCAAAATTTGCATCATAACTGCCGTCTTGGGAAAACCCAAAAACCTGTGTGAAGATGAATGTGATGTCACACAGCCTGGATGTGGAGACGCTGTGCACTGAGGTTCAGGAGCAAACGTCACATTAAGCAAGTAAATTTTACATTTTAATTGGCTATTATTTTGCAAATACACACTACAGGCCAAAAGTTTGGAAGCAAATTCAAATTTTTACAAAAAAAGACCATAGTTTCATATATGTAATTTGCAACACAGTAAACATGACTACTGTATAAAGAGTAACTTATCAGAAGACATTTTGACTATAATTATTAGGTATTTGAGTTGTTGTTGCTTAGACTTTCCTTCTTTAAAGTAACCTCCTCTGGCTTTAACAGCAGCTTGGCATATACGAGGCATTCGTTCCACAGGTTTTCTAAAGTATGTTCCAGGGATTGCATTCCAAGCTTTCTTAAGTTCATTAAAAAAAGACTGCTAATTCGTGGGACACACCTTTCTGACCAATCGATCCAAGTCATCCAGCACAAGCTCTATTGGAGAAAGGTCTGGAGACTGAGGGGGCCAAACCATCTTTTGAAGAACACCTTCCTCTTCTTTTTTGTCTAGGTAACCCTGACAGAGCCTGGCAGAGTGCTTAGGGTCATTGTCTTGCTGCAAAACAAACTTATGAGCCACAAGTCTGAGTCCAGATGGAGCAGCATGGTGCTGGAGGATGGAGTGGTACTGTCCCTTCTTCATGATACTCCTTACTTCAAACAAATCTCCTACTCCATCACCTGCAAAACATCCCCATACCATGGAACTACCACCTCCTTGCTTAATTGTGGGTGTAACACATGGTGCTTTTGGACGTTCACCAGTTTGTCTGCGGACACTGACTCTGCGTTTTGAACCAAAGAGTTCAAACTTGCTTTCATCGGTCCAGAGAACTTGTTTCTAGTCATCATAAGTCCAATTTTTGTGAGGTTTTACACACTCATATCTCTGTTTCTTGTTCTGTGGACGAAGTAGTGTTTTTTTGCAGATACACAACCCTTCAGACCAGCCTTTCTCAAACATCATTTCACGGTTGTCAGAGATATGGGTTTCGACCTTGTCATGTTGATTTCCTCCCTTATTTGTGGTGCTGTCTTTCGCTGATCTCTCTTACTGATGACAATAATGTGTTTATCCTCTGCTTTTGTAGTAACTCTCTTTCGTCCAGGCCTTTTTCTATCATCATAACTTCCAGGTTCCTCTAGTCTCTTCAGAGTGTAGTGGACTCCTTTGTTAAACACCTTTAGGTGTTTTGCAATTTCTCTTTCTGTGTATCCTTCTTTCCTCAGTGTACAAATCTGTACTTTTGTTTCTTTACTCAGTTGCTTCTTTCTGCAGTAGTTTGAACACAGTTGAGATTTATTAGGATTTTTGTATGCAGACTCTCAAAAGCCAAAAAGTTAAAGTGAATAATCCAGCTGTGATTAGTTTTTTTTTGCTTTTGCACTTAAGTTGTGACTCTTGCAAATGTTTTCGGCCCTAAAACTAAGCCTTTATTTTCTTTTGCTGACATATATTTAGCAATGGTCTGTTAACATCAATGTATATCTAAAGGTAAATGGAGTAAAATGGTGCATTTCCATGACAGCAACATCTGATTGTGGAGTAAATACATCCCAAAATACATGAAACTCATGCTGGATTTAAAAAAATGAATTGTGAACAAAAACTTGAAGTTACTGTGGGTCTGCCAGAGATTCACAGTGATTTAAATGCAGAAATACTCAGAAATGCAATTTTGCACTTATATTACTTATATGTCCTCTAGCATCAGAAAAATGATATATGAACATGTAGACAACAAGAACAACATGATTTTCATTGAAGTGGGTCTTGAAGGTTAGTTCAAACTGTTCAAAATATTTTTGTTTGCCTACATAAATAATATTTATTTTTCTCTGCAGCAGTTCATTTATTTCATTAATGCAACTCACTACAGTTTTTTACATATATATATAAAAAAAAATTTGCATAAAGGTAAAAAACGATATATGCAATGTTATCTTCATTTTAGATGTCAAAGGAGTTTTGTGGCTCCCTGTGTTTTCTTTTCTGTGGGAACTGGTTCAAATGGCTCTTTGAGTGTTCAAGGTTGCCGACCCCTGATCTAACCTTTGATTACAGGTTTACACTTTACATTACATTAAGACACTTTGAACAGTAAACAAACGGCTGATTTGAGGCAGGTGAAACAAACTCAATAAAGAAAAAATGCTGGTATACATGAAGGGATCAAAAATCCATGCTGACTCAAAGCAAGGCAGGTGATTGCCATCAGCTATTGAGTATTAGCTCTATCTATAAGGATGGATCCTTTGTTTTATGTCTGTTATACTTTTGCCTTTATTTAAAAAGATTTCATTAAAGTAAATGCAAAAAGTATGGCTACATGTACAAAGCCTCCTAAGATGCAGCTAAGAACCCTTGAAAAAAGATCACTGCATTTACAGATGGTCAGAGATGTATATTACCGTATTCTTTCAGTAGTGTGTGTGCCAACTAAGCCCTGAGTGTGATGAAGGACTGCCTCCTTGATGATTTAAAGGCAACAGTGATCTTAGTGATGCCCTTTAATTTTGTCTGATTTTAAACTTCTCTGCTGTTTCTTTTAAAGGATTTCCGTTGATCATTCCCACACTAACTCCAGCATGTGAAAACATAGTTTATGTATAGGAAAAATGGAGTAAGAAATTCAAAACACATAGAAGCCTGTGTTTGTTGGATAAGACGCGGTGTCCCTCACACCTCCCCACTCAGCGCTAAAAGTGCACATTATGTTTTATTTACATATCAGGCATGGAAATGAGATCTGAACTCTCGTGGTCCCCACAGACACTGATGGAAACATAAACTGGTACAATGTGTCAACTGCTGTATATAGTGCTGTCTGCTTGTGATCTGATCACCCAGGAGATGTGTTAATACCAGGTGTAAACTGGCTGCCCGTCCTTTATGCACTCTGTGGTGAGTTTCTAGAAATCCCTTGTAACAGTAACAAGTCCAAAGGCGAAAGGATTTGCGATGTGTCCGTGAGCGACTGAACACACACACACTCACACACACACACACATATATATATACATGTATATACATACATATATATCCATATATACATCAATCATATATATATATATCCATACATACATATATATATATATATATATATATATATATATATATATATATATATATATATATATATATATATATCTCAGTTTTACAGTTTTATTGTGTCCCATCGCCTCAATTAACTTTGTCCCACCCAACCTCTTTAAAATACCATCAACACGGCACCTGTCAGAATTATTACCTTCATCTTTCCTGCCAAGTATTATTTAATCCTGTCATTTGACACAGACACATTTAGAAAGAGAATTAAAAACAGACAAGTCACAGAGACTTTCTAGAAATCTAGCTACAATGATCTATGTAGAAGCAAAGGGATTGAGTCTTTTCTGTACCAATCCCTTTTTTTTTTTTTTTTTTTTGAAAGGAGGATGCAGACACAAAGCAGACATGCCACAGACACTTGCACTCCTTGCACCCTTCTCCAGACCAGACACAGTTGTGTGTTGGGCCACAACACCTGTCAAATGATTCCTGGAGTCAGGTTCAGCATGACAGATATGGCCCACCACGGTGCCCCCTGTCATATTTGAGAGTAGCCACTATAGCCTCTAACCCCTTACAGCATGTGCTCACAACAGAGTGAATCTAAACTAGGAGTTAAAAGCATACAGAGAAACTAAATGCATTTTTAGTAGTTTGGGTTTCATTCCGCAAACACGAATAAACACCATTTAACATTCACCATCCAACGCCCCCTGCCTCTTTATCTTGATGAGGCATTTTTGTTTTGAAAAATGCTGTAAGGATTGAATTCATCACAACATAGAGAACATGTTTATGAATAGAAGAACATTTGCTGTAGGAGTCTCAATAACATGGCACCAGAGACTTTCCATGGGCACACTCACTACCTTCAATGCACTTCATTAAAATGACAAAAAAAGATATACTTAGTTGCAGTGTGCAGTTGTGCTTGTGTGTTTGTGGTGGGTTGTTGCCGTTCTCTGTATTATAATAGTCATACAGCTACAATTAAATAAAATGTCTTTCTACACCTTCATATATGCAAATATGTTGAGCCATTGTTACATTATCATAATATACAGGCTATAGTTTAAGTATAAAATGAAAATGACTTGTGCAGTACTAGCCTTATTATATTTGACAAAAATGTCAAAAAAAAGTCACAGTTCTGTTACTTTGGGTTAAAACACTTTTTTTGCATCATTAAGTGTGACTGAGACTAAATGGATGATTTCACTGAGAGTAAGAAAAAAACCAAGAGCCTTTTACTCGGAGCGCATCAATGCAGCATTTTAACTGAGTAGCGAAGAATTAGTAAAAAAAAAAAATACACCTCTAAAAACCGACTCTTAGAAGTTTCAGTACTTTTTTGCATTGATATTGACCACCTTTTTCTAAAATTAAAACTTTATCATCTCTCAAGATCACTGATTGTTTTTTTTTCTTATTTGCAGTTACAACTTAAATATCATTTGACCCACAGAACAGTAAAAATTTGGGGTCTCATAAGAGAAACATTAGGGCAACATGTACATTGCATCCGTGGTCCGGTGGTATTTGAGACCCATGTATGACAAGATGCTAACAGGAGGGGAGCTATGAAATCAGGCTGAATACATGCATTTGGGGGGGGGGGGGGGTCAAGAAAGGCTCTGGTGTCTGGCTATTTTGAGGTCCCCCTTCCTTGTGGGCCAGCAACAGTAGAAACCAGACAAGCATATACATAAGCACACACACGCATGAACTTCACACTTACATGGAACTCAGTAGTGTTGAGAATGTGACGTCCATCTGGACTCCAACGGGAGGAGAGAAGTCCTATTGAGCCCTCATCAATCTTACAGTGCCAGTCCGGCTGTTCCAGAGACCACACCTATATAGAAAGACAGAGAGTGAAGAACAGACAGTCGCTATTACTGATGACATCCTTCACACACTTCCTGTATTTGTGTTCCTGTGTTTTTTAACTGTACAATACTCCTGAGCATCAGACACAATGAGAGACTGGCGCTGGATACCATTTCAAAGGTAAGACATATGCACTGTGACACATGTTACTGATGTGGCACGGGTATGAAAAACGTTTTCAATTTGTTTTTGTTTTTTTAAATTGTAGCTGTTTTAAAAAGTGATTCAAACTGTACAATATTAGCAGCATCCAGAGTTTTCATGATGTGAATAAATAATGACTAGAACTCCTTATAAAATGAGAAACCTAAAATGAGGTTTACTAAGCTTTGCATTCAGAAACAATATTTGTCTGCAGGAATTTTTAAAGCTACTGTGAAGGAGTTTTTAGCTGGTTACAAAACAGACCCCACAATGAAAGAAAAACTCTTTTTTTAATCTACCAAAGCAAATCAGACCACCATTGGCTAGACTAAATACTTCTGGATAGTTTTTTTTTAAATGTCCAAAACTGCTGGTGAGGGTTGGGGGTCAGGGGATCGATTCCTTGCATACTACTTATTCAGTGTTCTTTTGTTTGTTTGTTTGTTTGTTTGTTTGTTTGTTTGCATTTTCCATAGCAGAGTTTTCTAATGAGTATTAAAATAAAGCAGGGTTAAAAATTCCTATGAGAATAGCACACTACTTTAACATGTACTGAGTAAAATTAGCAAAGGAAGAGAGGAAGGTTCTCCTTTTGTCCACAGGAGGTGCCAAAAAATCAACACAAACATAAATTTCTTAAGGATGAATCTATTTTGAAACAGCAGCCACTTGATGTTAGATCTCTAGTGTGAATGGCTTTGTATTTACTGTGTAGTCTTTGATCTGTAAACACTACTCTTGTTACAACTGCTACTTGTCAAAAGGCAATTTAATTTAACACTGAAACTGTATTGGAGTTCATAAATTTCTCTTTAATATTTGCAATTGCTCTTAGCATGTACATAGTACCAGCTGTGATGCGCGATAATTGTTTGGCAAGTAATTGATACTGGCCAAGTGTGTGTACATATACAAGGTATATGACTCCAGTAAACAGGGATATCACCCAGGGTTGATATCCCTGTTTCAATGCAGATTTTTTAAAGAATGTCAGAGTGTCTTCGATCTTCAGTTCTGACTGCCACTCACATTATGGACTTTTACTGGCAAGTTCAAAGGCAACCTCGTCTTGGCTCCCCTGATCTCTTTTGTTATTGTGTTTCTGGCCTGCTTGTACAGGATCCAAACCCCACTTCTGAAGGCCTCCTCCTTGGCCAGGTGCAGCTTCCACAGCTTAGGTGTTGACCAGGGTTTATTGTTGTTGTAAGTGCAGAAAGCTTTGGCCTGCACAAAGGCCCTGACAAAAGCTGTCACAGTGTCAGTGAGTTTGTTAAGAGACAATTAGGTTGAATAAAGCAAAATTGCTCTCAATTCATGTTCATATAGAGAAAGATTTGCTCATCTATTCTGAAAAATCTCCAGCTAAATAGAGCTATTAGAAGTATTTATTTCTCAATCACAAAGTACATTTAGGCAGACAGACCGGATTCTGCTGCCATAAGCTGAAAGGCCTCTGTTTTTTTTTTCCTTCATATTTTTAAGTCAGGTCTCAAACCTGCTTCTTTGTCAAAACAATGAAATGTCAGAGAACTATTGACTATTTTGGAATACACTTCAATGTTTTATTGTATGATTTTTAAGATCTTTGCCTATTTTTTTTTTTTACAAGCGATTCAAACTTTATAATGTAAAATTGGATAATGTTTAGCTACAGTACATGCTATGCTGCTAAGATACTTTGACTATCTTACTGTCAAAGTGCTTCTTCTCAAGTGAAACTTCTCTGTCATTCAAAATAAGACTTAAAGAATCTCATTAGCACTAACAGTATTAATCAAGAGAGGCAAGATTGGCTGTGATCTATTAAGCATTTTACTGGTGAGGCTATCCACCACATGCACACCTTGTTGTACTCTGGACCTACCTGAACAATTCCTCGCTTGTACATAGCACAGAGGATAAAGAGGGAATCAGACGACCACTCCATATGGGAAATCTGATCCAGACATGTGTAGAGCTGCAAAATCTGCAGGGTGCTCACATCTCGCACCACCAGCCTGTACTGCACACAGGTAGCCTGAGGAGTACAGACCAAATGACAAACACTTCATCTGAGATAATTTCTAACTAGCAAACTAAAAAATGGGAATCAAATCGAATTTGAAAGTACAATTTACTGACAGAGAAAATTAGGCAAAGTATTTCATACCAAATATTTCCCATCTGGAGAAACTTTACAAAGTTGGTTGGACTGTTTGAAGACCTCTGAGAAGTTCATCATATAATACAACTGCTCCTACACGAGAGAAATTATCAGTTACCATGGCATTTATACAAGAACATTGAGACTTCCTGAAAAAATATGAAAGATGGCTGAGAGTTGTTGTTTCCCAATCTTGACACTTGGTGGAGCCCTAAGTCCACTTTATGAACAAACTCTTCTCAACATTGCAAACATGTATGGTGCACCCGACACAGTTATGTGCTGAAGTAAAACCTGTAATCATTTGTGGATGCTCACAACCTTTGCAAGTTAGTCTTAAGGGTCAATTTCCTGACCCGACAAGTTATAAGTAGCTTAGTTGGTCTAGCTAGCGCGCTAACAACTAAAGCGAAAAGCATAAAAAGTCACATAATTATCCAGTTTACATTATGCCTGCGTGCTTTATTATTCCCTACTTTTAATTTATTAAGCCTGTGAGAAAAGAGTTGTCCAAACTTGTGAATGCTTACGCTAAAGTAAGCTGGTAATCATCTCTGGACTCATTCAACAGTAACATTAGCATACTAGCACCATAGGAAGACGCTCACCTTCACTATTTTTGTACTCTGTGGTTAAACTCCTCTCAATTGATGGTAGTTGTTGCTGTCGACGATCAGACGAGCTGTTTTAATCAAACTAGCTGATAAGAAAGTTTTCGCCTTCGCATGACCGCCGTCATCGAAAAGCTCGAGCTGTTGCTAGTAGCCCAGTTTGTTTGTATGAGTGGATGATGACGACATACCCGTTGTGTCCAATCCGCACCGTGCTAGTATTTTTTGCCTTCTGGGAAATGTAGTTCTGCTCTTTGTTTCCTCCCTTGTGGAATATGAGCATACAAGCGTGTATGTGCGCTTATGTTTGGAAATTAGTTCAACCAACTATAATTTAAGATGTTGGTCCACTCGAAATCAGTTTTTTTAAAGGCTGATAGGTTTGTGAGAACCGTACTTTGTAAAATTCGTACTCAATTCTAATAAATTGTGGATTAAAATTCTAAAGGACTGCGTTTTATGTTTTATTCACACACTGTATATTACTGTATAATACCCTCACAACCCACTGACTTGCTTTTTAAAATCCCCCACCGGTATCTGTCCTTTGTAAAGGTTTCCCGCTTATGTGCACCCAAACCGCGCTACCGCCTCCCTGCTTTTCCCAGCGCAGAGAAACGCTTTACCTCCCTCTTGGTCTAATTCAGCAAAGATCACACTTCGCTGGACTGCATGCAAAACAGTTTTCCCCCTGATTCGTCGCACTTTGGTTTCTCCGAAAAGTCAATTTTATCCAACCCTAGTTTTCATACTGTTAAATCGGTCGATATTTTTTTACCTTTTTAATGTTGCTGTGTTTTTATGGAGGGTCACTCTCTTGGCATGTTCTATAACAAACAAGCAGGTGCTCGGAGAAATACAATTTCTGGGTGTTTGCTCTGGAACCGTATTAACCTTCAGGTATGTTGATTCTTTTATTCCTTATTGCAGTAATAGCCTAGTTACTAATATATTCAATTGTTGAAGCCGTTTTTTCTTACTCAACAAAATGTGCAGTTTGTCGACGTTCAATGTTTTGCAAATATGACGAAAAAAAATGAAAAAATATATATCTGTAGGCCTAAGGAGCCAGGCTACAACATTATCATATGGATGGTCCAGTTTACTGTCAACAAACAGTGATCTTGAATCTTTGGTTGGTAATCTATATTTCTGCGAAGTTATTGTTTAAATTAGGCTATGACAGATTTTTTCCTTATTTTTTTATTGTCTGCAATCTGATCGTGTATGCATCAGGCCTACACATTGTTAAAAAACATATGTATTGATAGAAAAAAAAAATCTTCAGGCTAAAAATCTATTTATTTCAGGCTATGAATAGTTAGTCTACTTATTGTGTAGAAAATCTGGACAGTTGTGTCACAGCTATTTTTAGACACTGTTATTTTCCTTTGCAGAAAATTTGCTTTTAAAATCAAGGGCTAAATTACACTTTTTGTAGGATAATCGATGAATATTCCTACCTGAATGTCAGTCGTTTCTTAAGAATAATTTAGTTTTCGTATGTTTTTAACTTGCTGACTAACAAGTGGTAATTTTCAAGTTAGGTTATCGGTGTTAATATAGCCCTTAAATGTACTGGGCTTGGATCATTATACTTCAAATAAACGTATGGTCAACATTTTTAAATACACGTGACGTTTAGGGGAACCCTCCTTTGGATCTTTGTTTGGCTGGTGAGATATTCCATCAAGGCTGTAAAGGATCGAATGTAATATATAATTTTTTTAATTAATTTATTTTCTGTTGGGACCGCGAAAAAAACGGCCCTGGGGAGAAAAGTGTGAGTGTGTGTGTGTATGGATGTGTGTGTCTGTGTTGTCATGGGTGCAGTAACCCGGGAGTGGAGACACAGAGTGAAGACAGGTGAAAATAAGGAAGGCGCAATGTCCATTTAAAGAGTGTGTGTGTGTGTGTGTGTGTGTGTGTGTGTGTGTGTGTGTGTGTGTGTGTGTGTGTGTGTGTGTAAGGATCCAACAGAAGCAGCAATGGAGAAAAAAAATGGCAAGGAAGACCTAGGCCGTGTTCCAATTTGAGTAAATGACTGTAACAATAAAATGTACGGATAAGCTTTTTTGTCTATTTCTATATCGTTGGCTTTTATGATTATAACGTCTATCTTGATAAGCGCTATCACAATAAAGTATCAATTGCTGATAATGATAATAACAATAGCAATTAAACAACAGTAATAAATATGATGATAATAGCTAATTATTACTAATTTTCTGCCAGTTTGTATGTTCGTCTTTATGTCTCCTTTAACATTTTAAGGGGCCCCATTTGTTTGTTAGACCTCATAAGCGATAGCCTACGGTGTCATTTGAAGATTTCAATAAAAATTATCAATAGGAGCTTTTGTTTATGAATGGGCTGAGACTTTGAGGCTTCCCTTGCCCTAATCTTTTATTAGCGTCACGACCAGGGCCGTCCAGTTGACTTTTCTCTAGAGGTGAAAGTGACGCTTTATCAAATTACCTGATCCATGGTATGATATGGTATGGTATAGTATGGTCTTTATTGTCATTGCAACTGTGCACAACGAAATTGCATTTACAGATAGGGAAAGTACACACAAGAGGGAGGGAGGGAGAGGAGGAGGTAAAAAAAAAGAGATTGCTTTCATTAATATGAGTGCAGTGACAAAAAAAAAACCCTCAGCAACATGAGCACATTACATCCATCTAAGCTACTCTAGAGTCTGGAGAGCTGAGCTGAGAATGAGGCCAGTTTCTGAAGGCGCCAGAAACCTCTTGAACAGCGGGAACCTGTTGGCACAGTTCCTGTGGAGCAACCCCGAATCAAAGTCTGCGTGCTGCCGAACTTAGGCTTGATATTTATCCTGTCTTTTTATTGTTTGGACAATCTTTTGTGTCAGGAAAGTCTGTGTGTGTAGACAACAGCAACAGCATGTTCAGCGGTCATCACATCACATGCTTAGGCTGCTGAGCTTAAAGTCTTCAATCGATTGACGACTGACCAAAGTGTAAAATAACATGTAACCTCGGATAGAGATAAGAAAAGAGAAACAAATGAAAATGTTTGAACTGACACTTCAAGTTTAAGTCAAATCAAATAATTTCAAGAAGCCATATACTACAAAAAGCTAAATTGGGCAATTGATAAATAACAGGGAAAGCGTATGTTATGATCTGTCAAAGCGAACATCTTAAAGTCATGCACCTTTGCCACAGTTTTTTCCATGCACTCACTCAGAGGGGTTACTAAGGAGATATGACGCTGCTTTCGCGCGACACAGTGAATTTAGTGAACTTTCATGAGACTCACAATGCCAGGGCTTTGTGTCGGATGTTGATCAACACATCAAGCTGGAGTCTTAAGACATAAGGCCCTGCAGTCTATTCGATTATGGCTACTTAGATTCATTTATCAAACGGCTTGTTTTGAGTCATTACAACTCGTTAAGGGCTACCTTGTCTTCCTCGCAGGTAATTTCCAGTCCAAACGGCTTAACTTGCAATATACTACAGGACAATGTAAGACTGAGATTTTGCAGTAATTCTACTGTGTGCACCTTTCGATTAAACAATGTGATTAGAAATGACATTCGACCAAATGGGCTACTTGACAACTTTAGTTCCTCTTGTAGTTAAAATGCTGCCTCAAAAGTGTTTGAACGCGTTTTAAGGTTGCAGTGCAGCTGTGTTACGTGACACAGAGGCAGAGGAGGTGATGCTCACACTTTAGAGAGGGGAAGGAAGGAAGCCTCCCCTTAGAGGGAGACCATCATCAGACAGGCAGGTCCAGGCACGCCCCGGCCCTCTGACACCCTGCGCCACCTCACTGGGACTACATTGGTGTGATCACACCTGGATGCATGCGTGTGTTTTAACTGCATCCTGTCCTCATTGAACACTGATAAAGTCATCAGTATGAGTTTGTTTCCATATCCTTCTCAAAGTGATCTATTCATTTATTCAGTAAAATTTCTTCCAGTTCTGAAAAAAGTTTATGTTTATATGTGTGCTCTTCAGAGTGATCTGCCCCTCACCAGACTCTAAGATGTCCCAGTCCACAGTTAATGAAGAAGGAGGCACCTTTGAACACCTGTGGAGCTCCCTGTGAGTGCCAACAACACCTGCTAACAACTGTTTTACTTAACTTTCCGTGACCATATTTTCCACATTACATAAAGTTGTATTTAAAATATCAAATAAATATACATATGATTCTGTATTCGCCTGATGGATGATTTCAATAAGCAAATTAGAGTAAGTAGGGCCTACACTGTATTTAATATGTTAATTTACATAACATATAGGAAATACTGTTAAAATTGAGCTGGTCTGCAAAAAAGGCATACAAATACATGCAGTTTGAGGATTTGTGGCCTTCTGTTCATAAAAGTATTTATAATTTTGTACTCATGGAATGTCAGTTTGCCTTTTAAAACAGTTAATCATTGTTCCTTAGGAGTAAATGACATGAAGAATTTTCCCTCAGATCTATTTCTCTTCACCAGTATTTATTCCAACAACTTAAGTAGTCAACAGTGAATGTAGATGTTTAACTGTGCATACTCTGTATATTATATTATGCTCATCCATCTTTGATGGACATGTGTCCATGATATGTCCTCAGGGAGCCAGACAGCACCTACTTTGAGCTCCCCTCAGGCAGCCAGCCAAGTGACCGCCCAATGCCTTCTACCAGCACCCCGGGAAGTCATTGCAGCGTTGCTGCTGAGGGCTCTATGGATGTCTATCACATGAGGGACATAAACGACAATGTGATGGTAGGAACACCAGCCTCCGCTGTAGCTGAGTTTGTGGATAACCCTTGCTCTTTTATGGTGGGAGCTGCGCCTTACTTTTTATCTAAAGGGTGTTGTATGTTTTATTGTGCTGGTTTCTCTGTGAGCTCACACTTAACACCCTCCATACACTCACAAAGAAAACAAATCCCCCAAAGATCTTATCTTTTCCCATTTATTTTTTTCTCTCTTTTTTTCCCTCCAGTTTTCTGGAGATTCCCTCCTCTGTATAGTTTCCCTCTCTCCAACAGCATGTTCCCTCTCTGTATTCCCTGTGGACTGGCCTGTAGGGACCCTGGCTCTGTGTGAGTGTGCATGTTGCGTGTGTGGGGATGGGGGTAATTAAAACCAAAGCCAGGACCCTTTGCTGTTCCACCATATAACCATCTGTAGCCTGAGTCTGAAGGAGTGTGTGTGTCAGTGCACATTCACTAACATGCACTGTGCTTGCAAGTGTACGCACATATTGCTGCTGTCAATGGATCCTTTGTACCCACTTTGAAAACTGAAGACAAACACTCTAGTTTCCACTTTATAACTTCTCTTGAAAGGAATGTGAAATAGATTAGGGGGTTTATAAACAGTTCACAAGGATTCTGCAGTATCACACTGATGTATGCTTGCTCTTAACACATTGTACATATTGTTTATCCAATGTGTCCATTTGTCTCCCAAATATAAAGTCAACCCCCCCCTACACACACACACACACACACACACACACACACCTATATTGTCTTGTTGTGAAATATTGGTTGGATCTACATGTATTCTGCAAATAGGCAAGCCTGGGCCTGCCTGGCCAGTTAATGAATAGTCATGACAGAAATAAGGGGGCGGAGCCAGGATTTGTTGTTAGATGCAGGACAAGGTTGAGAAGGCCCAGTGAGGCAAGAAGAACAAGGGAAGGAGACGTAGGAGAAAAGGGGCAGGACTTCTCCTGTATCCTCCATCATGTCCTCCTCCACAGGGTCGGCTGTCTGAGCAGAGTTTGACTCCTGCACTCGCGCTTGAAGTCAACAGAGTGTAAGTCTGATAAGAATTATGTCAGAGATACATCCCTCTATACCTTTCAAGAGCCTCAAGATGCCCTGTGGCTGGTAGGTGGATCAGAGTCAACTGTTGATGTTTTGGCTGGCTCAGGGCCTTATGATGTTTAGTAGCTTACTGGTGGCAGATAGTGGGGACAGTGTTGATGGTTTGTGTTAAAAAGTGTGGGACTTGTAATATGAGTTTGTAGGGTGTAGGGTAGTAATAGAACAGGTGAGGTGAATTTGTATATTCTTACACTTCATCATGCTGTTTCATGGTCAGCTTGTATCTAATGAACAGGCCTGTGCTTTCTTGTATTTTCCTGCTTTTACAATTTCCTAAGTTTGAGGACATGTGTTTGTTCCTGTGCATTTAGATAAATTAGTTTGTGTAAACCAGTCATTACATTTAATACTTTTTGTAAGGGAGGATGCTGTGCATCCCTCAGAAACAGTGACAAGTTCTTGTCCAACTGCATGATGAATGGCTGGCTGTGTTTTAACCTGTCATAATTGAGAGTCCTAAAATTAATTTGAAATGTACCTATTAATCTATAAATATCTACTAAAAATATTGAAAACAACATCAATGTTTTTCAGATTGACATACATGTGGAACTCTCAAAAATGTTTGTAGTATTCAGTTCCTGCACTTTGCCACCAGTTGCCAACAGGGGGCAACCTTCATACATGCCAGTTCATATTGTGCCTCCTCTCATCCTGACCTCTGTCTAACATAGCTGCTTGTTTTAACATGTTCCACGTTTCATATTATGTTTTGTCAGTGATTTCTATTGCCTTACTTTTGATATTGTTTTCTTTTTTTGTCTGTTTATCTCAGGGCCAGACAACAGTATAGGCGTTTTTGGTGTTAAAGTGTGCTGTTTAAAAGGAAATTCAAATAATCTGTTCAATGAGTCAATACTAATGCAGGTCACAAGCAAGGTGCCCCACCTTTTGTCTGTAGTCTACGTTTCACTCAGCTTGACAAGTAAATGTTGTTGTGGCTAGCTAATCCAGGTTCCTAAATGTTTGGAGCATTTAAAGCTCAGCTTGAGTGGCAGCTACCAGGATAGCCGCCCATAGGGGACATCAGATGCTGTAAGAATGGGCAGCTTAAACACTTTTGTAGAGAGAACACACACACACACAGAGAAACTCAGTAGCAGTGCTGGGTTTAGCTCTGTTTCAACTTGTTGCAAATCGAGTTAAGGTATTAAGAGCGAGCGCACCTGTGAGTGTATGAGTCTGTCTGACTCTGTGTGTGTGTGTGTGTGTGTGTGTGTGTGTGTGTGTGTGTGTGTGTGTGTGTGTGTGTGTGTGTGGTGACACATACACTCAGGCTTAACTAGTGCCCTGTAAAGCTCTTAAACCATACCTGTGAGATGGATTCAAACAGTCAGATAATAAGGAAAGACAGAACAATTCTTTTACACACTAATCACAAAAGCACATTTGCATGATTATTCGTTTTTATTCTTCCTATATGTCTGAGCAAATGTGTCCTCAGTACTTTCCACTAAAAATGAAGATGTGACAGACATATGATTAAAGTTTCTACCTCTTTTTTGTTTCCTCTCTTTATCAATCTGCCTGGCATTAACTGGTTTAAAGTCATCAATCCTGTAGCTTTTCTGGGTTTTTCACAAGCAAAATAACATGTTTTTTTTAGAAAACTTATATATTTTCAAAAACAGCTGACATGTATACACAGGTATCAAAAAGTTTCTTCTAGTTTTGTGTCAGTTTAATAAACCAATCCAATCCTCTCCACAATGGATATGCATGGTTTGAATATGGCCTCATTTTGTTACAAAGGGCTGACAGTCTAGAGGGTGAACAAGCAAAAAGTAATTTTGCATAACTCTTTAGAACCCAGTCAACCCCCATAAGATATGTTGTGCTGTATGTACCAGAGTAAGAGTCAACGTATAGATCCAAACAGCCACGCATGCGGGCATCCTCATACAACCTATGGAGTTTACATTAAGTCTAGAACATTGACCTTTCTCCTTCCTTTCATGGCAATGAAACACAGAGTTCACTTATCCTTGTGTTGCTTAGTCTCTTTTTTTGTGTGTGTCTATGCTAGTTATTACGGCCTAAGGTTAAAAACACAGAGCTGAGGGGTTGGACAAAAAAGTATGTTTGCTGAGTATTGCTTCAGGTTGGGAATTTTAGGTTAAAGGATGATCGAGGAAAAAAAAACAAGGGTTTTTAAAGAAAAAAAAAAGAGTTGCGAAACAAAAACTTGAACAAAGAAATATAGAAAAAAGCAAAATGCATTGGTAATGGGGGGGATTGGGATCAGAGTTTTTCAAGGAGGTTATTTGTAGTTAATGTCCCAGTTTACAAGATAAGTTAACATTTTCAGACACAGCTGAAGAGTACGTATAAAATAATAAAAGTACAAGAGGCCCATTTGATACCGCAGAAGGTTACTTTTTACAGGTAAAGATCATATCTGAAAACCTTTTATTCAAACCATCCTTAGTCTGGAATTAATATTTTTATTTTAATGTTGTCAAAAGAGGAAAAGAAATTTGACTTCCAAAAGCCTTTATGTTGAGCGTTTTTAATCCTTTATGGGTGAAATGAGATGACGTGATAGACCACTGAACTCTCGTTCTTTCATGTGTTTTCTTCTTACCAATCTCCTTTTCTGTCTCTATTTCTTGCTTTTTCTCTCTCTGTCTCTATCTCTCCCTCTCTCTCTCTCTACATCAGACCAGACAGTGTTTACTTAGTGCAGGCCTTCACAAGGTGTTTTGGAGCATGTGTGTACATGCACCCCGGCATTGCCGTCTATGTCCGGGCATGCCATAATTAGAACGTCGTACCATTTTTTGGGTTCCCATCCTTCTTTCCCTCTCTCCTCCTCTCCCCTCATCTCAGTCTATGGTTTCTTTGCTTCTACACCAGTCCTCACCTTTTTCACTCTCCTGGCTGTATATGTGTCTCTGAGCCTGTCTGTGTGCCTGTGTGTATGAGTGTGTGTGTGTAAGTGTGTGTGCTGTGTCTGTTGATGCACACCTCGCTTGAACTCTGGTCAGGCTATGGTCCTGCTCTCTCTTTGCTCTGCTGTGTTTGGACGTTTCTGACAGAACAGTTGACTCATGAGACTTAAGCACTAGAAGATGTACTACGTGAAAAAGAAGGTAAAATTATTTTTCATAACTGCTTGTATTATGTGTGATTTTGTGTGTGTGTGTGTGTGTGTGTGTGTGTGTGTGTGTGTGTGTGTGTATGTGTGTGTGGCCATGTGCATGTGTACAAGGCTGTGGCTCTATCTGTTTGATTGTACATCATTAGTCTTGGATGACATAGTATCTGCATGGGTCAGTGTACCTTGTTGAAGTGGTACTAAATTTTTAGGACAATGGATACCTTTGTTCAAGGAAAAAAGATTGTTTGATGTTGAAGAGATGTAGGTATGTGAGCTTCAAACTCTTACATTTTCTGTATTTTGTGAAAGTTTAGTGTGTTTTTAGTGTGTAATGAAAAAAAAAAGACCACTGGTGATCAAAAAAAGCAGTAACCATGAAGCAGCTTTATTTTCAGAGGCTCCCAACTTAGTTTGCCAAGACATGTTGTACTAGCATTAAGATTGTGCTCTCTTTGACAAGCGTGTCACCACTTACACCTCAGTGCAACAAATCTTCTCACAACACAGCAGAGAGGACTAGAGGTGGGGGGAATGGCAGGCAATTAGGCAGATTGTGCCTGTGTTTTACAAGTTCTTTCAAATAGCCCCCAGGAGGCTGTTGTGGAGACGTCACTACAACCATTCACTGATATTCACACACACAGAAATACGCACACATTAGTGTGTCCCTGCACTGTTGAAGATTTTATCTTTAATTCTCATTTTTCAAGTATAAATCACACAAAAATTGCTCACATGTGTACAGACACCTACCCAGACAGTAACACATCTCCCTACACACATGCATCACACTCACTACCAGTTGCTTTTCCTTCCCAGTGTAACCCGACCTCCCTGTGAGCTTCAAATCCACTGTCTCTCCAGTACCTGTACCTGTGCCCTCCCTCTGCTTTTCCTCCTCCCTCCCTTTTACCTCCCTCATTCTCTTTGCTCTTCTTTTCTTCCCAGTCCCAATACAACTTGCTGAGCAGCAGCATGGAGAGCTTGGGGAGCCGCGCGACGTCCGCCAGCCCCTACAGCTCCGAGAACGCCTCCTCATCGGCCGTGCCCACCCCCTCGCCCTACTCCCAGCCCAACTCCACCTTTGAGGGCCTGTCGCCTGCCCCGGCCATCCCTTCCAACACCGACTACCCTGGACTGCATGCCTTTCAGGTGTCCTTCCAGCAGTCTAGCACTGCCAAGTCTGCCACATGGACCGTGAGTACACACACTTTCTTGGTATTGGGTGCACGTGCATGTGTGTGTGTGTGTGTGTGTGTGTGTGTGTGTGTGTGTGTGTGTGTGTGTGTGTGTGTGTGTGTGTGTGTGTGTGCTGTATCGTTCCATCTTTTGGTCTCTTTTTCTTATCGAGCTACTATGCTTCACATTAATGTGCACACACTTTAACATGCACACAGAGACATTATTTCACACACACACACACACACACACACACACACACACACACACACACACACACACACACACACACACACACAAGCCAGCACATGTGCAGGCTTGTCACTTGCAATCAAAAGTACTGCATCTTCTTATGTGATTTATCTCGTCCTTTGCAAACTTCTTTTGGGTAATCTTTACCCAAAAAGACTGTATCATTAAAGTTTTCATGATTTTAGATTAATCAGTCCTTAATCCATTTTAAAGACATGACACATTTTAAAAGATACTGTCAACGCTGGCTTTATTTTTGAGACCTCATTAAAGACCTGTATCTTGTTAAGTGTAAAATGTCTGTGTTATGTCAACATTGCTCCAAAGATAGATGTTTGAGTCCATCTATTTTATTATGCAGTGTAACAAATTACCAGCATGCAGTATGAAAAAATGCAGTCAAAATACTTTTTTTTTAATGTAAAAGACAGCATCTAGTATTAAATCTAAGTTTCTTGGATATGCTTTTTGCTGAGTGTTTTTCTTTTTAAAAGAATAAATAAGAGCTTTCCCCCTAAGTCATAAAGAGATAGGAAATAAAATTTCTACATGCAGAATATCATAATTGTAATAAGTATATGTGTTATAGAGTGATTCTTCTTATTACCACTGATTTACCATTAGGTGGCGGAAGCTGTAAAAAGTACAACATAAAAAAGATAAATAATCTAGGCACTGAGGACACAATTCAGCTAAACCAAACATCTACTTTTTTGCTGCAAAGTGGTGAGAGACAGGTGAAATGGGAGCTGTGTAATTTGTCATGACCCAATGAGGGGTCTCCTGCTTGAAAGGTGTCACCACTGACTGTCACACAGTTGACCTCTCTGAAACAAGAGAACCAAAAGACAAACTGCACTTCCTTTGCTCTAGGAGTCTGTCAGTGGGATTGACGAAGGGGCTCCTATGCTGGGACTGCGTTTGCTCGGTGTAATCATGCGTGGTGGGCTTCTTTACTCAGCCAAAAGTGATGTAAGAAGATCCCCCTCTGAACAGAAGGGTGCTGGTCTTTGACCTGTTGTTTTTCTTCCCAGAATCCCTCTTCTTCTGATCCTAACACATACTCATTGCTGTCATCACTGGCACCTAAAGTTTCTCTCTGTCTTCTCTTAGAATATGTCCATCATCTCCTCTTTCTCACTTCCATCCTGTGAAGTTAGGGTCTTCCTCAAGACCAAACTACATGGAAAGACACTGAGGAGACATGCTCAAAAATGTCTTTTGCAGAAAAGTCATCTCTGTGCAGTAAATTCCTGAACATAGAAGAAACTTTTTTCAACATGCTTGACAAACTCGACTCTGCCTTTGAAAATAACCTGACAGAATTCTCCCTAAAATCCTGATAGCTCGCCTTTTTCTTTGCTGCGCCAACCTGCCATCACACCTGCCCATTTGCAACAGAAGAACTCTGCTTAGCTCCTTGGTTTGCAACCACAATAATTTGCAAAATTATCTTTTTTTTTTTAACTAGAAAGCTTTGAATTCACCTGGTTGAACAATTTAAGACATTCTTTTTTGTTACAATGAAAGAAGAGACAAAGGACTTTTAACCAGCGCAAGCAGCAAAATTTACCAAAGACGGTGACAAAGCAGAAAAAGGATTGTGAAGAAACCTGTGATTATTCAGATACCTTAGCTGCCATTAAACAGAGGGATTAGAGTGAGGGAGAGACTGAGTGATTACTCAGGGCTTTTATGGAGTTTACCGTAATGCTTTGTTTTTATATTATGAGCTTAATTATAGGATTGGAGAAATATCAGAAGATATATTTAAGTGTTATTATGTAGCTGCTTCGTGTGATATAACGCAACATGATCATGTATGAACTTGCAGAATTCAGTAGGATACCATGAATTGCCTTACAGGGGGCCAAGTTATGACAAAAACACTCTGCATAGATTAACAGGATTGTCACTGTTTGTTTCCTAAAGAGCAAATGAGTTTTGAAAAAAATTGAAAAAATAACGAGATGAATTATATTACAGAGAGATAAGATCTCAATGCCAAGTTTGCCTATGTTAGGCAAAAAATGTATTTAGTCTCAGTTAAGCCTATTTATACCCACTGTTTGAAATTCAATAAAAAAATTATTTTCCTTGTTGAAATAATTATAAACCCAAGGGTAATGCAGTACCCTTGGTAATAACTGGAAGGTTGGCAGTAAGATTCCTCCCTATCTCTAGTCTTTCCATTGTGGCTTGGGCAACTTAACCCACCTTGCTCCCAGTGTGTGTCCTCCACTGGTGTGTAATTGTGAGTGTCGTGTGGTGGTGGTCGGAGAGGCTGTAGGCGCAAACTGGCAGCCACATTTCCATCAGTCTGCCCCAGGGCAGCTGTGACTACTAAGGCAGTTTACCACCACCAGGGTGTGACTGAGTGAGCAAATGAATGATGTATCCAATGTATAGCGCTTTGAGGGTCTCTGATAAAACACTATAAAATCTGATGCATTATTATGAATGTACAATGACAGGTAGTGTAGGTGTTGCGAGGTGTCTCCTGACAATAGGTTAGCTCAAAAGTAATCACTGAACTGTCTTCAAAACTATATCCAGTGCAATTCAAGGATTTTTTTCAGCAAAAGAGGACATCCAAGATTTTTTTTTTTTAATCAGCAAAATCCTGGGATTACTTATTGAATTTACTAGCACTATCTGGCAAGTGTCAGTGGAATACACTCACTGTACATGCATTCTGAACTCTCTCAATGTTACCTCGACAGTATACCCAATTATTTTGACTTTAGAGTCAGGAATGTAATTAGCTAAAGATTAGTCCAACAAATAAACAATTTAGATCAATTTTCATCCTTTGGGAAACACTAAACAACATTTTATATCCTCATTATGAAAATTTAAGCGACCTATTGCTCATTGCCAGCTTCACCCCCTCAGCATGGTCATGTCCTGCTCCAAGCTACCAAGCCACAGAGCTGGCTTCATATGGACAGTCAGACATCTGTTGGGTGGTGTTACAGTTTCTTTGTCCTCTTGTAATTGACAGCCAACTGTCTGAACATGTTTGAAAAAGATGACAATGTGAACTTGAGTCACTTTCTTTAAAGGAAGGAGTTGCCAGACTCACGTTTCTCTCTAAATTTCTCATCGCCACAGGCCGTGAGATGCCATAGGGGCGTATTCATCCCAATCAGCCTCCATGCCATCCCCGTCCCCACACCTCTGCCTCCTACTGAGAGCAGTTGGCATGTTTTTGGAGATGAATTCTCTGCAAATTTCGGCAAGCACATGGAATTAACTGCCATTTCACAAGTTGTCAGCTAAATTACTAAAGGAGGGAAAACTTTAGTTTTTACTTCAGCTTTTTAAAAACGTTTGCTTTGATGTTTGAAGAGGGGGAGAAGAGAATCCAATCCAATCCACTTTATTTATATAGCACATTTTAAAAACATTCAAGTCTACAAAAGTGCTGCACAATAAAACTAAAAGAACAGGCAATGCTGAAAACATCAAGATGAAATCAGTAAAAGCAGGTAAAAAAACATTTAAAATGAAATAAAATAAATGAAATAAAAACACAAAAGCATAAAAGAAATAAAAGTGATAAAGGACCATAAAAGACATTAGACAAGAGAAGAGAAGAACAAAAACAAGAGCAGATGAAAACAGAGGAGGCAATCATCGTATTACCACATACAGTAAATCAATTCAAGCCTACGTTAAGATACTCTGGTAATCTTCTTGTGCAGTTTATTAGTGTAAATGTCTCTGACACTCGGGTCTACCTCTGTCTTGCCTGTTGAAGATGATTCCTTAGCTGGACGCAGACAAGCGTCACTGCAGCTGGAAATCAGATCTAACGTATCAGCTTTGTCAAACAATAAGGCCCTTTTCTGTTCACTTGGACATAACTCTGTGTGCGTACAGTATGTGTCCAACGAAGGGGGGGCATGTGATGTGGTGGATGTGGGCTCAAGCATGCACAGCAAGGCGGCTTGTCAGAAGCTGCACATCCCAGCTATTAGCATCTATCCGTTAGAACACAAGTCCCAACATGCCCTTCACTGTGCATCCTTCCCTTTCTTTCCTGATGCATCATCCATGGCCACATCACTGATAGCTTTCCTGCTGAGCAGAGTTTCTGGAAAAGTACATTTGATATGAGAGACTTTTCACAAATCTATCATGAATGTAATCTATAAACAAGCTGGTTGAGTTTATGTTTATTATTCTCTGTTATAAGAAGCTCAAAGTGTTTTCCAAACCCTGAAAATTTAACTTTCTGTAGCAATCTAAGGCAATAGATGTTTAAGAAGAGTTGAATGTCATCACTAAATTTGAGTACACATACGTACTAACAGAAACAGTTGGGACAATAGCAGTCATTGGTTATCAAATTTAGTGGACTATAATGTCCTGTCTTTACTTCTCTCTGAAATCTACAAGACACCAACACCAGGTACAATAACTTTAAAAGAGGAAAAGATTCTCCAATTTCTACATATGCTTTAATTTGATGTAGTTATTGATGGTTTAAACAATCTGATTGGACTGTACAGCAGGGATACTGTATGCCAGTTCTTGGTGATTGTGTGTGCGTAAACATACTGGATATTTGGATTGTTTAGCAAATTTGCAGCAGGCAAGCTGCTGCTTGAGTATATGGATGTCTGGCAATTATCACTCTGTCTGTTGGAGCCTGTCAGGACCTGCCTGCACTGGTCCACCAGTCCACTGTGTAGAGGCAGGGATGCATGGTGGGAGAGATAGTGGGATAAAGCGATTGATGGCTATATTAGGGGATTTATCGGTGGCATTGCAACGAAATGATGGAGTCACAATGTTAATCAGGGCGTGGCATGTATTTACAGCCAAGATTCCATTTCTCCTTTTTTCCAAAAAAAAAAGAAGATCTACCAATTTTTGGATATAAAAGAAAGTTAACATATAACCATTTGTTAGATATGGGCAGTACAATGTACAATGTACGAAGATAAAAGGCAATCTATACTATTTTAAACTAGATCATTTCAAATATATTTTTTGACATTCCCTTATATTTTCCTTATCTTCTTTTTCTTCCCCCCTTTTCTGATTTCTTTCCTCCTCTTGCTCCTTGACATTTTTTCTCCTTATGTAGACAAATCAGATGATCCCTTTGCCTTAAATGATGTTTGTTCTTTTTCAGAGGGTTTTGATTTCATTTTCTCTTTCCCCTCTCTGTGTGCTGAATAAAATCCCAGTTTATTCATCACTATGATCTCATCTGTACAAGATGATTCAAGTCAGATACTGTATTTCTTTTATCAGTGCTGTTTCACATCTGAGGATAACACATGGAGCAAACCTGCAATGTATTTGTGTGTGTGTGTGTGTGTGCGTGCGTGCGTGCGTGCGTGCGTGCGTGTGTGTGTCACAGACAAGTTGAAACATCTCCCATGGCATCTGTAGCCCAACAGATTTCTAAAAAGTAATTTATGACTTAAGTGTTTGTTTCTTTCAATACGTTTACATTTAGAAAAAAAATATTGCTGGAAGACAAACCAGTGGATTAGAATATATCAGTAAATGGTGTTGTTGTAGTCCAAAGAGTCACCAAGTCCATAAAAATAACTTTGCCAGGCTGTTGCATCTCAGAGAAATTATTTATTCATGGTATGGATGTACTGTTGAAACTTGTCAGGGAAAACCAGGTGAAAAAGGGTGATGTTGTGCACAGGTATTTCCATTACCCTCAAGGGTGTGCTTATAGCTAAATGTGTGTGTGTGTGTGTGTGTGTGTGTGTGTGTGTGTGTGTGGTGGGGGGGTGTCTTAATAATACTGCCACCACAACAGATTGTAGTTGTTGCTGTGGGATTGATTCCTGCCTAGTTTTTAATCAGGCATGAAGCTGTCAATCAAAGTCTTGAGGATCAAGAAATCTCATACATGTCCTAAAATGTGTTTTGCTTTTTAGTTCATTTCAGTAGGGTGCACAGGCAAAAAAACGTTAGTCCAAAACAGAAAGTGAAATTTTAAAAAATCCCAAAGCTGAGCACACAAAGGGAGATGGCTTAAAATAAATGCTAACATTCTTTTTCACAAGTAAAATGTAGAGAAGAGGAGACCTGTTTAGACTTGAGTTTAAAAAGTCACTGCACCGATTCAGAGGACCTGAAAAAGTTATAATTTAAAAGTAGAGGCTTTAACTAAAGCACTGAAGATATCCTGACTCTGGGATTCTATTACGCACCGAGGTCCATGACACTTATTGTCTTCTCCATGTTTTTTTCCTATAAGGTCCCTGTTTAAATTTTTGCAGCAAATTTCATAATTGTGTTAGGGCATGTTTAGGCTTTTCCATCCTTGTCCCCTTTACATTGGTTGCAAATTACAACTTCAGGTGTTGAAAAATAAAGCCAATGTGAAATAAAAAAAAAACTTTCTCAGTTTTCTTGATGCTGGCTGCAGAAGCCAAGAAAACAAGCATATTGATAAAATGCCCATTTAACAGAATTTGACATGTTCACAAGCTTACAGCTATAAGGAAATGGTTCTTGTGCAGAAGAAATGTTCATACTACATCTGTTTTTATAATATTAAGTCTAAGAATAAAGAATAGATTTATGGACACATGGACATGGTCATTGTCTTGCTGCAAAACAAACTTATGAGCCACAAGTCTTAGTCCAGATGGAGCAGCATGGTGCTGGAGGATGGAGTGGTACTGTTGCTTCTTCACTCTATCCTTTACATCAAACAAATCTCCTACTCCATCACCTGCAAAACATCCCCATACCATGGAACTACCACCTCCATGCTGAATTGTGGGTGTAACACATGGTGCTTTCAGATGTTCACCAGTTTGTCTGCGGACATAGACTCTGCATTTTGAACCAAACAGTGCAAACTTGTTTCTAGTCATCATAAGTCCAATTTTTGTGAGCTTTTGCCCACTCATATCTCTTTTTCTTGTTCTGTGGACGAAGTAGTGTTTTTTTTTTTTTTTGCAGATACACAACCCTTCAGACCAGCCTTTCTCAAACGTCATTTCATGGTTACCAGAGATATGGGTTTCGACCTTGTCATGTTGATTTCCTCCCTTATTTGTGGTGCTGTCTTTCTCCAATCTCTCTTACTGATGACAATGCTATGTTTATCCACTGCTTTTGTAGTAACTCTCTTTTGTCCAGGTCTTTTTCTATCATCATAACTTCCAGGTTCCTCTAGTCTCTTCAGAGTGTAGTGGACTCCTTTGTTAAACACCTTTAGGTGTTTTGCAATTTCTCTTTATGTGTATCCTTCTTTCCTCGATGTACAAATCTGTACTTTTGTTTCTTTACTCAGTTGCTTCTTTCTAGCCATTTTTGCAGTAGTTTGAACGCAGTTGAGATTTATTAGGATTTTTGTATGCAGACTCTCAAAAGCCAAAAAGTCGAAGTGAATAATCCAACTGTGATTTTTTATTTTTTTTTTGCTTTTGTACTGAAGTTGACTCTTGCAAATGTTTTCAACCCTAAAACTAAGCCCTTATTTTCTTTTGCTGACATATATTTAGCAATGGTCTGTTAACATCAATGTATATCTAAAGGTAAATGGAGTAAAATGGTGCATTTCCATGAAAGCAACATCTGATCATGGAGTAAATACATCTCAAAATACATAAAACTCATGCTGGATTTTAAAAAAAGCATTGTGAACAAAAACTTGAAGTAACTCCCAACTGTTCGGCCTGTAATGGCCTTCCTTCCTTTTGGCCTGTAGCGTACATGTATTTATAACCCATGTATGTTTACGTGTTTGCATGTGGTGACAACTTTCACAAACACATAAATTCAATGCTGTCCTTGTGTATTTTCCTTTTGTCTGCTTTTCATGCTCCCCCGTCCTAAAATGTATCCTACTTTTCCGTCTTGTCTTCTATGATTTACAATACTTTTAAGGCTAAACTAAATGGCTCATGCCCTTTTTTCGTATTTAGTCATCCGTTCATCCTTTTAAACACATATTTAAACATCTTCCTCAAGTATAAACGACTGAAGTCTGTCTTATTCCTTCCAGTATTCTCCCCTGCTGAAGAAGCTCTACTGTCAGATTGCAAAGACATGTCCAATCCAGATCAAGCTCTCTTCCTCACCTCCACATGGCAGCATCATCAGAGCCATGCCCATCTACAAGAAGGCAGAGCATGTTACAGAAGTGGTCAAACGTTGCCCTAACCATGAACTGGGACGAGACTTCAATGATGGTATGCTCATTGAGAAAGGGCTTACCACAGTTGATTCCGCGAGTATTGTTATTGCTTTTTCAAAGTACACTTAATATTCTATCTTATAGATTACTGTAGAGGATACAAACTATTCATTTCCAAAACATGGTTAGAGTATTGCACCTTATACATACATTTTGTGTATCAAACTTTTAACACATACTGTGGTATGGAGTGAGTGAGAGTTTACCAAGATAAGCAAACCACTCCTTTCCCTGTCCATTATTTTCTCCAAAGGTCAAGTAGCCCCAGCCAGTCACCTGATCCGAGTGGAGGGGAATAACCTCTGTCAGTACGTTGATGATCCTGTCACGGGGCGCCAGAGTGTCTTTGTGCCATATGAGGCCCCACAGGTCAGTGCTAAATCTTGTGCAAAAATAGGGAAGGACATTTTTTGTTGTTTTACCTTAAATGTGATCTTGACGATTATTGACCCATTGGCCAAATCCAGCTGACACCATTGATGGAAAATATAGATCAATACAATATTTTGTTCAGTAATTTTAACAATTGCCTTCTCTTTGATGAATTGGAATGATGAAAGATTGATATTTTTAGACTTTGGGCCTAACATGGAAAACATGAATATCATTACCCTGGGTACTTACCCTTTACTCCCATGGCCATTTTTGAGAGGTAATTAAATAGGTCTGCCTCAGTTCCTAACTTGAAACAATAGAGATGATGTGACTGTGGATAAAAAAAATATTTGGGTTATTCCCTTTCTTGTTGATGAGGCATATTCTCAATGTTCAATCAAAGGGATATGTAGAGATGGCTTGCTGTGATCAAACATATTAATCAGGGGAACAGTGGTCCTTATGTTTTAAACAGTAAGTCTAAATGCTGTTGGTTAAAAAAACATCCTGCATTGGCCAAGTTCATTCCACTGCAAAAGTCAATTTCAGTGAGGTGCCTCATAGGAGTCGCATCTATAAATACAGATGCTGGGCATGTCTTCACAAGCGCAGAAGTGAGAAATCATCATGTCCGTGATTGCACCTGAGGTGCTTGATAGAAAGCACAATGGGCCTGCCTCACATGAAGCTGCACAACAACACTGCCCTCTAGTGGTATATTAACATTATGTTTGCTGAACTGTGGATTTGAAGAAACTGTAGGAGCTGCATGGGTGTCAGAAAGCTAAAGAATAAAACAGACAAAACCGACGAACTCTGATTGGCAGGTCTTGTATTTCAGGTGGGGACTGAGTTTACCACCATCCTGTATAACTTCATGTGTAACAGCAGCTGTGTGGGTGGCATGAACAGAAGACCCATCCTCATCATCATCACTTTGGAAACCCGAGAGTAAGTCAACAGTACAGGTCTAATACTACAGTGAAAACTGGTTCCTCTTTATTTCAAAAGCAATTCACAGTCCTCTGGCATTAGTTTCAATCAAACCCTTTTTGGTTCCAGGGTTTTTTAAATTTACAAAATGCTTCACATGTTAAAAAATAGAAAATAATGATAGTGATACCATGAAGCGCACTGAGCCAACAATCTCCTCATATGCAGAGTCGTTGATGCAAACTTTATCAAGGGGAATTTACTATTCCCTTTCACCTTTACAGTGGTCAAGTGTTGGGCAGACGGTCATTTGAGGGTCGGATATGTGCGTGTCCTGGCCGGGACCGCAAAGCAGATGAGGACCACTTCAGGGAACAACAGGCCCTGAATGAGAGTGTGCCCAAAAATGGTGGTGCTAACAAGCGTAGTAAGTAGAACTACTCTCATTGACATGTTCTATGTTTGCTGAAGTTTAAGATGATGAAATTTTATTGTAATACTTTTCCCCAGGACATTTCTTTAAAAAATGAAACTTAATAAAATGTTCTAAGATATCTTGGCAATTAAAAAGAATGACAATGTAAAATCAAAAGTAGAAATGTGTGTCATTTCATTTATTATTTTTTTACTTCTGCAGATTTCAAACAGAGTCCAACAAATATTCCCAGTCCAAATATCAATGTGAGGAAAAGGCGGCATGGAGAAGAGGAGATTTACTATATTCCTGTAAGACCTTTTTACTCACCTGTCACATTTAAAAAAAATTATTAAAAAAAAAGCACATTTTTGAAATTTTGAGACTTAAACCATTTGAAAACACATGTATTGAATCATTACAGTTTCAAACACACAAAAAAGGGATTAGTCTGACAAAATTACGAGGGATTACAAGTCATTCACCCCCTGACTGGATTAAGTTCTGTTTCTGAATGTGCCGTGTTTGTGTGTAGGTTCGTGGAAGAGAAAACTTTGAGCTGCTAATGAAGATCAAAGACAGTTTGGAGCTGGTAGAGCTGGTGCCACAGCCTCTAGTGGACTCCTACAGACAACAAACACAGCAGCAACTGCTGCAGAGACCGTGAGTCCCTAGAACCAACACGCTCACACAACTACTACAATTATTATTATTATCATCATTATTGTTAGTATTATTATTGATTCATCAAGGAAAACTTAATTTGTAAAATATCTTCTATGCAAAAATGTCACCAAGCAAGTTATCTGAAACATTATTGGCTTAAAAACATACAGCAACAATCAATGCATCTGTAAAAATACAATTAAAAAGCAAGCAAACAACAATCGAGGCAAACATAGAACCAAAACAAAAATAATGTTAAGCATTAGTGTCTTTGCTCGGAGTTAGCCTGAAGTATGGCTTTAATATGATATGGCGTTAGTATGTTACATGTATTGCAGTGGGTTTCTTTTATTCAAGTCATAAACTTTTCGAAGAGTATTATTTCTCTAACCTTAACCATGTTACACTTTTATGTTCTAGGAGTCACATAGCATCCCCGTCCTCCTATTCTCCGCTGTCAAACATGAATAAGCTCCATTCCCATGGAGGCCTCAGCAAACAGCCCCCAGTCAACCAGCTGGTGGGGCAGCAGCCCCAGCAACACCCCACTGCCCCCAGCTCTATGGCCCATATGAGTGAGTGTAAAGTATCTGTTTTACTCAAATAAAATCAAATGCACTTATGAAGGCACTAGTTCAAACCAATGTGTTGAAATGTGTTTTAGAGAGAAAATAGAGATGTCCTAGAGTCTAGGAATGCTTTTTAAAACTATTTTCAGTTCTTGTGCCTTTCTTGCTAGAAATTGTTTCACTGATCCTTCCTGCTTATCTCACAGGTACAAATATGCTCAACAGCCACCACATGCAGGCCAATGGTGACCTGAATGGAGGCCACGGCAGTCAGACTATAGTGTCTGCCTCCCACTGCAGCCCACCCCCTCCATATAACCCTGACCCCACCCTTGTCAGGTACCTCACCCTGCAATGACACTCTTACTTGTCTACTATACAGGGCCAGGAGACAATCAGATGCACTCAGCAGGATAAATTTGTTTATGATGATGCCAAAACAGCAAGCTTTTTTTGGATATGTACACTCACATTGTTTAAACTGTCTTTTGCAACAAACTGTGTTCAGAGGTGGAACTTTGTCACAGGGTCGGTTTGATAGAATTACAGCTGCATTGCACCCATGGCTGAAGAAGCTCTGGCAGTGGGTAAAAGTAAAAGTCAAATTTGATTAATTCATTTAAAATTGTGGTTGCTGTAATACGAAATCTATCATATTAATAGCTGAACGCTTCATGTTCATTAGCCAGCCCATTATTATTCATAAAGCAATAGGTTTTCTGACCTTAGCTAGGTCTAGATGCAAGTGCTTTGCGTTTCTATCAGATGTGCTGTTCAGCACCAGTTTTAAATTCAAGAGTCTTACAGCTCCACTATGGCCTCCCTTTCATTGCATCCAAAAGCCCCAACTGTATGTCATACACCTACAAACTGAAATGATGTCACTGTTAGTAAAGCAATCTGCAATACACTCCAAAAATGTTTTTTTTATATAAAGAAATTTCCAATGTGTAAGTTCCACTTAATTTAAAAACTATTTTTTTATTTTTCTAAGTTCATGTGTTTTTAATGCCGTTTTTAAAACGTTCACTTTGCTTTTGCCGTTCTAACATTTTGAACTTTTTAGTTACATTTCTACATGGTATGTTTAATGTACACTTAGACTGCACAGACAGCTTCTTTATCATTTACATTGTATGTTGCCAGTACTTTCACATTCTTTGTATTTATAATAAAGGTTCTTCATCAAAGCAAGAATGGCCTAATGAATCATTAATATAAATGCATGTGTATAATATTACCTTATTTACATCCATCAAGAAGTAGCTGCACAGATTGTTAGAGCTGCGCCTCTGTTCTTTCTCCCAGTTTGGAATAAACTAAAAGTAGCACAATAGGGAAGACACAATAGTACAGAATAAGCTGCTTTCACATTTAGTTTTCTCCAAAAATACAAGTTGATCTTTTGTGTCATGTAGGAATATATTCTTTTCACTACTCCAGTACACTGCAGTTTTCATCAGTGTACATGACTTATGACTGTGGTAGTCCATCTTTATACTTTGTAGCTGTAAACTGATGGCAGTCTAAGCAGCCATGCTTTTCTCCCCACACAGTTTTCTAACCAGTCTGGGCTGTCAGAACTTCATTGAATACTTCACCTCCCAAGGCCTCCAGTCTATCTACCATCTCCAGACCCTCTCCATGGAGGTAACCACCGCACTCTTAATCCTGTAGTGAAAATTATTGTAAAATGATACTGTGCACAAAGTTTAGCAAACAGAAAGAGAACAAGGTAAACAGTAAGAAAAGAAGAACATTAAACAACATAAAACGTGTTGAAAATGTAACAGTTCTCCAGAGAAGTTTTTGAGAGATTGTTTATTGTTGAAGAAGGTACCTGGAAAGTTTTTGACAATCAACGGCCCCTTCTGTTTTAATTTTTAAGCAAGCACATGATGATGCACTTGCACTTTATTTTTTTGAGTCTTTGCCACATTCTTGGACTCATTCAATATCTATCTTTTGCCAATATAGGATTTAGGTGAATTGAAGATACCAGAGCAATCCCGCATTGCCATTTGGCGAGGACTGCAGGACATGAAACAAGGAGCTCCCCTCCAACTGCCCTCATCTACTCACCATCATGACTATCACGGTCAGCAGCTTCTTCGTTCTAGCAGCAACATGGCTGCTTCTGCCATGGCTGCCATTGGGGCTGCCAGTGGAGAACTACAACGTCAGCGAGTCATGGAGGCTGTGCACTTTCGTGTCCGTCATACTATCACAATTCCAAACAGGTCCGGAGTTGTTGGGACTTCGGGAATGGCAGCAACTACTGATGAGTGGGCCGACTTTGGTTTCGACATGCCTGACTGCAAACTGTCACGTAGCAAGCACTCCATCAAGGAGGAGTTCATGGAAAGTGATGTCCACTGAGCTGCAAAAAAAAAAGATTTTTTCCCCAATATTCAGCTCATTTACAAAGTAAAAGCTTGTAGATATGGTAATACTAGACATTTTAGTGTGTTAATGCACTTTTAGATGCAAACTTTATCTCAAGCTTACCACTTGTTTAACACACTAAATTATAATGGTTGACAAATGACATCACTAGTCAAAATACTACTGGGGTCAAAGCATTGTTAGGGTAATGTTTGTGGAGTTTTAATTGGGGACTCAAGCTTTGTGGGTAAAAGACAGGTTTTTTTTTTTCCTGGAAGAAAACAGGGTACTGTTTGAATGCACAGTGCAATATGATAAGACACAATATCCTTTAAGCGTTTTATTGCTTTATGGGAAAGTTGAAAAGTTTGTCATAGTAGTTTGTCCATGTCACCACCAGCTAACTTTAGTTTTGTGTTTAATGCAAATAAGTATTTATTGTGCTTCAATTTAACATAACTTGTACAGATGTATATACTATATCCTGTAAATATTTAAGTCTAGATGTGGTCAACAAAGGGGTTCTGAGGTTTTAAAGTGGTTTTTCTCATTTAATCCATATATTCAGAATTAAATGGTGAGTCAGAATCACAGCACCCAGAACACTTAGTCTTGTAGACTTTACATTACCATAATGAGATGGCCTCCAAATGAGCTTTATCATGTTATTGGTTGAAAAATGTTCGGTAGGCTTTGTTAATTCTGTGAAGTCATGTAAACTCACATACTGTGGGTATAGTAGAGGTTAGACATTGCAATCCATTACTTTTGATTGATGCGAAAGAAATACTGTCAATTCTCGTTGAAATCAACATGAAAAAAAAGTTAAGACAGCAAATATGGAAATCAGTATTATATCTTAGAAGCAGGGGTTTGTCAGAATTTTCATAGTTAATTACAAGTAGCATACCTGTTTACCAAGACACTGGATATAACAGTAATGTTTCCTTGTTGCTGTTCTGTTGTAAAAGCCTTGCAGGGCAAGGTTTTTCTTGTGGTATTCATTTTGATTATAGCTGGTTGTGTATCTAGTTTGTCTCTTCATGGCACTTATATGTGGATATTTAATTGTAACATTCCAGTTTCATTCTAAGACTGCCCGTTGGCAGCATTAATCCTGATATAATGTATATTTTGGTTATAGTGTCAAAGTGTTTGGTGTTACTACAGGATATTGTATAGTGATTGTCATTTTTACCAACTTGCAGCCATTTTTCTATCCATACCTTCAAAGACTGAAGGACACAGTTTATCCCACTAAATAACAACTGGTCAAAGAGGGGGTACTTCAATTCTTTAAAAGTTAAACAGTCAAGGATTTTTTGTGCTTCTGATCAGTATTATACGTTACCACAAGGTTCAATAAATTGTGATTGTTTTATATTTTTGGTAAGTTTTCTTTCATTTTAGTGATTTGTGAATATATTAAGATGTGTTCCTATGTACCTAAGCTTTGTGGATATAAATGTCTCATTGATTTGGGCTATCAAACACAGTATTTTTTCTTTTTCTTTAAATCATTGACATTTGAATATTTCCATCCTTTTACTCTCTGTTTAGTGAGAAAAAACATAGACTACTCACTTATATGCATTAGATGTGTTTTATCGACAGACAGACAGACATGTTGACTTGAACCTGGGCTACATCATACATCACGTGGATAGGATTGAATTCTTGCTGCACACTTAAGTATTGCGCACTCATTGACAGAAACAACTACTAAAGTTACATAACAAAGCTCAAACAAAATAAGAAATAAAGAAAGGACCGATTTCATGTTAATACTTGCCCAAACGAGGTAAAATATTATGAGGTTACAGAGATAACAGAAAGGTGGAATTTTAGTAATTGACAACATGAGCTGTTGTTAAAGGTGCTTTGTGGGGCTATTATTTATTGATTTGTTTGTTTTAAATGTCTGAAAAAATACAGCACATAAAACAATGTTTTCAAAAAGGAGATAAAATAGAGATGGACGGGGAGGATGGGGTTGATATGGTAACAAGATACAAACAATTAGATTTTTTTCACATCGGTCTGAGCAGTGCATTCAAAATCTGAGAAAACGGTGGTGTTTCTTTATGTCGGTAACTCAAATACATGTGACTTCTCACAAGTGGGTTGAGGCTGGGGAAACCTCATCGAGTTCGTCGTGCTCCGGGCTCTACTACCCAGCCTACTAGAACCCTCGCGGAAGTACTGACGTGTTCACATCGAGAGGTGGCTAGTTTAGCTAGCTGGGTAAAGCCGGGTAGTGACACAGCGGCCGTATCAGGTAAGGAAGGACAGCCATTGATTTTATTTCACCAGAATCAAAATTACACCCAATATGAAATGACGTGTATTGATAACCGGGTGGCTTTCTGTAGGATCGAATCATTTGATGGGAACGATTTGGTTAAAGCAGAGCAGTTTGATTTTCACTCTGCTAGCCTGTTAGCTGTGCAGTCGTTGGCAAAGAAGGATCGTTTCACCGGAAGTGAGTTGTCAAGCGTTTTCACTTCTGGATGGTATTTGTAGTTCAGTGATTTCCCGATAATTGAGGATGGTACGAGGAGAGAGCGGGCCATAAACTACATTTTCTTTTGTCCCTCTGTAACGCACGCATCGTTGGCTTCCTGGGAATTGTAGTCACACAAGCTACTGACTGAGGTTATGAAGGGGGACAAAATCTGACCATAAACTACATTACCCACAGCAGTACTGTAGGCCAAAGGGCAACGTACGTGTAGTTGCTATTTAGCTACTTGGTGGGCTACTTTGTGAGCTAACGTAAGTAACTCATTCTGTTGTATACATGGAAACGTTGTCGTCAGTAATTACATCAGGTTATTCTTTTCGATCGTGTAGATGTCGTGTAGTTAAGGCGGAGGCTGTTCTGATAAATACTACTTCTTGAGCTGCCTTGCTGTCACCGATTAGCCGGTTCGCTAATCATGCAGCTAAGGTTAGCTTTAACCACGAATATCTCTGTGAGCTCTCCCCCTTAGGATGCCATCAAATTCCGAAAACACATCGTTTACATTTCTCCAGCAACTTGGCCAGGTGGAATTTAAGTATTTAAAACATGTCCAACATGAAGCATGATGATGATCAATTTGGCCAATGAAGTACCAACCATTTCCTCAACGAGTTACCATCAACAAAGTATGAATTAGGATTTTTTCCACCAGACCATCTTCATACTCGGCCTTACTCATGGACCATTCACGTACAGTGACCCGACAGTGATTTTAGCAACTAGAGTCGTCCCTTATCAGGTTCACCAGGGTCGTAAAGCTCAACACATTTATCCCTGAACATATTTCTGTTAGTTGGTGCTTTTTTATTCCGGTTTCGCTGCAGCCACAGTGCATTTAGACTAAGAACACATGCTGTAGTTCATATAGACGGAACCATACCCTTCTATGCTAATGCATTTTATGACAAAAATCAACTAAAGCATTAGCAGCAAGAACAACAATGTTTACTCGTTTTTAATACCTGAATTTGCCGAGAGGAGGCAGGTGTGTTTGAGTATAACAGCATGCAAAACTGCCTGACTTCCACGTATATCAGACCAGAGCTGGGAAAAGGTTACAGGAAATAGTTTGTAATGTCCACAGGAGATGCCAAAGTAAATCCACAAAAAACACAAAAAGTGCCTCTCATGAGCTTTAAGTGCAGTATCATGATTACAGTTGAGGCCTGAAATTGCACATTTCATGAGATACAGTGGGGGTTCTTATGTAAATGTTCTTTGTTGTCTGGGGATTCAAATTATTGATCAAGTTTCAGTTAGATTAGCGTACATGTACTGAGAAGTCAAGCAGTACAAGGATAATGAATGCCAGCTGAAGTGAATGACTGCAAGTGTGAATCCACTAACACTGTGAACTGTAGGCTTGAACACTTGTGAAACATTGTCATTGCCATGTGATAGTCACAACAAATGTGAATAAATTCTGCTACATACAGACTTGCTACTAGTCTTTTACACAATGCACTGTTGATCAATACATTTTGTTGATCTTCACTTTCAGAATGTCAGAAGGGGACAGTGTTGGTGAGTCGATCCATGGGAAACCATCTGTAGTCGCTGCCTTTTTCACACGGATTGGCCAGGTAAAGTGCTCTTCTCATAGATCATACACGTAATACTGTGTAATTTAAGCCAAAAAGTTAAGATGTCCTAGTGTTTAGAGCAATCATTGTGTGTCTCATGATCAGTAAGGCTAAATGCTGTGCTCACTGCATGTGAGTCAGTGGCATTTACTTTGAAACTTTGAAAACACTTCTGTACTGGAGTTGAGGTGGACCAGTGCTCCTGCATCCAGAATCAAAGTAACTGTCTTAAAGTTTCCCAAAAATAGCATCAGGAGTGGAGGCTTACACTGACCTGCAAGCACAGTGTTTAACAACTCTTTGAAGATATTTCGTTTGTGAAATACAGTGGAATGAATAATTGAAGCATAGTTTTGAAAACATGTTCGTAGCATGTAAAGCAGTGTATAGTTCCACTGTAAAAACCCGCTTTCAGTTTCTTTCAGTTTTTTTTTTATCTATTAGACAACATATTGCAATCCAAATGATTACTCACAACTCTTAATGCTTTATGCTCTTTGAATGCTTGGTCATACTCTGTAAAATTCTGTGTATAGATAATTACAAAATGTTGTGATCTGTTTGTATTTGTGTTTTATTTTTTAAAAGGTCTATCAGTCATGGCTAGACAAGTCAACGCCATTCTATGTAGTGCGATGGGCATCCACTCTTCTACTTACGGCTGTCTATATGATCAGAGTGTACATACTACAGGTGTGTTATGTCTCATGAAGTTCTTCTTCAAGCTATTCTGTTTCAAAATTATTGATGTGTGACGTGTCGGATTTTATGTGACTGTTTAGGGGATAGGAGATGTGGGTCACAACTTAAAAGCTTAAAATTGCTTCCTGTGTCTAAATAAGTGTTGTTACTATTTTTGTAAAGCATAATAACTAATCAGCATGCATTTGCAGTTTTGAAAAATGGTAATGTTGTTTTGTGTTTCTCTCCAGGGCTGGTATATAGTAACATATGCTTTGGGAATCTACCATCTCAATCTCTTCATTGCTTTTCTATCGCCAAAAGTGGATCCTTCACTGCTTGAAGAAGGCAAGTAGACTTTTGAAATCAGCACAGTTTTACCATTTATAAAGATATCACTTCATGTAAAAGCAACATCATCTTAACAAGAATGTACAAAACAGGTTTTTGAGTTACATTACAAGGTTGAGGTAGTTTTAACAGTGATCGAAGCAGGGTAGACTTTTTATGCAATTGTGAAGATATTCGAAAGTTCTTCTGTATTTTGTCATGTATATTTCATGTTGTTCTAACTTGACCTGACATTAAAAATGGACTCAGACTGACAAAAAAAGTGCCACATCCTCAAAGCCAAAGTTTGAGAAACAAGGCCACAAGAAGGGATTTTGTGGAATTAAAGTAGATCACAACACTGTTTTTTTTTTTTGTTTGTTTAATCATTTCTATCATTAATCATTGCACTTTTGTTATTAACCCTCTCTTAAATGTGTCTGGTTGTCACAATACAGTCTGATGGCAGATCAGTTTCACAGTGTGCAAAGTTTTTTTTTTTTTTTTCGTTTAAGTTAAGATAAATAAAGTCAAACCTCTTAAATTCTTTCAAACAATTAGTTTATGTATGTTTTATTGATTGAGTATTCCCTCTTTTTAAAATTCTTTTCTACATAACGTATATCTCATGCAGACGAAGGCCCATCCCTTCCCACCAAGCAGAATGAGGAGTTCCGCCCTTTCATCAGGAGGTTGCCTGAGTTCAAGTTCTGGTGAGTCAAAAGATTAGATGCAGCCTATGCTTAATTCCTATAGAGCACATTTGTAAAGGAAAAAAAAAATCAACTTTAACAGTTTTCGTTTTAGTCTTATTTCAATTGAACCTCTATTTCCCTCCTTTAAACCAGAGACCCTTTCTACAGCCACATTTCAAAAATCCAATTTTCTTTTAAATGGCTGGTAAATACACAGTGGGCAAAGACATATCTTTTAAACTCCAACAAAGCATCAACGAAACAGTATGATTATCAGTTTTCAAACCTGAACTCGATTGATCTATGAGTAATCTTTTTTTACAACAGAAAAATCCTCCTCACTTAATTTTTGTTGATGCACCACATCTGGGTAACTTTTCTTCTACTTAAAGCTCCACAGTGCACTTTAAATCATATAGAGTTCTGGGTTTAAAGTAAGCCATCCAAGAGGCATATGAGTACTGACCAAAACAGGAGTGAAACTCTTCTTAAAGTTACCCTCCCAAAAAAAAAAAGGGGAAAACTCATCCAGTTTAGTGGGGCCAAAATATTCAGCCCCAGCCTGGCACTGGCCAGTGATATACAAGCCTTGGCTCAGACCAACAAAGTCTTAACTTTTTTGGCCCTTCTTGGCTGTGGTGCAGGTTCACCTTTGTACGTATGTGCTCAAACTCGATGCATGACTATGTACATTTATCGAAGGCCTTAAACACAACTACCCACTGTGTGCTATCAAGAATTTATACCACAAATAGTTTTATAATTTTTTTTGTGTCCACAACAGAATGAATGTCCCTCAGATTAACAATCAAGCCAAGACAGGCCAGCCTAAACAAGTATTTACTGCCTATCTGTCTTTGACTTGGAGTACTTGAGCCTGAGATAGTTCCTGAAAGTTGGTTACAATTCAGGATGTTGCCCCAAATGTGGTTGTAATGTTCTAACTGAGCTTGTGTTTCTGTCTTTAACAGGCATTCAGCAACAAAAGGCATTGTCATCGCCATGATTTGCACATTTTTCGATGCCTTCAATGTGCCAGTGTTCTGGCCTATACTTGTAATGTACTTCATCATGCTCTTCTGCATCACCATGAAGAGGCAGATCAAGGTAAAGATGATGCATTGAACTGAAAACTATCTGCAGTACCCCTTAAAATTGTGGTTATTTATTTTTAAAGTATAATGACATGTGTTAAGTATAATTTACACCAGACTATTTCATATAATGCAAGTACAAAGTAGGTATGACTCGGAAACCGTCAGCTTTGACTAAAGCCTAACACCACAACATCTGCAAAGGTTAATCAATTTAAAGAACTTCATTTATGGATGTCATTGTTTTTCTGTCATGTATTTTCTTGACAAATGGTGCTTTTTTATTTTCAAACAAAATACCCAAGGTCCTTTTTTAAAATATCCTCTTAATCTGTGGGGTTGTATGGCAGCAGGCATCCACAAGTGTTACCAAGTATTACCACCACCTACTGGATTATATTTTTAATCTGCCTGAGGTGTAGACATGTCTGACTTTTGCCCCTTTCAGACAAGCACTTTGCAGTATTTCAGGAACATTTTGGGGGCTCTCACTTAGAAATTTACCTGACTGTATTGTTCACACAGAAACCCTCATAGTATTAAGTCTCTCTTGTTGGATGGAGGGAATGTGGGTTCCTTGAGGCTGATCATCACATCAAATGGATGATGCATTGGTCACAATGTGATGTTTTACAACCCTGTTGTTGATTCAATCCAGAGATTCTTTTATGTAATACTTCCACAAGTTTATTATCTTTCTGTTTTCCCATCTTGGTCTCTGGAATATTTGTCCAGTTGCAAATCCACCTCTGTGCTATTGCTAATGTTTGCAGTATTTTATTTAAGTAAGGACAAGAAAGCAGTCAAACATAGACTTTAACTTTTTTTTTTAAACCTTTCTACCAACGTACTGACTAATCAAACATCCACTTATCAGTAGATGAGGGAAATAGATGTACAAGAGAGTATAAGACCACCTCAAGACCTTTTACATTATTTTTACTGAGTACATGCCACTCTTCCAGCTTCAAAATGGTGTTACATAGAAAAGTGTTTCCCAATGAGCTGTGCCACTAGGTGCCAAGCTTTCCATTCATGTGAATACTATTTGATTGAGAACACCAGTGTATCGAGGTAAGCTTCTCCTGAAATCTAAATGGAATTTCCCTCTGGGATCAATAAAGTTCTTGTTACCTTATCCTAGATGGCATATAATGTAATAAAGTATCAAAACATACATCTCTGAAAATGCAAATAGACAGAGTGGTGATGTGATATGAGCAATCCTGTACGGGGAGCATCACCAAACTTCACCCCAAAATGATACTGGGGGGCTAGCAGGAATATATTCAAGGCAAAGTCGCAGTGAAAAAAACATTCCTGGTCACCCATAAAGCTCATCCAGGTACTTTGGGGAACATTTCAGGAACTGTTTGCATGTCTGAAAGGGGGAATTTAGTTCAAATGTTTGGTAAGGCTCTGGAGATATGTGACAGTAATTCCTCTCTTTTTCTCCCCAACCTTCTCTAGCACATGGTGAAGTACAGATACCTACCGTTCACACATGGGAAGAGGACATACAAAGGCAAGGACGACACAGGGAAAACTTTTGCTAGTTAAGATCTCCCACTTCCCCTTCCCCTTCTCCTCATTTAAAATTTATCTGTCACAGCCATTTAGGAGGGACAAGGTTAGAATCATTTTTTTTTTTTTTTGTAAGAGGGACAGTAATATGAAAAGATAACCTTCAAAAAAGTTTTGATCCATGGTTCACAGTGTTGGATAAGGATATGAGCAGCTAGGATCAAATTATTTTGCAGATTTGCCTTTCTTTGTCAAGGGGTAGGAATATTTTTTCTTTTTTCGGACCACTATCCCAGTTTTAGGATTGGTCGGCATTTGTTCAGTAGTAGGTGAAACTGAGTGCTGCCTTTTGCCTTTTTAACCCCAAGGGGTAAGTATAAAAACCATCAAGAAGGAACCACTCTGAAAAATACAGTGGAATGGATTTTATGATCTATTTTTCAGCGATGGTGATTCCAGCACATTTCCTTCTCTGAAGTGAAACCAATCTGCCAATTTTTGATTAATACATTGGTACCTACTTATTTGTAACAAGTTTATATGAAAGTCAGTAGTGTTGATAGCGAAATAACATGAGATAAATGAGATGAAACCTGAAGGAAATGACACTGTCTTGAAGTTCTTTGTACTTAAAATAGACAGATTGGAGATTTAGTCACTGTTCACTTGGATATGCATTCATACAAAACAAAGAAGAACATCTCATCTTGAACTTAATCATTTTTTACTGAAATAATACAACACCAATGTTTTCAGTGGGCTTTCATCTAATTTGGAAAGTAATGTCTGTGTGTAACCTGATACTGAATCAGGGATCCATGTAGGTGATTATTAGTGAATTTTTTTTCCAACCACTCAACACATCATTGAATGCATTATTCAGAGTGGGTGTCACTAACCCCAATCAGTTCAGTCTCCTGTAGCATGTAGTCTTTGAATCAGTTTTCCACTTAGATGCCTGAGTGAAAGAGACAGAGTGCTGTGAGCTTGACCACCCATGACCTAAAATCCAAAATTCTTTGAGGGGACAATAAGCTCGCGATGACAACTCAATTTGTTAACATTTGTGCATAGTTGGAAAAAGCACCGTCTCAAAAGTGCAAAGCCAGTATTCAAGTCAAATCCACTGCAAAGTCTAATCTAGAAGAACGTAGCAATTTTATAGTACCCACGTGACCTCGGCCCTTTGAAACATTTAGCCATCTTTGTCTCAAAACCTGAGGTCCTTTGGAATTTGTTAGACTAGCTGTAGTAGTCCTTAATAATCTGTGTATACTTTGAAAAAATATGGTTAATATAGTCATTCCAAGCAAACTTTTGTTCTCTTTCTTTTGCAGAGGAAACATAAGAAAACAGAGATTGAAAGCTTTTATTAAAAGAAATGGATGAAGTGGGTGGCGAACATGCTTTTTTTCTATGCCTGTTAATTTTTTTCTTCATTTTTGTCAAAATGCTGGGGATTTTCTGTCATCATAAACTTTGATCAGCACTGTAGTAAGGGATCAAAACATTTTCTGTATAAAGTTTGTGTTTCAACGGATTGTCTGGAGGATTTATGTATATATATATATTTTAAAATATGAAAAATTTTTGAGATTATTTTTATTTTTGTTTTTTCTTTCAACCAATATGTCCAAGTGTTTAAATCCATCTCAATTGAAAATGATGAAAGCAGACTGATTAATTGGGTTCTTGATTTGATAAATTAAAATATGTTTATAATGGATTGCATGTTATTGTTTTCTTGTGCTACAGTTAAAACAAAAACTTGATTTTAATAATTTAAGTGTAATTTTTCACTCCAAATGCTATTAAAGAGGCTGTTTCCCTTCTAAAAGTATATTTGTCTCAGCTTCATATTTTGTAGGTACTCGCAGAGGACAGTCAATAACAGATTTGATTGGGGCCCAAGTCAAGTCAGCCATTATTTATAAGTATCATTTTAAAATAATAACCAAGAGCGTCACATGGTCAGAAGTACGAGACAACATCATCAGATAACACCACACAAATATAAAACAAGTAAAATCTATCAGGATAATAACCTTCTCAGCTTAAAGAGGGTCTTCACTATTACTTAAACCAGTCAATAGTTTTGGCAGAGTTGGAAGTGGTTAGCTGTCCGATGGTTAGGGGCAGCTATTGTAAAGGTCTCATCAGCCCTGGTTTTCAGGCAAGTTTTAGACACGTCCTGGACAAGCTGTTTGGTTGAGCTCAGCGCTGTAGTTGGGGTATGGACATGGAGAGGTTTTTGTGAAGTTAAATGGTGCCAATTCATTAAGGGCCTTAAAGGTCAACAACAAAATTTTAAAATCAATCATGACAGACTGGAAGCAGGAGAGAGCACAGGTTTGATGCAATCTCTTTTTCTTTCCAGTCAGGAGACGAGCTGCAAAATTTCAAACTAGCTACTGGTGTTGAATGGATGACTAATCTAAGCACACATACAAGGAATTACGGAAGTGAAAATAAGATGCTGTACAGAGGCTGGACTCAACAACAGAATTATTTTACCCATCAACTTCTAAAGCACTGACAAGACAAACACCAAGGCTCTAAGCAGGAGAGCAAGTAATACCAGCAGATGGCCAAGAGCATTTCCATCCAATAGTTCCGGGTCTCCAAACATAAACACCTGAGCTTTAATCTCATTCAGGTTTGGGAGTGTAGGCTCAGCCATGACTTGATGTCTTTCAGTCAAATGAACAAGGGCTGCCATGTGCTGCAGTGTGTACATCACTGGGAAATGACACAAGGGACAGCATTGGCACAGAGGACCTGACTTACGGCGCACCTGTGCCATGCTGTCGGCGAGGCACGAAAATAGAGCCCTTAATCTTATTTCAGAAACGCCCTGATCCGGACTGTTCCCACTCCATTTTTGTTACACTTTTATCTGTACAAATACAGCAATAAGAGACCGACTTTCTGACTTCACGTTTTTGTTGTTTTCGCCATTAGTCTGGCGGTTGGGCCCCTTTGTAACTGTGGGCTCACTTCGGAACTGTGGATATTATGTGGATTTTGTAATTGCACAAAAGTTTTCCCACCCAACTTGTATAACATAACATCACATGCATAACTGGGGTATTTTGTCAGTAAAATAAAACATAGTGATGCTCTGCATTTAAGGTTACTGTATTAGGTGGATAAGAGTAATTCCATTACATAAATTGATTGAATTTAGAGCTGTTGAAATGCCAGTGTTACCACATGAGGGCACCCCTTTACTGTGCAACATACTTGTTAGTTCATTATAGAAGTGTGAGGTTTTGATTTTAAATAGATGAACACCTGGACAGGGGTTGCACAGGTGACCAGTAAATCACAGGACTATGAAAAACTCTTTTTTTTTCATCTACATTATCTAAACTTCAATATTCATAATTCAAAATAATCATAGGTTATGGGTTTTATTCCATATATCTTTATCATTTATATTTTACTACTCTAAACTTGAAAGTCCTACTGCTTTCATAATTTTTTAAAATTGTTTTATTTTAACCTAATGTCATATTTACTCTCATTTCACATTTTTTTCTCTAATGACTCAGGGACACACAAGAATTCCAGTGTACCTGTTGTCTGTTTAACTTGTACAAATGGCAATAAAACTAACCGGGGGAAGAGAATTTGGAAAAGGATATCCTCTGTGTAACACAAAAGCTGCCTCTTTGTTCATTTGTTCCATCCTTATCAATTAGAAGTTAAAATGAAATTGAAAGTGTTGCTAAAAGCCCGCCTTGTCAGCCAAAGAAAGACTTTATGTAAAACAAATGCTCATTGATAAAAATGAAGTTCAACAAAAATCTTAGACTTTAATTTGAATTTTATGCACTCCATGTGTTACACTATTTTTAGTCAACAGTGATGTGGTATGAAATGATTGGGGAACCATTTTTAGAGCAGAATTAGTTATTCTCAATATATTTCCCTTGGAGTCTATGAGATGTGAAGTTTATACAGTAGACAGTGAAAATATGTTCACTTTGCTGTGAGAGCGAATCATAAATTGTTTATATCTGAAAGACCTTGAAACCTTCAGACCAGGAGTCAGTCCAGAGAGCCAAAAGTTGAAGTTTTCAAAGACGGTTTTAAAAAACAAACATTTGTGATGAAGTGCAGTCTGATGAGGGCCACAAAATCTCTTGACTTTACACCCCAGGAGCTTCCTCTTTTCTCCAGGAAACATTACAAAAGAATATTTCCACAACACAGAAGATCACAACTGTAAAAGGGAAGGACAGAGCAGGGATATGTATGACTGTTGCTATTTAACAAAGATTTCAGAGGCAGCTTACCTTCAGTTCAGGAACGTATCTGCTCCCAAGAAACAAACTGTTTGCTGTACCCTTCACAGCATTTTAGTGTTCTTGTTGTGTTTTCAGGATGTGATATTGTTGTTGTATTTGATAACAGCAGCAGTATCAGTTATTTTTGAAACATGAAGTCTGGTGGAGTCCAGAAATTGTCTTTTGTTCTGTGCAGTAATTGTTAAAGTTGTGGAAATCTGGGGGGCTGCATGTATTTGTATACTGCTTTGTGCCATCAGATCCATATTTATTTCATTTCATTCTGGTTATTTGCTTGTTTACATATGCCAGTTCACAACAAGTGCTATCCCAAGATGCTTCATAAAAAAGCTGGCCTAGACTAAACTCTATTAACAAAGATGTAAAGATGGGACACAAATGTGCCCTATCTTGTGAGATCCCACCCATTGTCATCCCATCTTTAACCACATGAGTGTAGCACTTGGCAGCATCTAGCAAATTATAGTGGAGAGGAAAAACTTGCCTTTAACAGGCATAAACCCGAACAGAGCCAGACTCATATTAGACAGTCATCTGCCATTACTGCATTGGGGTTAGAGAGGAGATAGAGAGAGATGTACAGAGGTGAGACTAATGCACATAGGTTGAATCAGCGGGAATCAGGCAGCAAAACATCTGCAGCAGTGATCCAGAGGAAACTATATCATGATGGAGCTCAGGGACTCCCAGTAAAGACAGTGTGTTAGTGACTCTGATGGAACACAATGATTCAAAGTTAATGGCACTGACAGAAAGAGGATGGAGAAGGAGAGGAAGCAGCTCAATATGCCACTACCCCTGGCAGTCTAAACCTATAGCAGCATAGCTAAGAGCAGACTGGAATGTAAACCAGCCCCAACTAAAAGCTTTATTAAAGAGGAATATCTAAAGCCTACTCTCAAGTCTGCTTCCCACATCTCGACTGGTAGATGATTTCAGTGAAGAGGGGTCTCATAGTTGAAAGCTCTACCACCCAGACCACTTTTTACTTTGTAAGACTTACTCAGATCCTCCCAGAGGCTCAAGTAGGAAAGAGGGAGGGGAGAAGGAGTGGAGTGGTTTAAACACAGCCGAGTCCTGTTTTCACCAATCACATCAGCTATATCGATATAGACCCAAATGTATATGCTGACTCAGATAATTAAGAACCAGAATCATTTATTAATGGCCACACAACAGAGTTAGTGGAATTTGTTTTTCCGTAACAGCACTTCATGTCAGATACATACATGCAAAAATCAATATTGATATTGAATACTGGTTGTTGTTGATTATTTATTGCCATGAAATGTGTCTGACACTGTGGAAACCTGCCTGTGAGGTATTGGTCACATGTGCGCACTGCTGCCCCAGTTCAAAATACCACTTGACCAGCTGCGCTCTGTCTGTGCTGAAAGCTGACCAGGTTAGAATCGGTGAGCTTTCAGCACACTTTCTATACCGCCGCCGGGCATAGAAATATCACTGCACCAGCTGATTCTGTTGACACCTCCCCTTACTGCACTGCCCTAACTTGGGGCATCTCAGTGTGCCCCAGTCTACCAAACTGCCAAACGGACTGTGCATCGGTCTGCAATGGACTAAAGTACCACTGGGCATGGTGCGCCACCCTATGTCTTCCCCTGTCAGGCACAAAAATAGAGCCCTTTAAGGTTGATCAGGCCTACATTTTAGGACTGCAAAAATTTCTCCCTGTTCAATCAAAGTTTTGGGAAATGACAGACACTGGAGGAGAGCAAATCCTCAAACTTGACAATGTCCCAGAGCTAAGCTATTGTTAGCTGCAGCTTAATTTATGACCCCTCTTCATTGAAGAGCACAGGAGAGACATTATTCTGAGATTTTCTATTGTGTGTTTTTATTATTGTTTTGGTATTTGAAGAAGTGAAGAACTTGGAGAGACTTCTGTGACTTGCTCCTCACAAATGTTGAACACTCAACAAATTCTATCTTAAAAATAAGTGAGCTTGTAGAAACATGGGGATCTAATGTAATTGACAGGGTGGCTTGCAGCCCCAAGGTCATACAATGTCCACCCAAGGTTTGCTTTAAACATTTTAATATTTTAACCATCTTTACAGCATAAAAAAAAAAATCATCTTGATTAGTAGGGCAGAAATTCTTAGTCAAAAAATTGTATTGCATGGCTTGGCATAACTTAACGGGTTTTAACAGTAATTCTCGATGTACTTTGTTGCAAACCATATAAAGTCATAAACTTAATTGGAAATAGTTCAAAGACATGTCAAGTGTTGAAATGTTTTAAAATTCAATTAAAATATATACTCATGTTAAATTTGATGCCATTTTAGTGACATGTTTCAAAAAGGGTTTGGCACCTGGTGTTGATTTTCAGACTTTTTGTTTTTGTACAAAATAATTTGGAGATGCTCCTTAAGAAGTATTTTTTACCATTACAGTTTTCAGAGCCCATTTTCCCTGTCCCAACCTTTTGGAATATGTTTTAAATGAGCAGGTAATGTATTTTTCACAAAGCAATATAGTGTACATGTCAATCCTTTATCTGTTTGTCCACAGGGACAACCCTTTACTACTCAGAAAAACAGAGAGCTCTGTCCTTGAGTCAAGGGATGGTCAGAATTCAAACTTTGTTGACAGGCGTGACCATTCATCATTTTCATCCGCAGAGTGATTGCAAATGATCTCCTTTCAAATTACCTGCTGGACCAAAGCTTAAGCTATGCAAAGCCTATTTGTAAGGGGATGCTACAATTTAACATAAACCAAAGACACTTGGTTAAATTTATTCATTCATTTGTCTGCATTTGCTTGTGAACCCATGTGAACTTAAAACCTCATCCAAACCTAAATCCTTTTTATGTTACAATGTTAGCAAAGAAAAAATGTTTGGAGCATCAAAGACATTCACTTTGATTGTTTCATGTAAACACGTAAACAGTGGGTTATTTTAAATTCAGTATCAATGAACAAGTACTTTGTGCAAAATAAAATAGAAAAAAATCGGTTTGATTTTGAGTTAATTTTTCTGCTATTGTGTATGTCTATCACATCAAGTCAAAATGTAAACCGGTGTCAGTCACGTAGCATTTGTTTGGTTTGCAGGAAACATTAAGTAGAGACCAAATTGACTCTTCAGGTATGTTAAAGTGGACAAAGGTACAAAGGAAAGGTCTACCAAAGAACCCTGCTTACCTTGAATACAACAAGGGGCTGACTCAGCTCATCAGAGCGGCAAACAAGGGCAGTGTTTTATCTACATCCACCTAGCTCCTAGCACTGTTGTAATAACTGCAAGACATTTTGAAAAAGTTGAGATATTTCCTGGAGTGGGGTCAACACAAAGATGTTCTTGATTCTATCAGATGTCACCCTGCAAAAAAAAAAATTGACTTACAAGGGGAAAAATAAGTATTGAACGCATCAAAGTTTTTCTCTTTACATTTATTTCCAAAGATGCAATTCAAATGAAATTCCTGCGAGGCATTGGTATGAATTCAAATAATCCACACATGAAAAGAAATCACAACGTTCAAGTCCATAAATAATGATTATGCACTAACAGAAAAAAAGTATTGAACACACCATGGAAAGGCTGTATACTTTGGCAAGGAAATGCGCCACACCACCTGAAATCTGTCAGTAATTATTACTTGTACATCCAATCAGTGCAAACCAACATCAGCTGGGTTAGAGCAAATTGATGGTCCTATAAACAGGTTGTTTTGTCACCAAGAGGTCAAACAAGACACATCTCATGATGGGTAAAGGCAGAGAGCTCTCTGAAGACATTCGCAACCTGATTGTTGCTCAGCATCAGAATGGAACTGGTTACAGACTTACATCAAAGCGCCTGAATATTCCAGTCAGCACCATTGGGGCCATTATCCGCAAGTGGAAGAAACACCACCTTACCATCAACAGGCCACGCTCAGGAGCTCCTCGCAAGATTTCTGACCAGAGAGTACAAAAGATGGTCAGAAGAGTACTCAATGGGCCAAGGACCACCCTGAAAGTGCTCCAGAAAGACTTAGAGGCAGCAGGTACAATTGTTACAGAGAAAACAGTTGGCAATGCACTCCACCGCCATGGACTCTATGGACGCTCAGCCCGCAAGACTCCATTCCTCAAGAAAAAGCATGTTGAAGCTTATTTAAAGTTTGCTAAACAGTATCTTGACAAGCCTGTAGAATACTGGGAGAATGTTGTCTGGTCAGACGAGACCAAAATTGAATTTTTCGGCTGTCATACTGCACACCATGTTTGGATAAGAAATGGCACTGCACATCACCCAAAAAACACTATACCGACAGTGAAGTTTGGAGGTGGAAGCATCATGGCATGGGGTTGTTTCTCATCTCGGGGTATTGGCAAACTTAATATAATTGAAGGAGCAATGAATGGAGCCATGTATCGGGGAAATTCTTGGTATGAACCTGCGGCCATCCACCAGGATGATGAAGATGAGACGTGGCTGGTACTTCCAGCAGGACAAAGAGCCAAAGCACACAGCAAAGTTAACTCTCAAATGGTTTCAAAAAAGAAAATTAATCTGTTGGAATGGCCCAGTCAATCTCCTGACTTAAATCCAATTGAACATTTGTGGAAGAAACTAAAGAAAAGGGTTCACCAGAGGGCACCAAAAGACATTCAAGATTTAAAGACAATGGGCTCTATTTTCGTGCCTCGCTGGTGACGCGGCGCATGCGCAGTGTAAGTCAGGTCCGCCGCGCGGACAAGGCATTCCCAAGCACAATTTGGTATTTTGGTGAGCAGCACAGCCCGGCGTAGGTATTCCCCCTCCCTAACTCAGCTCCTCCCAGCAGCGTAAGTCGTAGGGAGGGAGGAGAGAGGGCGTGGAGTGGGTTTAACACAGCTGAGACCTGTATTGACCAATAACATCAGCTCCTCTCCTCGCCTTTAAATCTGCCACAAGCAAGGCGTATTACTATTTTTGTGAAGTAGTCAAAGAGATCAAGATTTGTCTGAAGACAGTAATGCCACACGATGGCGACAGAAGGCAGCTCCTCAACAAGTGTCACTGTAAACGCTGCAGAGGGTGTCTGGACACTCTCTCATATGAGCACAGATGGATTTGGTGTGTGCGAGGTTGGACCCACTAGTAAGACAAACACCCTTTTCCACAAATAAAGACACTCACATAAAGTTGCATATATTCAAACCTCACGTGACAAAGGTGGGTTGTGTGCAGAGATCACATCATAAATTCCAAAAATGGCATTAAAATCGGAACCATCTGTGCGTAAATGACGCATCGTGCTCCGTGGCCTGGCTCTTTCTTTCATAGATGTTGGCATATAAAATAAATTTGGCTCACAAAACTGAATATTATAATATTCGTATGTAGGCTTAAAGTAAATAACTCATCTGATCACTGAAACAAATCATCTGTTCAGCCGTCGCAGCAGCAGCTGCAGCAGGATGGGGAGCGGACACGGAGACATGTCCAGGTCGAGCTGCGCGAGAAATAAGAGGCAGAGGAAGAAAGAAAAGGAGGGAGACGAATTACATGTCTTTTTAACTTCATCATGTGTGTTTATTTACTAGATATTTAATTAATGCGGTTTCAGCTGTGCTGATTCGGTCAGGTTGTGTATCCAAACGTGTGCCAAACGCGCTCATCAGAACAGATATAGATCAGAATATACATCTATAGATCTAAATATATGTGTTGACTCAGATTATTAGTTGTTGATGATTATTTATTGCACTGAAATGTGCCTGACACTGTGGAAACCTGCCTGTGAGGCATCAGTGACATATGCCGATACGCCGCCAGTCTACCAAAACACCACTAGACCAGCTGCGCTCCGCCTGCGCTGAAAGCTGACCAGGTTTGAATATACGAGCTTTCAGTGCACTTTATACGCCGGTGGCGAGCACGAAAATGTCTCTACGCCAGCTGATTCTGTCGACACCTCCCCCTACCATGCCACCACGCCCAGCTTGGCGGATCTTGGCTCGCCTCCGTGCGCCTCAGTCCACGAAAATACCAAACTGGCTGTAAGCCGGGCTCCGCCAGACGAAAATACAACCGCACGGGGTCCGCCACCCTTTGCCGCGTCCCCAGCGTACACAAAAAATAGAGCCCAATATGTCTGGAGGAGTGGGCCAAAATCACATTTGAGCAGTATGGCCGATTAGTTAAAACATACCAGAAGCGTCTGTAAGCTGTCATTGCAAACAAAGGCTTCTCCACTAAGTAGTAAATGAGTCTCAGTTAGTGTGTTCAATACTTTTTTTCCTGTGTTATTGCACTTAATTCCATGTAGTCATTATTTATGGACTCAAATTTTGTGATTTCTTTTCATGTGTAGATCATTTGAGTTAATACCAATGTCCGGTAGAAATTTTTTTGTGAATTGCATATTTAGAAATACATGTAAAGAGAAAAACATAGATGTGTTCAATACTTATTTTCCCCATTGCATAAACGTCAAAGGAAGACACTGACGTAAACCTCTGTCAGCCTTTAATGGGTTGTTGCTTTGAATCAGGTGATCGGTTGAACCTAGAGCGGGACATATTACTTCTTTCATCTTTAGTTTGAGGACTTTTCTATGTTAGCAGATCAGTGTATTAATTTCCATATCATGCTTTACTCACTCAGTGTACAACATCAAACATGATGCCAGCTTTGGCAACAACAACTTGCATCAAGATCTTAGGACTGATTTATAAAAGACAGAGGTATATTGATTTACACGGCACTTTTATTCTGAGCCTAAGCAGTATCACAGGCAGCATCTTTTACTGTTGACCTTTATCTTTTATCTTTAATTGTTTCTGATATTTGTTTGTATATATGTGTGTCAAATCACCACTATGTTTAAACTTTTAATTTATAGTCATTGTATTCCTCACATTTCTCTGCCATTTCTTTTTCTGCTTTCTTTTGATTTTTAATTCGTAAAGCACTTTGTAATCCTGTTTTGAAAAGTACTATATAAAAAAAGTTTATTGTTAATTTTTTTTAAATCTGATAAAAAAAAATATGTATAGCCATCAGATGAAGTCTGTGCATCTTAAAGGCCTTTTGCATACTGATTTGTGTACTCTCCACAACCATATTTACAAGTATGTATTCATGACATCTGAAGCCATGCACTCTGAAGAGCATGTAAATGAACACAGTGGCTTTGCCATTAAGAGCAATGCATCGCTTATTAAAGGTAGAGGCAAATCCCAGTAGAGCTTATATTAGACTGGAAATGACAACAATGATGCAGGTTCTTAGTTTATGTTTTCTTCAACTTTTACTTGCTCTACCTCAACGCACTGCCCCAGCCTCAGAGTTTCAACTGGAAGGAGATTATCTGATGGGTGGACTTTTTGATATTCATAATGTCATTGCCCCTGTTTTCTATGACGAACCAGAAGCTATCAGTTGTCCCAGGTGAGTCTTTTAAGTTGTAGACTACTGACAAATTCTTAGCCTGAGTATGATCATATCTTTGTGATTATGTAAAACTCAGTGTAGTATTTGTTCTTTGTGGGGGTCTGAAGATTCTCCTGTTGTCCTTCCTTCCTCTACAGCCAACACTTTATCCCTTCCAGTTACCGGAGGTTTCAGTTGATGAGATTCTCAGTAGAGGAAATCAATAACTCAACCAGCCTGCTACCAAATGTTTCACTGGGCTATGAGATATTTAATCACTGCTCTGACACACACAACTTCCCAGGACTTTTAAATCTCCTCTCAGTAAATGACTCCATTCAGCCTTGGAGTGATCCAAGCAGAAATCAGTCCAAAATATCAAAAGTCATTGCAGTAGTCGGGCCTTTTTCAAGCACTGACACCATGACTGTCGCCCCACTTTACATGGCAGATCTCATTCCTTTGGTGAGCATGCTAACCATATACATTTTCCATGGTTTGACGATCTGTGAATTGACGGGAGGCCCAAATAATGATACAAAAAACTAACAATGATACATTTTTCAATTAAAACAAGTTGAGTCACAACAGACAGAGTCAATATTCACTGACAATGATCACTCTTTCTTTCTTCTTGTTCTAACAGGTCAGCTATGGAGCTGCTAGCTCTGCTTTCTCGGAAAAAGCCAAATTCCCCTCTTTCTTACGAACAGTTTTTTCCAATAAAGATGTCATAGAAGTAATTGTCAGTATCATACAGCATTTCAACTGGCGCTGGGTTGCCTTTCTTAGGAGTGACAATGATTTTGGCAACGATGGACTGGACATGTTTATCAAGAGGATAAAAGACACAGAGATCTGTCTGGCATATACCAAAGGTCTCGATTACAAGACAGATTACTCCAAAATGTTCCAACAAATAGAGGCACAGAGGATACGCATCATTATTGTTTTCGTCACAAAACTGACTGCTGAGGCTCTCATTATGTCTTCAATACAACTGAATATCACCAACAAGGTATGGATAGCGGGAGACACTTGGTCATTGAACAAGAAGCTCCCCAATGAGAAAGGAATCAGAAATATTGGAACTGTTCTTGGTGTGTCTCAGCCTGTGGTGTCAATACCTGGCTTCAGTGATTTTATCTATTCAACCAAAAGCCAGACTCAGTGTGAAGATGCAGAGCAGAACGGGTTTTGTAATCAGGCATGTAACTGCAGTGACCTCAGTGCAGAGGATGTCATTGCTTTGGATCCGTCTTACTCTTTTCCAGTGTACTCTGCTGTGTATGCCATTGCACATGCTTTACACAATGCCTTACAGTGTGGAGTTGATAGCTGTAATGGTAATATTACAGTGCATCCTCATATGGTAAGTTTACACTTTTATTCCTGTTTGAAATCATGACAGCCTGACCTATTTTCCCCCATCTAAAAAAAAAAAGAAAAAGAAAAAGAGCTTTTGTCTTCATACAGTCTGACTGTGTAGTCTTATCAAATCTAATGTATCATATATAAATGTCAGCTCATTGAAGTACAGTTAAAGCTAATAACAATTATATGAAATGTTTAAAGCTTCCATGAAAAATGAAACACAAAAAAGTAGAAATAGTGTATTATTTTTTAAACCTGCAGTGCAACCCTCTGATTTATCACAGATATACCATTTCTTTATCATCCCTATACAAACATGTGTAAACAGTTCTAACTTTTCGTCCCTGTATCAGGTTCTAGCAGAGCTAAAGAAGGTGAACTTCACACTTTTAAACCAAAGCATTCAGTTTGATGAGCATGGTGACCCCACATTTGGATCCTACTCCATCGTTTTCTGGAACAGTGATGGTGAAGCGGAGGAGATTGGCTTTTTTAAATTTCAACCATCAGTCAACTATGTCATCAATGACAGCAAAATTCAGTGGTACACAAATGGCGAAGTAAGTCTTTCAATTAACTCTGTGGTGCAATGGTTTTAAGATAGTAAACTACCACAGAGCTGTACACAGTACACAGTACACCACTTTTATGCTGATTATGTGTGCAGCTTAAATGACTGAATACTCACAAACAGAATATAATCTTCATTTTTTCATCATATTCATCATGTTGGATGTCTGACTCTTCACTCATTATTTACTAGGATGTCTACACTTTCATTACCCTTCTCCCTTTTTCAGTTACTTTAATGAGAAATTATGTCTTGTACAGCTGCCCACTGCACTCTGTTCTCAAGAGTGCTTGGATGGATATGCAAAAAAGCAAAATGGGATCCACAAGTGTTGTTTCAACTGTGATATCTGTCCTAATGGAACTTATATCAACATCACAGGTAAATGAATTGACAAAGACAATTATTTAAAGGGTTGTTTTCATTTTTGCCTGAATTAGAACTGACAGTATACTTTTAAAAAGACTTGTATTTGACCATTGCCAGATGACACAGTAGTATATGCATAGCCCATGTGCAGAAGCTATACAGAGATTAACTTTCCAGACATAGTGAGGATTTCATAAAACTGTTTACTCTGACTGATAAAATAATCAATTTAGTCCTCTTACCTAAGACAACTTAAATCTTGTGCATTTTGTGTAAAAACTTAATTCAGTCAGGTTTCACCAAAACCTCATTTGATTTAGCATGGAGAATCATTCAGATGTCAGTGTGTCCCTCTCAGATGTAATGCTGCGTTCCAGTTATCTCAGAAGTCAGAGTTGAGAATGACGTTAAACCCGAGTTGATAGCATTCCAGGTAACAAGTCAGAAAACCAAGATGGATGCCTACAGTTACCGGTTGTTAGCTGTTGTTTACAATTGTCAGCTGTCATTAGCCATTGTCAGTTGTTGTTAGTGGTTGTCAGCGACAGCAGTTGTAAACAACGCATAACACAGTATTTTACTCTTACAAACACAGTAGCACCGTGTTCACAGTTAGACGTTGGGCAGTACAACATATACCACTTATTTAATTTCACAATAACAAAACAGAAGTGCTATTAAATAATACATTACGAGAGCTTTCCCTTTTACTCTTTACTGTTGATGCACTGCGCTGCCACCTTGGAATATGATGTTGTTGTCATCAAGTCGGGGTTGGAGAGGATCATCCGATTTTCTGAGTCAAAAATCCGATTTCAGCGGGGCATTCCAAATGAATTTCTGACTCTGAGTTCTGAAATTCTGACTTCCGAGTAAGACTGGAACACAGCATAAATAGAGGATATGTTCAAAAAAACATCAAAATCACATTCTCATTTTGTGCCAAACAGAGGATCCCTATAAGTGCATCAGGTGTAAGGAAACAGAGTGGTCTGCAGAAGGAAGTACATCATGCAATCTGCGGTCAGTGGAGTACGTCCCATTTACAGACAGTAGCGCTATACTCATCATGTTTGGGTCTGTAGCCTTGGAGGGTCTCACATTGGCCGTGTCTGCTCTCTTTGCCATCAACTACAACACACCTGTTGTCAGATCTGCTGGAGGACTGATGTGCTTCCTCATTTTAGGCTGCCTCACTCTGTGTAGTCTTAGTGTTTTCTTTTACTTTGGTAAGCCATCAACTTCCTCTTGTATTTTAAGATTCTTGCCATTTCTTTTGTTTTACACAGTTTGTCTTGCCTGTTTTGTTGTGCGCTCTTTTCAAATTGTTTGTATTTTCAAAATGGCTGCCAAGTTTCCAAAGTTCTACAGTTGGTGGATGAAATATCACGGACAATGGCTGATCATCATGGCGGCATTTGTTACTCAGGCATTGTTACTTCTTATTGGCTATTTATATTCTCCCCCTAAACCCTACAATGAAACAGCCTGGAGTCCAGACAAAATAATTCTTGGATGTGATATTGATCTTAAAGCAGCCTCTAGTTCTGTGATTGTACTTGTACTTTTGTGCTCTCTCTGCTTTATTTTCTCCTACATGGGCAAAGATCTCCCCAAAAATTACAATGAAGCCAAAGCCATTACCTTCTGTCTGCTCCTGCTGATCCTCACCTGGATCATCTTTGCCACTGAGTATATGCTTTATCATGGCAAGTTTATCCAAACTCTCAATGCCCTGGCAGTCCTCTCTAGCCTCTACTGCTTTTTGTTGTGGTATTTCCTCCCAAAATGCTACATCATTATTTTTCAACCCCAGAAAAACACTCAGCAACATTTCCAAGGTCTCATTCAGAATTACACCAAAACAATTAGCCAGTAGCATCGTTGTGTGGATATATGTATGTGCTTACAAGAAAACTTTAGGCCATAATCATTTTTTAAACTTAACATAGTTTACAAATCATCTGTCAATGTCATTTGTGGTGTACATCCAAACTTTTGCTTAAAATTACCAGTAGTATTCTATTTGTACACACTGAATTTCTTGGGGAGTAAGACTTTTAGACATCAAACGTATACAAAAAAACATGAAGGGTCAATGATATATTACTTTTTAAAGAGGAATTTTTTGGCCACTGAGCTACTTTTTCACTAGTCTCACCCTAATTCTTCAACAGGTAGAAAAGGGGGATTAATCTTTTATTATAAGTCACACCAAGAAAGTACTAAAATATTATACAAAAGAAAATCAGATTTCATTTTACTGAATTACTCTACAAAGAAGATCAAAGATTAAAGATGTTGGTTTCTTGAATAATACTTGTTGTTGATTATTCAATCATCCACATAGTTTACATGTGAGACAATAATTTGAAAAGGCTCCACATCTCTGCGCTCACAAAGTACAGAAATCATTACGCAACACTGTGCCATCCGTCCATGTACACTCAAGCTGATATGAAAACCTCTTCCTTTGCTTTAGAACAACTACATTGGAGATCAACATGTCAAGTTCACTGCATTGTTACCTCCGCCAAGGAGGTTATGTTTTCAGTAGCGTTGGTTTGTTTGTTTGTCTGTTAGCAACTTTACGGAGAAAGTTACAGACGGATTGAACTAAAATTTTCACCAGGATCCCATTACATTTTGGTGGTGATCCGGATCGCCTTCTGGATCCAGGAATTTTTTGAAGGATTCTTTATCATTGTGAGATAGAGCAAATTTGGGAATTTTTGCATTTAACTCTATAAAAATGGCCAGTCTTTAGTAAAAAACCACACAAAAGGATCTCAATGAGTTTGATGAGGTGTCAAAGGTTGATCCTGATCCAGACAAAATTCCAGATACTGTGATCCAGAAAACACAAAAAAGAGGGTGTCGTTGGAATTTTCAATGCTGAAAGATAACCAATGAAGATACAAGGAAGTGTACGCTTACAAATATTGCATAATAAATCATGCATTTATGTATCTAATATGAGCTTTGTTGTTTTAGGAACATTATGAACAGTGAACATACCAGTTTAAACACAAATAAAAGTTAATAAAAGACACGTAACAGTAAAAGTTTTGGTGTGAATCACAATATAAGGGGGGGACATGAGCTGCTTGGCGGAGGTCTGCGCTCTCTGAGTGCTTTTCTAGTTCTGTTATAAAATAACCCAAACTTAAGTAAAAAAAAGCTGCATTTTAAGCATAATGCATGAGTTACATATATTATGAAGCACAGTATAAAAAACTTTAATGAGATATTAAAATTTAAAAAAAAAAAAGATCAAAATTAGAGAACACTTTAAGACTTTAACATGCCAGTTTTGAGTGTTAGTCTGGCACCTGGTGCTTATTTCTTTAATTATCTGACCAACCCTATTTAACTGGCAGCCTAACTACCAGTTTTCACTGACTTTACAAGATGGTGAGCCATTTTAAGTTTACTAAAAACCCTCCGGCAGCAGGTGGTCCAGATGAAGGCCAAGGGGATGACCCAGTCAGCAATACCAAGAGAAATTGGTCTTTCCGAATCTGTGATTTCCAGGATATTACATCTTTACAAAGTCACAAACTCCTTCAAGTCCAACAAGAAGGCCAATTGTCCACAAAAGACAAATGAAAGAGAGGACAGGATAATACAGATAACCTCAATGGACAATCAGTTCGACACTGCAGCTGAACTTGCTCGCCAGTTCAGTGCTGAACAAGGTAATACTCTGGGCTCTATTTTCGTGCCTCGCCGGGGACGTGGCGCATGCGCGGCGTAAGTCAGGTCCGCCGCGCTAACAAGGTGTTCCCAAGCACAATTTGGTATTTTGGTGAGTGGCGCAGCCCGGCGTAAGGCGAGCTTTCAGCGCACTTCATACGCCACCAGCGAGCGCGAAAATGTCACTGCGCCAGCTGATTCTGTCGCCACCACGCCCAGCTTGGTGGACCTTGGTGCGCCTCAGTCCACGAAAATACCAAACTGGCTGTACGCTGGGCTCCCCCAGACGAAAATACCACTGCGCGGGGTTGTTTTCATTTTGCACATTAGACTTTATTTGAGCAAAATACATTATAGTATTCTTGAAATTTCAGCCATGTGGCTGCCATCTTGAAAGTAACAGGGTCATAGGTCACCAATAGTGTGACTACTGTGGTCACCAGTTGTGAGGTAGAAGGAAGCTCCTGGCCAATTGCAAAGTTACAAATTTGAATTCTGCACCAAAAGAATTACTGGTTTGACACAGAAATCACCCATATCAGACTTGTGATTGGCTGCCATCTTGAAAATGTCAGCCATCCTGAATATAAAATAGCAATTTTAAATTATTATTCATTTACCAAGTACTCTGTATGGCAAATAAGTCTGAAATGCCATATTATATCCATCTTTCATAAGAAAACAGTTGTTGCTGGCGGCCATTTTGAAAAATGGCTGCCATGGCCGCCATGTTGAAAACTCATGATGCCTCCACATCCAAATCTTTTGGGAATACCTTTGGCTATAAGTGTACCAAATTTCATGCTTTTATCACAAAATGCACGATCGTTCTGGCAATCTGCTGCACTATTATTGTGTGTTGGGAACCAATATCAAACAGAGCTATGCTTCCTGACTCCTCATGTGTGTTGTGACTTTGCTGTGGTTAGAAGGCTTGTGTGATTCTGATGGCCATGCCATATCAGCTGGTCAAACTAAGTCAGAGGTAAAGGGAGAGCTTGCACAAGCCATTATAGCATCACAGTTGTACTGAGAAGTTTGACACTCAAATACAAAAAAGGAAAGATGTTTTAAAAAAAATGGTGTCAATTGCTTAATTAATATTAATGCATACTTTATTGTTTATACTTAATTAAGTGGAAATGCTGATTAAGCATTTCCACTTATTGTTATTCTCCTATTTCTTTATTATTATTATAATTAAGTGGAAATGCTGATAAAGCATTTCCACTTATTGTTATTCTCCTATTTCTTTATTATCATTATTATTATTTTTTTTAATTATTATTATTATTATTCCGTACCTTTTTTGCAACTTTTCAACTCCTTCATACTTTGTGCTATTTCAACCATTCAACTTTTAAACTATTCCTCTCCTTCAGGACAAGTGCAGATGTATTTTTCACTTTTCTACCCCTTATACTTTTTGATATTTTTTACTTTTTGTGCAAATTTTTTTCCATTGAAATGAATGGGGAAATCTTCAAAATCTACCTTATAGACTTCCACTTTCTCAGCCTTATAACTTCAGCATTTTTGCTTTAAAATGTTCACAATCTTCTCCTCTAAATATGTTGTGTTTACTTTTCTGTGCTATCTCCTACAGTTTTTCCACAATTTAGCTTTAGGCAACTCATGGTTTTCAGCAAATTTCAGGCTTCATAATGGGTGTGTATTAGAAGAGCTAAAGTGATGATGTCGTCGCTAGAGTGGACAGCTCCTCTTGGATCGACAGAACCTCGCTCAAATATATCACATTTTTTAGAGTGCAGACATGAAAACACATCATTGTGTTCATGAAGGGCGGAGGATTTGTACGATGTTCTTATTTTCATTCTCAGATTTTAAGGAAATCACACTATGTGAAGAAGTTCAGAGGCCCTAAATTCACTGCAGTTAGGCAGCTTCTCATTCAAACAGTAGGTCAGTTAATGCCTTTGATCTCACAGCTGTAAAGGATGCAATCATTAACAAGACACACACACACACACTCTGACAATGTGTGTGCGTGTGTGTCTCTGCCCATAAGACCTGCATGTACACACAGTTAATACGTGTCTGCTTCACCACCTATCTCCACCCACAAACTTTGAGCTACAGAAACCATTCTGGGCTTGAAAAATTCAGCTTATTGAGGACATTATGGGGTGTTTTGCGGATTGTGATAATAAATTGTATTAATGTGTTCAGCAGAGTCTTGTGCTTCTCACAAGCTCCTTATCATGAATGTATACAGAGGTTGACAATTAGGGCCTAGATGGAGAGCTATTTCTTCAGCTTCAAGCCTCCTCTCTCCTACTGCAGTAACACATCGTCCTTCGCCATGACAACCAATTAGTGCACCTGGAGACACACAGCTGACTGTAAAGCTGCTTCTAACGGCCATATGAGACACATGAAACCAGGCTTAGTACACAGAGCAATGGGGGTTACATTTAAAACCCTTCACCAGAGCACCTGACAATCTTCGGCCCCTATCTCCTCCCACAAACTTTGAGCTACAGAAACCATTCAGGGCTCCAAAAATTCAGCTCATTGAGGACATTATGGGGTGTATTTAGGATTTTGTTAATTAATTGTATCAATATGTTCAGCAGAGTCGTGGGGTTCTCACAAGTTTCTTGTCATGAATGTAGCCGTTACAGAGAATAAGCATCAGGGCATAGTTTTGGATTTTGTTTCTTAGCTTAAAGCCTTCTTTCTCCTGCTGTACTGATGCATCTACAGTCTCCATGGCAACCAATTTGTGCACCTGGAAACACACAGCTGACTGTAAAGCTGCTTCTAATGGCCATATGAGATACATGAAGCCAGGCTCAGTACACATAGCACCGAGGGTGACATTTAAATCCCTTTACTAGAGCGCTTGACAAACTTTGGCCCCTATCTCCTTCCATGAACTTTGACCTACAGAAACCATTCAGGGCTTCACAATTTAAGCTCATTGAGGACATTATTGGGTGTATTCAGGATTTTTATTCATTTAAATTTTTCACATTTTAAAGTCACTCAGTGATGATTTATTATTCAATTTTTCAAACAAATTTAAACTCTTCAAACTTATTTGAACCGTTCTGATACTTAAAAACGTTCTGATACTTGAGGTTTTTAAATTATTTAAATTTTCCTTGTTTAAATTAGTTTTAATATGTATGCATTATTCCATCCTTCAAACAAAATCCCACCTCTAGTGCTACAACTACTGCTAATGTCAATTTAACTAGCATTTTCCCCTCTACTTCAACTGCTATTGCTCCTATTTCTACTTTCTCTACTGCTGCTATTGCTACTATTTGTACTTTCTCTACTACTTTTTTGTTCATTCAAACAATTTTAGACATTTTTCTAGCATCTTTCAGCATAAATAAAATTTCCTTTTATAGAGCATATTCATACTATTTGTCCTTCAACCAATTAAACAATTATCCTACTTATATTTCTTTTTCACCCCTTCAACAGCTTTAACATTTATACCTTTCTCCGTGTTTTATTAGCAGTTTAGCATTGCTTTTTCAGCTTTCAGCACTCAGCATTTCCACGCATTTTCTGTCAGGAAATGCAATTTTTCTAGTTGTTATCTAATCTTAACTCAATTTATATTCTACAACCAATAATGAACTAAGTTTTCAGAGCTTTTATCTCAATAAATATTCTTAAAATAAAAGTACATTTTGAATTGATTGGCCTCTTTGAAGTTGTCCTGTTATGGCAAATTGTTATACATTGGTTCAACATTTCATCACAATGTCTTTTTCTTGGCTTTCAAACTTGATTATTGTAAATCTGAATTCAAATTCTACAAATACAAATAAATGAGCAAAATAAGCTCATAACTTTGACTATGAATTTAGTTTAAAATTTTAGTTTGAACTCTGAATATTGAGTAGTTTATTTTGATCTTAGTGAACTGTACTGTGAACTTATGAACATGTACAGTAATGAAATGACCAAAGGCAAAACAACCATTTCCTTTGATACAAGTCAAAGAGCTGTAACTTTGTCAGAAATTTAAATTCACATTTATTGGGAGTTATGCCCCATGTTAGAATGTACTTTAACCAATCCCATGTACCCATAATACATACACACATTGTGTTGGAGATTTGTTGGTGCAGTGTCAGTGCCTGCTCAGGTTGACTCAGCCCACCACTACAGTAAATTTGTATTGCAAATAATGTTAACATTGGTCTACTGATAGATTGATGGGGTGTGTAAGAGGTTGAGGGGATGGTGAATCTTTGGCGCACCCTCTTTATGTATGTATGAAAGTACATTCACTTATATTGGGTGAATGTAACACCTAGACTTAAGTGCATCACATGGTTTGAAAACTGAGGCCGACTGTAGGCAATGTTCATAAAGCTGATTCCTCAGACAACAGTGTCTAATTATGCCGAAAATTCAGTTCTATCTTAGATAACTGACTTCCCACTGAATGTAAAAACAAAGAGACATTTTACATGACAAATGTAATTGTAGGTGTTGTCTGATAGCTGTACAGATTCTCTGCTTGAGCAGAGTTATGCTCAGATAGCTTATCGACAGCATCTCATTTATCAGTATGATCAAGATTTGATAAATGCTGCACATTCTAGATATATGACTTCATCTGAAATGTTACAAGATAACTTAGTAATTAATACAATTTAATAAAATATAACAAGTATTTGACTATTTTTTTCTTCAAAGTAGATCAGTCGCATATTTTAAATTGTAATAATGGGTGTTTGTTTTTTAAGAGTTATTGGAAAAAATAATAAATTTACATCACACTAACTGTGGCTCTTGGAGTTCAGTGTATAGGGTTGACCTCTTTATGAAATTAGGGCAAAAACAAAAACAAAAAACAATACCTGAAACATTATAATAGAAGTTGCTTTACGTTTTATTTAAAGTAGCAAATTTAATTAAAATAAAGATGTCATTTAAGTGGCTTTTTCTGTAACACACTCATTTTGTAAACATATATTATTGGTCATTTAAAATTGATCCTAAGCATTTGTAAGGTTCACCTAATAAAAATGGTTTAATAATAAAACATGTTGTTTGCCTTTATTTCTTCCAACAGAGCAGAACACTAAGTTTCCCCCATTGCACAGTAGGATGCCTGGATTCAAATCTTAGGAAGAGTCATGACCATCTCTTCCTGACATTTTGTGTGATGAAACATTTTCCTCTTTTCAAATGAGTGGTCAAGAGTGAAACCATGCAAGAGTTATTTGAATGAGCAGGTGGACTTAGAGGATAGACCAAGGATACAGGTTTGAATCAACTGATTGGATGTATTCACTCCAGCATGCATTCTGTGTAATCTCACAGTTTATATGTGATTGGCCAGATCAACCTAGCATTTAAAAGTTGGGAGGAAGCTGTGGTTCAATGGTAAAGTCCATCGTGTCCCAATTGTAAGGTCGAGGGTTAATTCTAGGTCCTGCAGTCCACATGCCGAGGCATACTTAGTAAAGAAACTAAATGTCAGCCTCTGCTATCAGTGTTCAAATGTGGACTATATGGGCTAAGATGTCACAGTGGATTTTTCAGCTAATAAAACAAGGATAAAATTATTCTTGTTCTCAATTTTTTACAAGAAAGTGAACATTAAAGTCAGATACAGAAAATGTTTATCATTGACCCGGAAAAAGTCATTGAACATAGCCATTGAACAAATGTTAACATAAAGGGCTCTATTTTCGTGCCTCGCCGGAGACGTGCGGCAGGCGCAGCGTAAGTCAGGTCCGCCGCACCGACAAGGCATTCCCAAGCACAATTTGGTATTTTGGTGAGCAGCGCAGCCCGGCGTAAATATCCTCCCTCCCTCCCTAATTTAGCTCCTCCCAGCGGTGACTTTAAAGTAACATTTTTACTGGATTTACCTTCTATTTTCAAAAAGAGGTACTTTAGACAAGTGAACACTTCATTGTTTTATTCAGTTACCCCTTTTTTAATGACTGAGGCATCTAGTGTTCATTTCAATTAATAAATCCTTTGTGTGTACCGTGTCACCAGGGTTTGGTACTGCAGCAAAAGTTAAGAGGCTTTTGCATACTGATTTGTTAACTCTCCTCCAACCATTTATTGCATTCCCACATACACAGGAATGATCACTGAGACTCTACCAGTGTCCAGTGTACTGGAGGCAGAGCCAAATCCTGGGGGGGAAGGGGTAAAACATGGAAAACTTTCTTGCCTCTTTACCTCTCTTGGGATCACTTTTTCATGCTTTTACTCAATGCACTGTTATAGCCTCAGAGTTTCAGCTGGATGGAGATTATTTGATAGGAGGACTCTTTGATATTCATCATGCCAGTACCACTTCTTATCGTGACAGACCAGAAGCTATCAATTGCTCCAGGTGAGTCTTGTGACATAAATCTGAGTAAATAGTCACTGAAGGTAAAAGTTCTTCAGAGCGCTCACTATCAAGATCTTTGCTATGAACATTGGATTTTGCTTTTGCAAGTCGGCCTTTTCACTGCTAGTTTAATTTAGGTAACTGCAAAATCAGGAATTTTTTTGAAAATGTTAAATTCAGGGGTTTAAATCTATACATTTATAACTCCCAAATATTGTCATTAATTTATTTCCAGTAATGTAATGATATTAATAAGTCAACTACAATGTCTGCTCCACTTTTCTTCATCCCTCTTCAGTCAGTCCTTTCTTCTTCCCAATTATCGGAGGTTTCAATTGATGAGATTCTCTGTGGAGGAAATCAATAACTCTACCAGCCTGCTGCCTGATATATCCCTCGGCTATGAGATGTTTGATCACTGCTCAAATACACAAAACTATCCAGGAATTTTCCACCTAATCTCAGCCAATGGATTGATCCAACCTTGGGGTGAACCTAAAAAACATGCAAATGCTTCAGATGTGTCCAAAGTGATTGCAGTGGTTGGTCCTTTTACCAGCACTCAGGCCCTGACTGCAGCCCCATGGTTCATGGCAGATTTCATTCCTACGGTAAATTTTATGACTCTATTTTTTTTTTTTTAAGTCAAGAAAAAGTAAGAATCATACATAGTTATCATGCAGGTGATCCACTGAAATAGATTCCTGACAGTGTGAGTCTTGCCCACCCTGCAAGGATTCTAGTTAGTATGATCACCTACTCACTACACTATCCATCATATTACCCAACTACAAACTAAAGCTACAGACAAGCTGATGCCAAGTATTGGTCAAGGATGATTTTATTGATTTATTTAGTGATTTTTTGCACATATGCTGTCTAAACTGTAGAGTGAATGTCTTCTTCCTCCTCGTTGGATAAAGCCTTCATGAGAACAGCACCCCCTGGTGACTGGTTGCACCATAGGTCATAAACCCCGCCTCCTCCAGCAAAATGAATGAAGCTGTGAACAAACTTAAAAACATTAAATACAAGTCATATCAATTTTTCTCCCTCCTGGTTGTGATGTTGACATGTAGTAATTGTGAGACTAGTTTGTGCATAAGTCCTCTTTTCTGTGCAGCTCCGTTCTTTAAACTTAGAAGGGGTTGTATTTGTATAGTATGGACATTGTCCATACTATATACAGTCTATGGTTTTGCAGCAAAAATAAAGGCCCTCAGATCCAATGGTTGGTAGTGTTTCCATGGCAACAATATTCTGTAGCATGTTTGTAGGTTAAACTCAACATTTTTGTTCATGTTGTTCCTGTTACACTGCCAAAGTTTATACCATGTCACAGTTTGTGGTTGTTTTGGGTGTGTTGTCTTCAATTTTGTCAATATCACTTTGACTTAGCTCCTTGTTTGTTCTAATATCCCTCACATGCTTGTGCAGGTTCACAGTCTTCAGGTTTTTTGCTCTTCAAATAAGATAAGAGTGATTATAAAAATATCTTCATTGTTGCTGTTAGGAATGAGCGTGTTTACCACACTGCCAACATGAAAAAAGAATGATAAAAGTGCCAGACCCCTTTACACAGATTGATTTGATATGACATGTAATTTTGTGTTCAATAGCTTTGTCCTATTCAGAGTAAAGAACCACTGTCATTTTGCCCAATCAGAATCAAGTATTTAATACAACAGGGGATTGGGTGGGTTGGAAATAGCAGGACATATAAAAATCACCTTAGTACTAAATCAAAAAATATAATAATAATTAAAAAAAAAATAAAATAAAGGAATAATAATAATAATAATAATAATAATAATAATAATAAATTATAAATGTCATTGATAACTGTATTTTATTATTTCTCTTTTTTTATAGGTCAGTTATGGATCCTCAAGTTCAGTCTTCTCAGCAAAAGCCATATTCCCCTCTTTCCTACGAACAGTGCATCCAAACAAAGCTGTCATAGAAGTGATTGTTAATATTTTGTTACACTTTAACTGGCGCTGGGTTGCTTTCCTCAACAGTGATGATGATTTTGGCAATGATGGACTGGAGATGTTCAGGAAAAGGATCAAAGATACAGAGATCTGCCTGGCTTACACCAAAGGCCTCACCAACAATCCCATTTACCCTCAAATATTTAAACAGATAGAGGTTCAGCGGATAAATACGATCATTGTTTTTGCCCCCAAACTGACAGTTGAAGCTCTCATTATGTCAGCAATACAACTCAATATTACACAGAAAGTGTGGATAGCAGACGATGGATGGTCCTTAAATAAGAGGCTCCCCAAAGAGGAAGGAATCAGAAATATTGGAACTGTACTTGGAGTGTCTCAACCAGTCATTACAATACCTGGTTTCAATGATTTTATATATTCTACTAATAGCAAGACTCACTGTGACATTCCCAAACAAAACATGTTTTGTAATCGGATATGTAAATACAGGAATCTCATTGCAGAAGAAATCCTTTCAGCAGATCCATCTTTTTCCTTTGCCGTTTACTCTGCTGTGTATGCCATTGCACATGCCTTGCATAATACCTTGCAGTGTGGGGCTGACCACTGTAATCGTAATATTACAGTATACCCCCATTTGGTAAGTGTCTGAGTAAATTCCGTATCCAAATTATCAAATGTAAGATCCTTTTGAACTGAAATAACAAAGAAAAAGCCTTTTTCTCTGTGCCTGTAAACTTGAATTCTGTTTAAATGTTCTGATGATTTACCTTTTGATGCCTTGATGTCAGAAGCTTAATCCAAATATCAGTAAATGGAAAGGATAACACTACAGTCTCTACCCACCAGGAATGTATTAAAAATACTCTTTAATCACAATATTTAATTGTGAGTAACGCTCATATGAACTTTGTGTACCCACATAAGGTCTTACAAGAGCTGATGAAATCCCACTTCACACTTTTAAATCAAGACGTTATGTTTGATGTGAATGGGGACCCCAAGTTCGGCCCCCTCTCTATAGTTTTCTGGAACCACAGTGGTGATGCAGAGGAGGTTGGCTTTTACCATTTTCAACCCTCTGTAAATTTCTTCATCAACAACAGCAAAATTAAGTGGAATACAAATGGAGAGGTCAGTCTGTTGATCACAGTTGGTATTCCCTATAGTATGTCAGAAGTTCATATTGAATTATGCAGGGATATTCTGAGTTGGATGTTTGTGACTGCTAGAAAGATGATACCAATTGCCATCCTATCACACATTTTTCTTGTACAGGTCCCTACTTCCCTGTGTTCCAAAGAGTGCTCTGTAGGATACATGAAAGAGCAAAATGGGATCCAGCAATGTTGCTTCACCTGTAAAATATGTCCAGATGGGACTTATATCAACAGCACAGGTTAAGTATTGTCCTCACAATGAAAGAAAAAGGATAAATCTTTGACTGCTGAGGCCCAAAATGGACACAAACCTAGAGTCCCTCATTGCAACTTTATATTTTCTTTAAAATTGGACCACATTGTTTCCAGACAGCCATCACGAAGGACCAAATACTACTGTACTACTGCATTGCTTCAGGAGTTACTGAAAACAGATAAGAATTTTAAGAAGAAGGTCTAAGAATAGTTTCATTTGTTTTATTCTGTGCAGAATGTAAAGCTCCTTTGAGAAATATTGCGGTTTGTACTACAGAGCAGCACATGTGAAATTGTCATGAATAAACAACAGAAAAGATCAAACTGTAGCGATCTTTACATGAAAAGCCTTTTCAAATATACTTTAACTTGATTGTAAATCAGTTTTTCTTTTTTTCTTTTTTCTTCACATATAAACCAGAGGATCCTTATAAGTGCATCAGGTGTAAGGAAACAGAGTGGTCTGCAGAAGGAAGTACATCATGCCATCTGCGGTCAGTGGAGTACATCCCGTTCACAGACAGTGGCGCTATACTCATCATGTTTGGGTCTGTAGCCTTGGAGGGTCTCACATTGGCCATGTCTGCTCTCTTTGCCATCAACTACAACACGCCTGTTGTCAGATCTGCTGGAGGACTGATGTGCTTCCTCATTTTAGGCTGCCTCAGTCTGTGTAGTCTTAGTGTTTTCTTTTACTTTGGTAAGCCATCATCTACTGATTGTATTTTGAGGTCTTTGCCATTTCTTTTGTTTTACACAGTTTGTCTTGCCTGTTTTGTTGTGCGCTCTTTTCAAATTGTTAGTATTTTCAAAATGGCTGCCAAGTTTCCAAAGCTCTACAGTTGGTGGATGAAATATCACGGACAATGGCTGATCATCACGGCGGCATTTGTTTCTCAGGCATTCTTACTCCTTATTGTCTATTTATATTCTCCCCCCAAACCCTACAATGAAACAGTCTGGAATCCAAAAGAAATCATACTAAGTTGTGAATCCATATTCCTACCATTTTCTGGCTCTGCCATTTTGATTGTATTTTTGGGCTCTCTCTGCTTCATTTTCTCCTACATGGGCAAAGATCTCCCCAAAAATTACAATGAAGCCAAAGCCATTACCTTCTGCCTGCTCCTGCTGATCCTCACCTGGATCATCTTTGCCACCATTCAGGTGCTTTACCGTGGAAAGTACAACCAAATTCTCAGTGCCCTGGCAGTTCTCTCCAGTCTTTATTCCTTCCTGTTGTGGTATTTCTTCCCAAAATGTTATATTATCATTTTTCAACCTCAAAAAAACACACAGCAGTACTTCCAAGGTCTCATTCAGAATTATACCAAAACAATTAGCCAGTAGAAAACTAAGTAAACATGTGAATGTTTCTGTGTTTTATGGACAAAGACATGAATAAAAAGTGAGTATTAGCTTCTCTGATTTACACGCATACTTACATTGACGGCTATTCAACAATTTCGAATTCAGCATCTTACCTCAGGACACTTTGACATGTGGACTGCTGGAGCTGGGATTGTATCACCTGAGAGACCTCTGACTCTTGACCATATCAACCTTTGTGTCTGTAGAAAATAAAATAAATAAAGGACAAAACATAGATTTATTCATTTAAGAGAAGAACAAAAACTTTATTACAGTCAGTCTCCCTTCTAGGTGTAAACTGATATCATCCAATTCATAGGTGAGGAAAAATGCAGCTCTGCTTTCAGTGCAAAAGTGTTTATTGTATGATGCATGCTTGTAATGTTGACATCTTTGAGATCCATCTGTTTATTATCAAATATCATTAAGTAATGGGTTTATTTGAAACTCCTGCCAAATGGTTAAACGTAAAGTCTGTTATTTTGCCTCTGTATTTGTGTACAATCCTGTGTATTCATGCTTATACTCAGTCAGCAGTGAAAGAGGTTCAGTGACCCTTCTATAATACAGCATGTATATTGTACTCACTGTAACTGTGGGGTTTGTATACATGGCTATGATCTGAAACATGTTCAACAATATTATCAGAAAACTCAACTCAAACCCTAATCTGAGCAGTTATCATGTTTAGCTCTTATTGAGACTACGTTCTTTCTGTCTTTGGCCTAACTTTATTCTAGTAATCAATGGTGGAACAATTACCTTTTATAGCAGTCATTTTCAGATCATTATTTGCTCTTCTTGTACATTTTGGACTTTTTTTCATAAATAATGTGCACAGGAGAGGGAGCCCTATTCTTTTACTCTGCCTGTATTTTCTTTTCCCTTGTGTGATTTTTTCTTTGTGCTTCATTTTCATTTATCTAAGGGTAATTAAACAGTTGTTATGCTCTAAAACTCTTAGGCAAGTGTGTTATTTGCCATGCTTAACTTTTCAAATGAAATAAACTTACTTATTTCTACACAGAGTTTAAATAGCTAAATAATAAGTAAAAGTTGATCATAAAAGATTAATTATATGGCAACAAAAGGACTTGGAGTTAGGCTGTAAACTGGAGTAGTTTAATCCATATATCCTTTATAATTTCACCATTTATCCTTCACTGGGGTAATGGGGGGGTCTTAGCTGTCATTGATAGTTGAAGTACATCCTGGACACCCATTACAGGGCTGACTAAGAGACAAACAACCACTGAAGCAAACACACACACCCAAATGCAATTTCAACTGACCACTTAACCTGACAAACTTCTTTTTGGACTGTGAGGGGAAGTCAGAGTGCCTGGAGAGAAGCCACACATGCATGGGGAAACATGCAAACCCTGGAGACAGCTGGCCCCTAAACTACTTTGCTTAGTATTCTGGTATGGACCAGAAGCAAAAAAAATAGACAGGTACATTGATTGACTGAAACAGGCACAGAAAAGAGTACCTCAAACCTAATAAAAAATGTTTTTAAAAATCGTCTATTGTAAGTGACTAAGTGACGCAGTTCTTACAGCAATCTTAATTATCACCAAAGAGCCTTTATAAATTTATATCACAACAGTGACTGCAATAAACTACTGTGAAGTTCTTAAACCACCACCTTATCATCAGGTCACCTCTCTTTATAATGTAACCTTGTGTCAGTACACAGTATTTGATAAGAAGCTGGTCCTTCCTGTGAAGAACTATGATTTGGTATTAGCCTTTAAGTGTTGTTTAGCTAAGATGTTTATTTCTAGTTTGAGTTATAATAACCATTATAGCTAATTTAACTTTTTGAATTAACATTCATTTAAACTGTATCTTTGTCTTGATGTGGAATTACACAAACTGCCAAACAGAGCCGGGAGTTCCTCCTTCAAACCAGCAGGTCACCTGCATTCAAATTCTGGTATAGTTTAAAGCAATCCTTCACCCTCAGGGATGGAGTTATTGCTATCCTATTCAAAACTGCCTGTGTGGTCGAAAGTTAAATTGTACAGGGATCATTTGTGAAAGATCACCTTATATTTACAGGCATGACTTCATTTGATTTGTGTGTATTTGCCTGTGGCTCTGTCCTGTATGACTCTGCTCATACTTCAGATTGTCCTCCCTGTAAAACTGTCTTTAAAGCTGCAGTGTGTGGTGATCAGCGGTATTTACAAGAAATGGAATTGATAAGTATGTTTAAGTTAGTGCTGATCAACTGAGAATAAAATTGTTTTGCTAACTTCGAACAAGTCCTTCATATCAACATAAGAGTAGGCCCTCTTTTCTCAAAAGAACATATATTATACACTTCATAACACCTTGATGGACCAAAGGGCCAATGGAGATGTACTGCTCTCTTCGCTGCAGGACAAAAAGATTCAGAAGATCTTTTGTACCCACAGCCATCAGACTTAACAATTCTTCTTTAAACATTAGACGACTTGAGACATGACACATGAGACTACAGACCATTGAATTTCCCTTCAGGGATCAGTAAAGCTCTCATTCTTCCTATTCTTCTTGTACTGCCACCTTGCATCATCATGTTTCTACCGTAGCCAAGAACAGACAGCCAAGTAACACAGTGGCCACACGAAATGTACCAGTTCTTCTATACAGTCAGTGGTTGAAAGACAAAGAGAAGATATAATATGCTCATTCTCTAAAACATTTTTTGCTATGGTTGTTGTTTGCCAACTTAAAAATACTGTATTAAGTATGATACTGCACTGTCTTTGCAGTGACAACACTATGAGGCTGCAGGGAAGACATGTTCAACAGTTTGACTCTGTGACCATTTGAAAAAAGGCAGTCGGAGACTTTCATTAATAGGATATTAATCATGTTTTTACTGTAACAACTTGATACCATTGAGCTTGTTTACTAGTTCTTGTCATTATTTTTAACTTGGCTAAGACATTGACATAGAACCCGAAGAACATGTCTGTTTGTAACCCTGTATATTATTGTGATAGTAACCAGATTTCCTGTCATCTTTATGTATTCATTACTGAACTTCTGAACATCCCAGCTACAAAGATCTGTGCCAACAAAGACTGATCAGAAACCTGGATGCAATATACATATTTCACAGTTTTCTTTTTTCTTTAAATTTTTTTTATCAAAGGCAGTACATCCAATTTCATATGATTTCAGAAACCAGGACAGGATGTTTATGTCACCTGATCATGGCTTGAATATTTGGGTAAATGTAGTAACACTGTTCTATTTTGAATCTATTGCTATTGCAGTTTTAGTGTGCTATTAAAAAATGTTCCCCCTTTCAGAGTGTTATCAGTCATGTAGTGTTTTCAGTCAAATCAGTCAGACAGTATTGTAAGTATTCATTTCAATTTTAGGGAAAAAGAAATTTCTATTTTTTATACCACTCTGATTTATCACAGGAGCAAGTTTACTTGTGATGATTGCTGGGCCCTGCGTGTGGCATTCTGTTGCAGCAGCGTAGATGAACTTTGCATACTGATTTGTGTGTTCTCCACCAAGCATTAATAAGTTTCAATTTATGACACCTAATGTACTCTCAAATTCATGGAAATGAAGGGTTTAGCTATCACCTGTGTCTATATGTTAATAAAAGCAGGGACCAATTCCCACTACCGTCTGCTGGCTTTAACAATGAGACAGTATCTTGCTTGTGTTTGTCTTCTGGGTACTTTTCTTCATGCTCTGGCTCAATGTTCTGTCCCAGGCTCAGAGTTTCAGCTGGATGGAGATTTTTTGATTGGTGGACTTTTTGATATCCATCATGTCAGTGTCCCTGGTTATCACGACAGACCAGAAGCTACCGAGTGCTCCAGGTGAGTCTTATTTTGATGTTGATGCCATGAACTTATTAACACAATATTGAATGGTTTTATCCAATAAATAGCCTGTTCCATGAACAAACTGCCCTGCCAAGCAATGCATAACTATGCATATTTGGCAGAGTGTCACTATGTGCAAAAATTATGAGCAGCACTAAGAAAACATATCAGTAATTCATAATTTTCCAAGCTGCACTAACAAACTGTTCCATAATCCCAAGCTACTGTTGTCCTGTTTTCTCAGTAAACCCATCCTTCTTCCAAATTATCGGAGGTTTCAGTTGATGAGATTCTCTATAGAACAAATCAACAACTCTTCCAGCCTGCTGCCTGATATATCCCTTGGCTATGAGATGTTTGATCACTGCTCAGATACACAAAACTTTCCAGGAATTTTTAACCTCATTTCAGTCAACAGACTGATCCTACCTTGGGCTGAACCTCACAAACAACAAACAAATGATTCAGATGTGTCCAAAGTGATTGCAGTGGTTGGTCCTTATACCAGCACTAAGGCCCTGACTGTAGCCCCCCTCTTCATGACAGACCTCATTCCTATGGTGAGATAAAGAAAAAGTGCTGCATTATACAGTCCTTACTTTTTTATTAATTTTGAAATTTTCTCTCATTTGACATTGTCACTGAATTGTTGTTTTTACCTTATGACAGGTCAACTATGGATCCTCAAGTTCAGTCTTCTCAGAAAAAGCCAAATTCCCCTCTTTCCTACGAACAGTGCATCCAAACAAAGATATCATGGAAGTGATTGTCAGTATTTTGCTACACTTCAACTGGCATTGGGTTACTTTCTTATATAGTGATGATGATTATGGTAACGATGGAGTGGCCACGTTCAGGAAAATGATCAAAGACACAAAGATCTGTCTGGCATACAGCAAAGGTGTCAATGATAACACTAGTTATTACCAGATATTCAACCAGATTGAGGCACTGAAAATACATGTTATTGTTGTTTTTGCTCCAAAGTTGCCTGCTGAAGCTCTCATTATGTCAGCGATACAACTCAATTTCACACAGAAAGTGTGGATAGCAGGAGATGCATGGTCCTTAAACGAGAGGCTCCCCAAGGAGGAGGGAATCCAAAATATTGGAACTGTACTTGGAGTGTCTCAACCAGTGGTGACAATCCCTGGGTTCTCCGATTTTATCTACTCTACTAAATGCCAGACCTCTTCTGAAAACCTACAAAAACCAAGGTTTTGTAATCAGGTCTTCAACTGCAGTAGCTATAGTGCAGAGGAAATCCTTTCTGTCGACCCATCATTCTCTTTTCCTGTTTACTCTGCTGTGTATGCCATCGCACATGCCTTGCATAATACCTTGCAATGTGGTGATGGCCAATGCAATGGCAATTCCACAGTGTACCCACACATGGTAAGTATAAATTTGAATTTTGCTTCTTGGGGTTCTAACCTTTGGACTTTGGATTTATATCTTTTCATTTAACTTCATTTCTTTCAAACAAAAAATTCCCTACCACATGACTTTTTTGTACCTACATCAGGTTCTGGCAGAGCTAAAGAAGTCAAACTTCACACTTTTGAACCAAAGTATTGAATTTGATGAGCATGGTGATCCTAAGTATGGTTCTTACTCTTTTGTATTCTGGAACCACAGTGGTGATGCAGAGGAGATTGGTTTTTATAAATTTCACCCCTCCATCAACTTCTTCATCAATGACAGCAAAATTCAGTGGTTCACAAATGGAGAAGTGAGTTTTGTTTTTGTTTCTTTTATTGGATATGTGAAGTGAAAAATATGGTTGTGTGTCAAGAGTTTGGTGATATGGTGATGAATAATACTTTATGTGCCTTTCCTTTTCACTAAGTAAAACATTAAAGAAAATGGCTTTGCCTAAGAGTTAATATTTATCACTCATTGTTTTATGGTTTTGTTTACTTACAAAGAAAGAATCTAAACAAGCCATTTTACTGATGTGTAATTAATTGTTTTGTGCAGGTGCCTACTTCCCTATGTTCCAAAGAATGCACTGAAGGATACGTAAAAGAGCAAAATGGGATTCACCAATGTTGCTTCACCTGTAAAATCTGTGCAAATGGGACTTATATCAACAGCACAGGTTAAGTATCAAACAAATGAGGGGAAAAAATCCCTCTTAAAACCACTATGGGGCAATGTACAGGGATCATCAGTGTTTGTTAAATGGGTGGGGTAGCCCCATTGAGCAGTGTAGCTGAGGCACCGCCGATGTACTGCAGTAACACATTCTTTAAATCTGTTTGAGATTAAAATCCAAGTTTAAGTTGATTTAAACTAATACACATATAATTAGCTAATTACCAGGACATGGCACTGTTTCAGGCCTGGCTAAGACAACCATTATTATGACAGTGACAATATAAAAGAGTTGAAGTGTGACATTGTTAACGTGATGTTTCAGAAGACACATTTTTAATGTAACCTTAACTTAATTGTATTTCTGTCCTTTTTACATGTAAACCAGAGGATCCCTATAAGTGCATCAGGTGTAAGGAAACAGAGTGGTCTGCAGAAGGAAGTACATCATGTAATCTGCGGTCAGTGGAGTACATCCCGTTCACAGACAGTGGGGCCATACTCATCATGTTTGGGTCTGTAGCCTTGGAGGGTCTCACATTGGCCATGTCTGCTCTCTTTGCCATCAACTACAACACGCCTGTTGTCAGATCTGCTGGAGGACTGATGTGCTTCCTCATTTTAGGCTGCCTCACTCTGTGTAGTATTAGTGTTTTCTTTTACTTTGGTAAGCCATCATCTACTGATTGTATTTTGAGGTCTTTGCCATTTCTTTTGTTTTACACAGTTTGTCTTGCCTGTTTTGTCGTGCGCTCTTTTCAAATTGTTAGTATTTTCAAAATGGCTGCCAAGTTTCCAAAGCTCTACAGTTGGTGGATGAAATATCACGGACAATGGCTGATCATCACGGTGGCATTTGTTACTCAGACATTCTCTCTTCTTGTTGTTTATTCCTGCTCTCCCCCCAAACCCTACAATGAAACAGTCTGGAATCCAAAAGAAATCATACTAAGTTGTGAATCCATATTCCTACCATTCTCCGGCTCTGCCATTTTGATTGTATTTTTGGGCTCTCTGTGTTTCATTTTCTCCTACATGGGCAAAGATCTCCCCAAAAATTACAATGAAGCCAAAGCCATTACCTTCTGCCTGCTCCTGCTGATCCTCACCTGGATCATCTTTGCCACCATTCAGGTGCTTTACCGTGGAAAGTACAACCAAATTCTCAGTGCCCTGGCAGTTCTCTCCAGTCTTTATTCCTTCCTGTTGTGGTATTTCTTCCCAAAATGTTATATTATCATTTTTCAACCTCAAAAAAACACACAGCAGTACTTCCAAGGTCTCATTCAGAATTATACCAAAACAATTAGCCAGTAGAAAACTAAGTAAACATGTGAGTGTTTCTGTGTTTTATGGACAAAGACATAAATAAAAAGTGAGTATTAGCTTCTCTGATTTACACGCATACTTACATTGACGGCTATTCAACAATTTCGAATTCAGCATCTTACCTCAGGACACTTTGACATGTGGACTGCTGGAGCTGGGATTGTATCACCTGAGAGACCTCTGACTCTTGACCATATCAACCTTTGTGTCTTTAGTAAATAAAATAAATAAAGGACAAAACATAGATTTATTCATTTAAGAGAAGAACAAAAACGTTATCAGAGTCAGTCTCCCTCCTAGGTGTAAACCAGTGGCGATTGCTCTAAGACTGCAAGGGAAGCTCAGCTTCCCTTAAAATGTCACTCCCCCAAAAAAAGAAAAAGTAGTGAAATACGTACTGCTGTGTGTACATTTCATTAACTAAATACGCGCTAGAAAGCCTTCATCTTTTGTTCAGAATCAGCTTCTTATCACACTGTGATAAGAAGAAGACTTTTGTCTTTGTTAAAAACGACTGCCGTTGTGTTTGGCGACTCTGTTCTGTTACATACAAATAAACAAACAAACACAATTATGATGTAGGCGAGAAAAATGAAAGACCAGCAGCCGCCACTGGTCCTTAAAAGGTTTCAACCATAGACTGTCTAAAGAATGGACAGCCTCCTCGCTGGGCGAGTCATTTCGAGAACAGCACCCTCTGATGGTGGGCTGCAGTACAGGTCATAAATCCCGCCTCCGCCACCAAAGCTTATGGGACTGTGGACAAACTTTAGAAATTTATTACACAGAACATACATTTTTCTCCCCACTGCTTGTGATGTTGACATGTAGTTATTGTAAGACTGGTTTGTGCCCAAGTCCTTTTTTTTCTGTACATACAACTATGTACATTCTGCTGTGATACAACTTGATGTAAACATACAATAAATGTGAAATATAGCACCTATGAAACTATTCACATAGTGCATGAATTTGAGTTTGCACTGGGTACATATGCATCTGTATATTCTACATTTTAAACGTGGTTTTAATACCCAGTAATCACTCTATATGTCACTGACGCATGGATAACAATAACACTACGTCAAGGTAAGAAATGATGGGTTTGACTGGACCTCACTTGAGATACTGAGCTAACTCTAGGGTTGATGAAATGGTAGATAAAGTATTGTAACTAGGCTCCGTTTTGATTATGATATACAATCATTACTTTGTTTACAGTGTTGGCATAGCTGTTTACCAAATACACATCATTATTCAGACACATGTTTCTTACATACCTCATTGTTGCTTTCCTACAAAAAGTCAGCCACACTGAGTCTCAACAGAGATTTGCAGGGCCTGTGTTTGTTGTAAGCTTCAGTTTGATTTTTGTTCAGTTCAGGCTAAATGATATAGAATTAAATACTACCAGAAATCATTGACACAACAATATGAAAATTCTCCATTGTAGCTGTAAAGACATGGCACAAAGAGCGCAGAGTTTTCCTTATTTTCCCCGCTGGAATGGAAACAGAGGATAATTGCACGTTACATGGCCTAAACTGTGATAAAATTGAGCTGTCTTTAGTTTGCCACTTCTTAAAGAGCAAATATGTTTACCTTGATTGGGTTTAAAAGGCAAATGCTACAAGGATGACATTTAAAACCCATCCTATGTCCTGGTTTACCTGGAAATAATCTACCTCTCAATCTAAAGAAACACCACTGACAGAAAACTCGTTTGAGTCTTACGCCAACCCTTTGAGTTTAGCTAAAAAAATGTGAGTAAAAATAAAAGTGTTGCGTTTATATTTTTGTTCAGTGTACTTAGTTACAAAGGTCAATGAATTGAAGGCGAAATACACAAATAAATTTATGAAAAAGGAAAAATATGAGCCAAAAAATTTAATGAAATTGTATAAACTAAAATTATTGGATAGATTTTAATTTTGTCTTTCACGCACACGCACGTCAGTCGTTGCCATGGAGACGGAAACTGGGTTATTTAAATCAGTCCCCTCATTTAAAAATAAATATTCTAGATTCCCCTTTGCTTTCAAACTTGGTAAAGAGTTGCACTGAACTTTTGGCTGTGAGAAGCAAACTTTGGAGAAAGCGAGAAAGAGACTACAAACCAACAGTTTTTTTTAAAACAACCCACCGTAGAGACCGACGACTGTGCAAAAACCCCCGAGAAGTCTGAAGATGGCCTCCAGGAGACCTCCTCACCCGGACCACCTGCTGCTTGGAGGGGAGCTGATGGACGACCATCGTGCTGGTTCACTAACTTTCACTTTGAATCGAGTTACTGGATTAATATGAAACTTAAAAGCTTCATGGGTGCAGAAATCTGAGGGATTATTTACTCTAATTGAAGAAAAGAACCCACACCGAGTGATCCGGGTTGATAAAAAGAACGTTTGAAATCAGAAAAAGAAGTTAGACTTTTACTCAATGTTTTTTTTATTTTTTTATAACAAAATGACTTTTATGATGGCGATAAAATCTCAAATATCCCTGGAAAAAGCTGTGAAGTGTTAACAGTCAGTGTAGTGGTTTAAAAACACACCTGGATCGTGTGGATGTTCACCTGAGCTGAGTCTGACTGTCTGTTAAAGCTTTATTTATTTATTCTGAGCTAACACAAAAACATTGAGTCCTTTCAGTGTCAAAGTTTATGGTTTTGAATGAACTTATTTTCTGAAAAAAACTGTCCTGGTTTAAATATGAACTGTTGTATTAAATGTTTCCAAGTTAGGCTGTGTGTAATAACGCATATGGAGCAGAAAATCAGCATATTACATGAATTACAAAGCTAATGCTAAACTATAAATGGGTTTATCTACATGAGAAAATAAGTTCTTGATATAGTTTGATGAAAAATGTGTTTTTTTACATTTGTGTACAGCTGCTTATCGAACCTGTTTTTTGGAGCATCATCAACACTTATTTCTTAAGTTATCCTTTCACCGAGGTTGGTTAAAACATTTTGAAATTATTTCTGATTCACTGATATTTGTTTTCTTAGAGAATATTTCAGGTCCGTGAACAGTAAAAATGCATAAAGTTACAGATTTTCTGCAGCTTTCTTTTCGCTCATTCTCTTACATCTTACTGAGTCAATTTGTTTTTGCAATTATAAGTTTAGTTTCCACCTTTTGATCATATTTTGATAAAATTCAGCTTTCAATTTGTATCTCAGACTCTTCAACTTCATATACGTTAAAAATTTTGAACATTGTGAAAATATAACATTGACTCATTATATCAATGCTAATTAAAACAGGATGGTTCATATTTCTTTTCATGTGTTCATGGATCAGTTGATGTAGAACAGTTGTGAGAAGTTTATGTGAATTCAGATTTATGAGATTTTGTTCAGGTTTTTTTCTTCTGTAAGACAAATATTGTGAGTTAAAAGAGACAAAATTTTAACTCTGGTTCTAAAACATTCTGACTTTTCCTCATCAGATGATGTGATCGTCGTGGATGACCATCCAGTGGAAGACAACGTCCCTGATGTCATTGTGGTGTTGGATGACATCCCAGGTGACATTGTTCCTATCTACATCTCTTCCTCTGATGATGATAGTGATGATGATGTTGTTGTCGTTTTGGCAGGTGGAGATGAAGGCAACGACCTTAATGAGGTTGTGGACTTGGAAGACAGCGACAACAGTGAGGAGACTGACTTTAGCGACGACGGTGACTCTGACGACGGTGACACTGACGACAGTGACGACTGGGACTCTGACGTCACTCAAATTGACGACTGGCCTGGTTCAGACAGTGAGGACTCTGGTTACGGCTCCATGTCTGAGGAGGAGGAGGAGGTCGTCAGACCTGACTCCCCCCTTGACCAGGAGCTCCCACCAGATGACTTCTGGCTGGGATGGCGCCAACTGTCTCCTCCTGTTCCAGCTGATCTTCCAGTCCCCGCTGGTCTGCCTGTTGATCCACCTGCTAGTCCTCCTGCTGGTCATCCTGCTGGTCATCCTGCTGGTCCTCCAGGTGCACAGTCCTCTGTCCATTAGGGTCCAGAGGACTGTGCGCCCTCCAGTTCAGGGCTGGTCTCCTCCTCAAAAAGAAGCAGAGAGGACAGTGACTCTGACTGAAACAGAGGCTCTGTTTGTTGTTGGAAGGGGTAGTTGGAGGGGTAGGTATACACACACACGCTCAAACATGCGCACAAACACAAGTCACAATAAATATAATTATTGATGATTTTTTTTAAATAAGATGGTAGATGTCTGCAGAAAAGGTGAGTAAGAATTGATGCCAGTGATAAATATATTCTTTAAATTTGGATTCATTGAGTAATTCAGGGATGATTATTCCTTCTAACTCTGTTCTCGTTTCTTTTACTTACAGAGATGCAGCAACAGACAAAAGTGAGCTCATAACTAAGCAAAACATTCACAAATCTGCTGTAAGTTTCTACCCCACTCACTGATGATTCGAAGAATATTTTCTTTACTGTGTTGCACTTTCATGATTTTTTTTAACCAAATGAAACAACATAATTTACCAAGAGCTAAATCTGATTGTGTTTGTTTTTTTTTCTTTGGTACTGATGGCTGTTTCTGTCTGACCAAGGTAAAGTGATCATTGAAACTGATGCTGGTTAAGATTTTTTGCAGTTTTTTCCCATGACTTGATAATGTCGTTATTTATCTGACTCTTGCTCCTGTTTGAACTTGACCAGGACTGACGATGATGAGGAGAAAGAAGACCAGACATGGAGGAAAGAAGGTTCTGGAGCAGATCAGAAGAAGGGATGGACGAGCAGAGGACCAGCTGCAGAGCGGTGGCAGCTTTTCTTTTTATTGACTTGGTAAGTTTTCTTCTCTCTGAGACTGCAACAGTAACAGAGGTGACATGAGGTCGTCATAAACTTTGTTTTAAAAATATGAATCAGTGCTGTCAGTGTGTGAGCATCTGTCCCTGTTCTGCTTTAAAGATCATGCAGGTGGAGCACTCAGTAGCTCAGCTGTTTTTTGAGCATGTGGGCAGAAACCTTGAGCAGGACCAGACTCAAATTGGACACAAAAAGACGATGAAGAGGGTGAGACCAGACATAAGGAGAAGAATATTCTGGACCAGATGAGGAGGATGGATGAGCGAGAACCAGCTGCTGATGGGTGGAAGAATTTTTGTTGTGAGGTTGGTAAATCATCCCCTCTCTGAGATTACAGCAGTGACAGTAAAGTTCATTTTGGATATGTGGATTACCAAAGAGGTCTTTGATACTATTCCAGTTTTCACAACTACTTGAACACTTCACTTTCCATCAACACAAAGATTTCAAAGTTGTCTTCAATTGTTTTCTCGTGTTTTTCTGTCCTGTAGGGTTGGATTCCTCTCTTTACGGTTTCTGGAGGTCTGAGTAGAAGTGAACCAACAGATCATCCCAGGACCAAGACCACTCACTCACAGAAATATTTAGGCCTTATTGTGTTACACTGCAGAAAATGATGGGCCAACTCATCTCCCGTGCAACACATTTATTTTAACAGGACTCCTGTGAATACACAATGACATACAGGTGAACAGGAGCACATGCTGCATCTTCTGTCAACTCTCACCACGTACTGACCAGACTTCTTCTAGTCTATATTCCAATAACCAAAACATGTACACTCGTACTACAAAACACAATACTACAGTAGTACTGAAATGTTACAAGTGACATGACAGTCTCAATGTTTATAGTTTTTAATCACATACATCCTCCCTATGAACTGCCAAAATCACATAATGCATTTATCTTGATGAACAAATATTTAAATATACTCAAAATGAGGTTTTATGGTGTTTTTAACCATTGTTTTTAAACACTGTTTTTAACCTTTTATTAACTGCATGTATTACATTAAATCTCTTCTGAACAAATGTCTTTTTAAACTCTATTTATGTCCTATTTATTCTCTATTTATTCTCAATAAAATAAACCTTAATTATTCTACACTTTCCGCAGGGCTCTCAAGTCTCACGCATTCAGCGTGTGACACACTCATTCCCACCCGTTCTCACGCTCACACGCCACACATTGTATTTCTCACGCATTTAAATGAACATGGTGATGTCCACCAAGTTGCGCCTCTTTAACTATGGAACAGGTAGGAATCAACTGAGTTCCTCCGAGAGTTCAGAAGCTGCTTGCCACGCGCAAGCCAATCAAATAAAGTATATCTACTGAACAGCCAATAAAAAAGCAGCATTGCTGTATCCGGGTAGATTTTGATATCTTGCGGTTTGACTACAGAAGAAGACAGACACTCGCCGTAATAGAGCAGGTTTTTATAAGGACGAGATAGACCCGATGATTACAGTAAGTCAGTAACCTACACATGCAGAGACCTCAACACCTCATGGCATATAAACTCATATGATAAACTAAAGCCCTATGCTATTGCTATTAACAGCTGTATTGACGGATTTAGCCTCTATACAGCCATTTCCAGCCATTTTCCCCTCCACAAAAGCAGCATTTCTCATATATCTCAAATATAAGTTCTGATACTCGTGACAGTGTAATGCTCATGTACCAAAGGATTAAGTATCTCCATGTTTGTGAAACCTATACTAAAGTACAATTCATCTAAATGCTCCACAGTGCTGATTTTAACAACTCTCCTTCACAACAGGTAACTTTACGACTTAATACTGATATTAATGACTTTATTCTCCCAAATAATAACTTTATTCTTTAAGATTTAAAAACGTTTTTTTTCTAATTGTGCCCCTTATACTCCGTTGTATTTAAGAGATAATTATACTAATAATTATCTTCAATCACGAAAAATAACCTCCACTTTACTCCGAGAGATATTTATATTCCATTGAGATTAAAGTAAATTAAAGATAATATTAAACTTTTAGATATAACCTACCAGTGTAAGGGTTATTCTAAAGTAAACAGCATTTTGAATCTCCATGGTAACCTGTAACGATGTAAAACCTTTAAATCATTACAAGCAAAATAGAGCTGTCATTTCTGAAGATCAAATCTGAAGAGAACAGCACGAAAAACTTAAGCGGCTCACGAACTTACAACTTTTGACGGCTTCATCGTAAATAAAACCTCACCAGACGACTAAGGACTCAAAACACACAAACACAAACACCTCTAACCAACACCTGAACAGAAAGGACAACATCTACGACATGGAGACCGTAAGATTTCATGACAATATTAGCATACAAACTTGTGTTACTGTCGAGACTTTCGTGATGGTTAAGCGATGCATCGACAAGGATTAAATGTGTGCATGGATATTTACAGTGTTTATGACTTTAATGTGACAGGCATTATCAAAACTAGAAAAAATTGCATTTCCTTGCAGAAAATGCGTGGAAATGCTGAGTGCTGGAAGCTGAAAAAGCAATGCTAAACTGCTAAAAAAAAAAAATGGAGGAAGGTTTAAATGTAAACTTGGTTAAAGAGCTGGAGAAAGAAAAGTAGAAGTTAGATGAAAGTGAAAATTGCTGAAGTACAAATAGTATGAATGTGCTTCATAAATTAAAATTGCATTCATGCTAAATAAGGCTAGAAAAACTGTCTGAAATTGCAAAAAAAAATTGTATAAGGAAGAAAATTACCTTAAAAGAAAAGTAAGAAGCGGCATAAGTTTAAGTTGAAGTACTAGAAGAAGTATGATAATAGGTAGTTGTACTAGTGATATTAGTAGTCATGTAAGCAGTAGAAGTAGTTTTAGAATAGAAGAAGTAGAAGTCAAAGCAGTAGAGCTCGTGGTAGAAGTAAAAAAAATATTAAGAGAAGCAAGAGCAGTGGAGGTAGAAGTGAACATACAAGTTAAAGTGATATAAGTAGTAATTGTAGTGGTAGAACTGGGATTTCGTTTGAAGAATTAAAACATTCATAAATAATGGGAATGATTTTGAAGTGGGAAAAAATTTAAATAATTAGAAGTCCTAAAGTGTTAAACAGGTTTGAAGTATCAGAAAGGTTTGAATCAGTTTGAATGAGTTTGGATTTGTCTGACGAATTTAATAATGCATGAATAATGAGAATAATTTTAAAGTGGAGAAAAGTTAAATGAATAAAATACTGAGTACACCCCATAATGTCCTCAATGAGCTGAATTTTTGAAGCCCAGAATGGTTTCTGTAGCTCAAAGTTTGTGGGTGGAGATAGGTGGTGAAGCAGACACATATTAACTGTGTGTACATGCAGGTCTTTTAGACACAGACACACACGCACACACATTGTCAGACTGTGTGTGTCTCGTTAATGATTGCATCCTAAACAGCTGTGAGATCAAAGGCATTAACTGACCTACTGTTTGAATGAGAAGCCGCCTCTGGACTTCTTCACATAGCATGATTTCCTTATATCCCAGAATGAAAATAAGAAAATCGTACAAATCCTCCGCCCTTCATGAACACAATGATCTGTTTTTATGTCTGTACTCCAAAGAATGTGGCCACAACAGCGAGTTAAAAGTCTAGACGTTTGGATGGTTATCTTAAAAGTGATGCATTGACATCACATGAAAGTCCTGCCCACCATGTCAAAGACTCTACGTGCTTAAGAGCAGAAAAGCTCATGCTATTGTGAGAAATCTCTATAAGAGATTTTTTTATGTCTTCTGGGCTATTTAAAGCCATCAGTCTGAAACTTATTTGACAGTTTCTTTTATACTAACCAATGCTTTCTTATTTCTTCTTTAAATCTGCACAAAAGAGTCAACCCATTCCTGTAAAAGGAGAAGCTCTGAGAATTGCGTGCTCGGGCTTCAACACGAGGTAAGAAACACATTTAACTTATGATGACAGTAAAATGCAAACTCAAATTTATAGGGGTGTGATATTAAACAGTAGTTTACCAATGTGTCTCTAAAACAATCTTTTACCTCTTTTGCATTTAATATGCAGAGTGTAACATTTGAAACATGACAGAGACCTCCCAGCAGATTATAATCTGAGACAGTTCAGAGTTAAATCTGTGACATTGCCAGCAAAAATCTAAAGATTCGCAAATTTAGGATTTGATTTTGGACTTACACTGTGTTTCATACTCTTTTTGTCACAAGACACATGTATTTATGTGATACATTTCAGTGGTTATTTTAACTGAGTAAGACAATTCAAAGGCTTCACATAAGACATTTACTGATCAATTAATCAGTCAGACAAAGGAAATGTGTAAAAACACTAAATGAAATAAAGAAGTTTTATCATTGTTTGCTCTTACTGGGAGTCTCTAGTCAAAAACTAGTAAAGTCAGGTATGATAGATAAGATACTCCTTTATTAGTCCCACAAGGGGAAATTCCCAGTAAGGGAAACAAAGACCATTTTAATTTACTGTGTTTGAAATTGAAGGAAAAACTTGTTTTGTATGAGGCCTTTCCCGGATAATATGCATTAAAAAAGCTTTGTTTTAAAAACGCTGTGTCAACTTAAAGAGATTCAGTACTTAGGTTTTTAATGGATAAGTGTGAACAAAGAGGGGGTTCATTTATCAATAACAACAACACAAAAACAGGGAATAACCTTCAGGTATTTAAAACCACTGTGAGTGTGCTGTATTATTTTTGATACATAAAGACACTTTTTTAGTTTGACTCTGATACTTCCTCAAAGACCATCCAGTGCGTGTTTATTGTATTTTATCGTCTGAATATCACCATGGTTTGAGTCTGTGTGACTGTCATGTGCCTCTGCAGATATTTCTGTTTATAGATTTATTTTGTTCATTAAAATAACCAACCTGTGTTTCTGTGTTGACCAGTGACACGGCGTCAGAGGCTTCTAACGCAGAAAACTGCAGCCCAAACTACTTTTGGCTGCACAGGCTGTTTGGTCAGCCTCTGGCATGTTTCAGAGCTGTTAAAATAAGATAATTTTATAAGTGTGATATTTAAAATCAGACACTAAAAATATTTGACACAGTGGGTTTTCATTTTTATATTTGTTGTTACTCCACAGAGAAAAGTCAGAAGTCTAATCAGCCATCAGCGGAGGTGAGTAAACTGCTCCAACAATCAGCTGCTTATTTGTGCAGCCACAAAAGCTTCTGATAAATGTTGACTAGTCACTGCAGACTCCTTTAAAAACATCACTACAGGTTGTTAAAACAAATGTCACCACACGGTAATGGTGTGTGCTTGTGTCTGCAGAGATGTCACCTCCAATGGTCTGGCTGGCTCCACAGCACCCCCACCTGGGGAGAAAAACAAGAAACCGAAGGAGAAGAAATGGAGTTGTTCTTGGTTTTTTAAGTGCTGTAGTGTAAGTAAAGCATAGGAATACCAGTCTGGACTTCAGTGTTGTTATAAGCATTAGTTTTTGTTTATCTTTCAGTTGATTCTGTTACTGACAAATCAAAACTATTTTTACTCCATTAGAGAGAAAAGCGTGTGTCTCCTCTCTCTGATCATAAAGATCAGCAAAAGCCTCCTCGGGAACTCCAGAGAAGGTAACAAACTCATTTTGTTCACAGGATGGATCAATTTTGGTGTCACCTGATGAGTTAAATCATCACGTGACACAAATGAGGTGTTATCAATTCTTTCTTAAAGCTTCCGTGAGGAATTTTTGGTTTGTGTTGCTTCTTATGCTTCTTTTCATAACCTCTCTTTCAAATTGTGTTAAGTCTTGTTTTCAAACAAAAAATCTCCCTGCTCAATTTTAAAAGTCATTGGTCATCTTCACCTGAGATATTTTTGAAAAAGCCTTTTTAAAAAGCTTCAATTTAGCTAAATCATCTGACACCTACACCCCTGACAACAGTTTCTAACCTCACAAATAACTTTGTAGAGATGAACAAACCCTTCAAAGGTGGTCTGATTTGCTTTTTAAGGCCAGACAGAGGCATCCCTATCAGTATCAGTCAGTTATAATCGGCTGAAAATTCCCCACAGT